AAGTGTTTTTAAATTACCCCCCCCCCCCCCCCCCTCTCATTTTTTCTGCACCAGCTCTTGATTGCTTTGCAATGAAGAGCATTATGGTTGTGTAAATCAAGTAACGGATGGAATATAAAACCTTTCTCAAAAACTTCTCTTTCTCTCCTTGACTTTTCGTTCTCTCCCATAAGAACACCAACAACACAAACACCACACACTCAAACACAGCAACACACTCACAAAAACAAAACGCACAGGAGTGATGCTTGAAAGACGCGAACGCCTTGTCGTGCACATGACCATCTGAGGAGGTTGTGCAAGATGTTATTGTCAGACAGATCGGATGGGATGGCATTTTATCTCTCGTGCCCCATTTGCACCCGACCATCGTCATCAGCATGGCTGACACCACTACCCCCACCGGTCCAAGTGCCCCCCTCCCCCTTTCCTCTTTCCTTGCTCCGCATCCCCATCAAGCCAGCGGCTACCTCCCTCTTGTTTCCCACCTCACGCCATAACCTGCCGGCCCACTTTTCCTGCAATGGTTACCACCACACAGAGGCCATTGTTGTTGGCGCCGCCGACGATCTTCATCTGCATCTTCGCGATGGCGATGGCCTTGCCTCGCTTGGGCACCGTGCGTTCTTACCTCGCCCTCGCAGTGCCTCTCCTTGGCGCTGCCTCCCCCGCGCTTGCATCCGTTTCTAACTGTTTTGTGCCATCTTCGGGTACCCGTGTCTTCAACAGTGCTGACACCTGGTGTGCGCCGGGCCATCATCATGCCAAACCTTGTCCCTCCCGTGGTCAACACGGAACAGGTAAGCGTCAAGGCCAGCCATTGAAAGTAACGCATGTTGTGATCCAGCATTGTGGGATTGAAGCGGGTTAGCTCGCTCGATGACGGCATAAGCTCATCCCTTGCGCTCTCATCTAATAGGCGCTTGCATATCGCGAGCGTGTCCTAGCGGCGGCTCACGCCGGTGGCCGTCCTGACTTTGTCCCACTCATGACCCTCTACCTGACTGACAATACCACTGCTGATGAGGTGAGACATGCTCCTATCAGTTTCTCTATGCCATCCACCTTTCTCATGCTCACCGACGTGCTTGCACAGATCCACAAAGCCAAGGCTTCAGGTCATATCTACGCAGTCAAGGTATACGATAGATGCTTCGCCCCGCGGCTAGTGGCGCCTTGCTCTTCTTTCGTGTGCACTTCTTCGGGCTGAGAGACCTTGCTCAAAAGAAGTTCAACCTCCTTGATTAGCTGTACCCGGCTGGTGCCACCACCAACAGCGACTCGGGCGTCACCGATATTGCCAAGTGCAGTCCTGCTCTTGCTGCCATGGCTGAGGTCGGTGCTCGAAGCCCTTGGTGCTGGTGGCCGCCGCCATTCTTCACCCTTTGTACACTGGCATCTTGACATCGCGCGGTTTCTACCTCGACCTTGTTTGATGGCCAGGTTGGCCTCCCCCTTTTGGTCCACTCGGAAGTGACGACACCAGACATCGACCTCTTTGATCGCGAAGCCGTCTTCATTGACCGCCATCTACGACCTCTGGTGGCTGCTCATCCCTCCCTCAAGGTTAGCCGATTGCATGTCGAGGCGTCTTGCACTTGGGATGATTTCAAGCTTGTGGATGCGCAGTCATCCCTGTCTGCACGTGTGCATCCTGTTGCTGTGCATTTATTTTGAATTCATCCAGGTGGTGATGGAGCACGTGACCACGCGCAAGGCGGTCGAGTTTGTCACGTAAGTACCGCATTGCTCGGGTTGGCTTGTCACCGTCATGTCGCTCATCCCCTTTCTTCGTCGTGTCGGCAGGAGTCAAGGCCCCAACGTGGCAGCCACCATCACCTGCCAACACCTCTTGTATAATCGCAACGCCCTCTTTGACAAGGGTTTGCGCCCACACAAGGTGAGGCCTGACCATTCTTGGAGAGCCAGCTCGCGTTGACATCGTCACTTCCGCCGTAGCGCTACATTTTTCCAACCCTCCATCCGTGTCGCTGATGCTTTGCACTGCCTTGTTCCCTCGCTCCGGGATGTGACCCACAACAGTACTGCCTCCCCGTGCTCAAGACGGAAGACGACCGTCAGGCTTTGCTCGATGCCGTCCGTTCCGGCTCACCCAAGTTCTTCATGGGCACCGACAGTGCGCCGCACGCTGTTGAGCGCAAACAAGCTTGTATGCCCTTTGTTCCTTCTTTCCCGGGGTGCTCTCAGTTCCTGCCGAGGCGCAACCTGCACCTAGTCCTCAAGGGCCCAACGGCGTTTCGGCGTTTGTGCCTTCTTCGTCCTCAACCCGAGCCTTTACATCAGGTGCTCACCTGTGACCCCTTCCTACTATAGCGTGTTGCAGCGCCGGTTGCTTTACCATGCCTTTGGCGTTGGAACTTTACGCCATGGTGTTTGACCAGCTGGGCTGCCTCGAGTTGCTCGATGTACGGTTGCGGTCTGCCCCCTTCCCCTCGTCCTTTCTCTCGCTCCTCTTGCTCACTGCTGTGTCGTGCTTGCAGAATTTTGTCAGTCGCAATGGATCGACGTTTTATGGTCTTCCTCGCAACACCGGCACTGTGACACTCTTGCGTCAGCCACAAACCGTGCCCCTGGAGTATGCCTTTGGTCAGAGCAAGGTTTGTTTATGATTGCTCGACATGTGCGCTAGTTCCGGGTTGCGGTGCAGCAGGCATTTTGACTGACACGTGTGCGGGGCTGCCACAGGTTGTACCCGTCAATGCCGGCGATGTCATCCCTTGGACGGCTCAAGGTATCCAGGACTAGAGCAAGGTGATGATCATATTACATTTTTTTTTTTGCATATCTGCAAGAAGGGGGCAACCTGGACCGGGAATTGAATCGACAGTCCTATCCATGTCGCAGCTGTCAGTTATTTGAAAGAAAGCCTTGCCTATTCGAGATCAGATTTGATGAAAATTCACTTAATGTGGCAGTCCTTCATGATTCCCCAGCAGCAATTCGCTGTTCAAGAAGCCAGAATAAAGACATGAATCCAATTACGTCAAACTGGCAGTGCCCAGGCCAGCATGGGCTGTATAGAATAGTCACGCAACAACACGCGCAAAGAGCGAACAAGGTCATCAAACAAACAAAACGTGCCTTTACGCGAGGCGGCTGATCTCAAATGATTGCACGCCGTTGACCCCGGGCAGGACCTGGTCGTAGTCAATGGTACTAAGAACACGGCAGGTGCCAGTCGCGTCAAAGACGCCACCCTGGGCAGCTTGAAACTGCTTGGCAACATCAAAACACTGCTGAGCATCGCCGCTTGTCAACGTGGTTACGTAGATAATGGACGACGAGCTCAGGGCGGAAAGAAAGAGCTCGCCTGGGGCCAAGGGCGTGAAGGCAGTTGCTGTCCACGTGTCATTACTCTCGAGCTTACGATATGACAACGAGGGCAACGAGGTGGGAATTGTGTCGTTGGTGGCGTTGACGTAACGGCATTGGAAGTCGGAGGGCCCACGGGCCCACACAAAAACGCCCTGGCACCGGGTCCAGCCGAGACAAAAGTCGCGACATTCTTCCGCGTCGGTGGCATCCTCAATCAGAAGAAGATTTGGGCTTGTGGTGGGGAAGGCTGACGCAAAGCGCATCGGCTGGGGTACACCGTTGAGGTTGCCCAAAATTGGCGATGCAAATCCGGTCCATGCCAATGGGTCAGTTGTGGTGGAAGTTGAGGTTGAGGTTGAGGTTGAGGTGGAGGATGATGAGGAGGTTGAAGAAGAGGAGGAAGTGCTGGTTGAGGTAGAGGAAGAAGAGGAGGAAGAAGAGGAGGAAGACGAAGAGGTAGACGAGGAAGTGGAGGTACTGGTTGACGTAGACGAAGAGGTAGACGAGGAAGAAGAGGTGGACGATGATGATGATGATGATGAAGATGAGGAGGAGGAGGAGGACGAGGAGGTTGATGTAGACGTGGACGTAGAGGTTGATGTTGAACTAGAAGTAGACGAGGAAGAAGAACTGGATGTGGAGGACGAAGTGGAAGTGGAAGTGGATGTGGATGTGGTCGGCTCGAGATAATAGGGGGATGAGGGATCACGCGCGTATGGAGACGCGCGAGGCAGCGTGTCACGACGGAATGAGTAAGTGCAGTTGGTTGTGGGCATAAGGTCGCCATCGGCTTGCGCTGCGATCAGGTCATGCAGACGACATTCAAGCCAGCTGGTAGGTCCCACGCCAAACGTCACGGCCGTGCACACGAGGTCTTCCTCACACGCACGGAAGCACAGCGTACGAAAATCCAAGTCTGAGATGGCAGGTAGCTGATGGAGGGTGGCGCGGCGGATGGACGGATCGCGCTCATCGGCAATCGACCAACCCAAGTCAACGTCAACATCTACCAAACGCTGAGTGAAGTTGCCCACGGCCACCAGAGCATAGTTGTCCGCGAACAAACGAGAAAACAACGGGTTGGGCATGCCGCAGCCGGGCAGAGGCGTTGTTGTCGTCGTGACGGGCACTCGCACGGTGGTAGTAGTGGTGGTGACCGACGGGTTTCCAACGGAAGAGCTGCGAGTTACGGGAATACCAGGTCGGCTGGTGGCAGGCGGGTAGATCTCATCAATACTGCGCACGTTGCCTTGTTCCGCAATCTCTTCCAGAGATCGGCAGCGACACTCGGCAAAGCAGCCATCATAGCCTCGAAAGAAGACGGCGCCGGCGTTTGGCTTGCAGTTGCAATTGTCCTCTAGTGTCGGGCATCCGGCGCCATTGGGAGGGGTGACCATGCTCGAAGAGGCGGTCGTCGACGTGGTGGTGGTGATGACGGGACGGCGCGTCGTGGTCGGGGCAGGTGGATAGATCTCGTCGATACTGCGTACGTTGCCTTGTTCCGCAATCTCTTCCAGAGATCGGCAGCGGCACTCGACAAAGCACCCATTGTCATTGCGAAAGTACACAGCTCCGGCGTTGGGTTTGCAACGGCATTCCTCTGCTAGGGTAGGACATCCAGGGCCATTTACGGGTGTGGTGCTGGTGGAGAGGGTGGTCAAAGCAGTTGACGATGAAGAGGGTGTGGTGGTGGTGGTGGTGGTGGAAGCAGATGCAGTCGTGGTGTCATCCTCTGTGGTGGCTGGCAGCATTGTAGTTGACAGCGAGTCGCTACGGGGAGCAATGGCAAATGTTGTGCAAAAAAATGCCAGAGTTAGAGTGAGGCGAGTCGATCAGCAAAGACGGGCTGATTTTCAAACCAGCGGACTAGCCGACCGGTACAGATGCTAACCTGGGGCATTCCGAGGCGCTGATGTATTGCGCCACCTTGTTCCAGGCATTGCCAGTGACTGTAGTAATACAGCAGCCAGCCAGCTTCAGGGAGTCGACCAAGTATTCCAGCTGAAGCAAAAGAGCCTCGTTCCTTGTAACAGCGATATCCCACAGCAAGACTTGGTCGAAATTGAGAAAGGCGTTGGCAGCGGCAAAGGCGTTGAGAGCATCCAGTTCCTCAAAGGGCTCGACCCCAACAATAACCGCTACGGCCGGGTCGGCGTTGCCAGCCTTTTGAGCGTTGGCGGTGTTGAGAAGGTCACCAAGCTCTCCATCGCTTGTTTCAATCATGGTGAGGAGGGGCAGCTGTGCAATGGCCGCATCGATGGGGGCACGCAACAAGGGCATGCCAATGCCCTTCTGCAGAATAACCACCTCAAAGTCACCGGTGGTATAAAACTCATCGTAGAGAATGAGAGACTTCAGGATATCCTCAATCTGTTGCTTGAACACGGTCGCATCGCTTTGCTCCTGAATGAGAAAGTACACGTCGTTTTGTGCCTTGGTTTGGCCCAAAGCGACCAGGGTGGCCAAGGCCAAAGCCCAAAGTAGCGTTCGCATCATGCTGCTCGGGAAGATCAATCAAGGTTGAGGCAGCCTGCTATCTCGAGCCGATGGTGGTCGGGGGCGTGCCTGGCAAAAAAATGCTGCCTGGAGACGCGCGGAGTAAACGTCAGGGGCAGCGGGTGAAGGGGAGCAGTAGCGGCACTGGTGTCCAGAGGTGATCCCCTTGACCCTTGCCATCATGTAGTGGTGACGGCATGGAGAGGGAGTGCAGGGGCAACCCACGCCAAGGACGGCCCTTATTACACTTTGCTGAGCCCATGGTCGGGTGGCCAGGTGGTGCAGGTGACAATGAACGGGGGCGGCCAACCGTTGCTGTGGGCTGCGCTGGGCACAGCCGTTGTGAGACGAGCAACCCATTGGACTGATCAAGTTTGCACCCGGTTCACAAGAAAGTGGCCACATGTGCATGCGTGTTGGCTCAGGAAGCGGCCATGATCATGTGGTTGCCGACTTGTGCACACAAGGGTCTCAATGACCAAGCCATTGCTTCACACCCGAGCCCTTGCCACCACTCACAGCAGCAGTTTTCTGTCCGCTCCTGCCCCGCCCGGGTTGTTGCCCGAAGCTCGCGTCGCCCGGCGACACGGCAACGGCTAGTTTATCTGACATTATTGTCAGCAGCAGAGCACGTATCACGATATTATTGAATAAAAAGTGAGGGTTGTTGTAGATTTGATAATGTTCCGTGTATGAGTTATCGACGATAGAGTACGGATAAATGCAGTTGATGTTACTACACCAGCTTACGTGTGTTGAAGCGTTTTGTTTGGATTTGCTATCTCTCTCTCTCTCTCTCTCTCTCGCGTCTTGCGCGACCTGGCCGTGTGTGTGCCTGTGCCTGTGTGTGTGCTTGTGTGCCCGTGCCTGTGTGCCTGTGCGTGTTCGAGTGTTTTGGATGCTCTGACGGGGCTTGGTCATGGGCAGGGGAGAGGTGGTGTACTGGTCATTGCTACAGGGTAAAGTCCCGATCAATTGGGATGGCGTCGCTGCGACGTTCCTCAACGGAGACACGCTTCGACATTCTGGCTTCACTTCCCGAAGATGTCGCCTTGAATGTGTTGCGTCGTCTGGATTACCCATCCCTTGCTCGCATGCGGCAGGTGAGTTTGTCTTTCTCACGGCCTTTTTCTTCCTCCATCTGAGCCTGTCTGGCGATGGAGCCTGATGCCTTTTTTCTCTTTCGACATGTCCGCGACACGGCTAGGTTTCCTCGCGCTGGAAAAGCCTGGCAGAAACACCCTTGCTCTGGCGGGCGCACTGTCTGCGAATATGGGCCGACAAGGCGAGTGGTCTGCTGCCGTGCTCCAAGCCCCACATGCCAGCAAACGCCTGCTGCCTGCTGCATGGGCCACTCACCGCTTGATGTTTTTTTAGGTGCATGTCTCATCTCGAGCCCGTACGTTGTTGGAGCAAGGACAAGCTTATGAAGCCCTGCGCGAGTCAGTGGCGGACAGTCGGCGCTGTTGGCTGACCGAGGACGAGCTCTGCTCTTTTCAATGGAGCTTTCGCTTCAAGGCAGCGGCAGGCGACGACTGGATTGCCAATGATCCCTGGTGGAACAATGAGCCCTGTCGCATCATCACCTTTGGCCACGACCATCGAATGCATGGTGAGTGCACGCTGCACAGAGCACGTCCAGGCTCGCGCCCCTTGCTCTCACCACGACGTCATGAGCGTGGCCCATAATCTGCATTCGGTCTGCCCAGACTCACACAGCGTGCTGATCATCTGCTTGGTGTGAAGCGCCAGGTCACCCAGGGCTGGCATTTCGCTGGCGCTTCTCGGAGCCACTAAGTCGCCCCACCTGGTACCAGTCACACCCCGGGAGCTGCGTGCGAATCCACATCTTCCCAAACAATTACGTTCGACGCGATCCGTAGGTGCAACTCCCCTCTTGTTGCTCCACTCTTTTGATACGCCCGCTGTTGTGTGCACACGAATCCTGGGCGTTGCCATTGTTGCTCTGTTGAGCACCGTACATAGGCCTGGATGTCTCATGTCCTGCCCAAATCTCGATCTCCCCCTCCAACTCGTGCATGCAAACTCACCCTTGGTTTAACCTGTAATGCAAAGGGATACATGGGGTTTTTTACTCGAGTCAGCTTGGACTCTGCGAGCCAGCTTTCCGCTGCCACCTCGCGGTGAAGCCCCGCGACTTGAGGATGCTGCCTTGCCTGTCACCACCTCCGCACAACGCTTTGAGCTTTTCTGCTACAATTCGGGTGTTGACTGGGAAGATCCCGAGCTTCAGCAGCACCTGGATCGCTTGCAACGTTGGATCATGGCCACAGAGGGGCCAGAACACGAGGGGCTGTCCTCTTCCGATCAAGAGGAGGAGAGCAGCGATGAAGACCAAGACCGAGCAGCTGCTTTCGGACCCCACGCGCTGGGTACTGACAGTGACAGCAGTGAAGACGGAGAGGCAAATGACCATGATGCCAGCGATGGTGGCAGTGACGATGGCGATGCTTTTCTTCGTGCCTTAGTGCTGGCCCAGCTGGCCGAGCCGGCAGATTCTGAAGCCGACTCTGACGATGGCGAGCATTAATTATTTAATTTTGTTAATTTTTTGGGTGTGAGCTCAGTAGAGACATGCCTTGATCAAGGCGAAGTTCGCTATCACACATCTACATCATGTCATGATGCGAAACACTGATCTCGTGCTTGCGACGGTTGCTGGAGATGGAAATTGATCGTTGATTGATCTTGTACACGAGGCCACAACAACCTTGCAAATCGTGCATACAATAACCAAGCCGGCCCAGACAGCGGCCCAAACAACATGTCCACCGACACATGTGTGGCGCAACGAGCACATTGGACCTCATGTCTCGGAAGACGTCGTATGCGTATCCGTGGCCAAGGTGTGAAAGCTAGTCGTGCTGGGTCCTAGGAACAAAAATAATTGTCGAGCAAGATGTGAGCCATGAGGGGAGGCGTTTGAGGTTGTCTGAATCCGAACAAGGGTGGCACAAACGAGTCCGGGGGTAGGGTACAAGTGGCCCATAGAGCTCATGACGCCAAGTAAGGACTAACGGTCGTTCAAACTATCCATGCGTTGCTCAGCGTCTGCTTGAGACATGGCGCGCCAGTACGAGAAATCTTCTGTAATCTCATATTTGTGCTTTTGATACACCTTGCGCATGGGCTGACATGGAAGGAGGGAAGAAACGGCAAGGGTCAAGGGCAAAAGGAGTCAGCGGCTGATGTGTCAGAGCAAGTTGAGACTGGAGGGAGGCATTGCAGTAAAGCGGAAAAGCGGGCTTGGACATCCTACCATGATCATGGTCATCAGCAGGTTGGTGATGGTTGTGGCTAGATGAGGGAGTCAGAGACGGCCCGATGAGATGGGCTTGCAGGAGCGCTTTATTGCTCATCCCCACCACGCCTTGGTTGTCTGACCCGCACTTTGACCTGGCGGCGCTCGAGCACAAAAAAACAAAACAAAAAAACAAAAAACAAAAAAAAACAAAAAACAGGACATACCCACGGCCAACAGTGCCAGACCAGTGACCAATGTGGTCATCAGGACCAAAAAGTCAAACTCGCCAATTTCGCCAATTTGCACGAAAAGGAAGCGAACACCGTGCCTTTGGGGAGGCCAGGCATCATGTAGTTGATTAATTTCAGAGTGGGCATTCACGTGTGTGTGCAGGTGTCTTAAATGTGTGAGGGTGCGTGTACAAGTGGGCAGCGGCACGGTGAGCGCGGGCATCTACCGATTGAAGATTGTGCGGGTGGTGCCATTGTGAATGACTTCCTCCACCTTGAATTCGGCGTCGCTCAAGGCTCGGGGCTCGTACGTGTAGCGCAGATGATTGCGACCCACCATCGAATACCTGAGCGGAAGTCCAGTGCAGGTGCATGTGAGTGGGTCCTGGATTCTGGATTCAGGCGTTCATGACTGTGCAAAGCTGCGACCCCGCTTCCCTGCTTCCCCAGCAGTATCTTACTTGATAAAGACGATGATATTGATGCCGTCATAGCGCACGCTGTCACCGGTTGCTGTTAGGTCTTCCATGGTCAAGCCCGAAGCCTGCAGCAGCTCTTTGAATGTGACAATGTCACCCTGTGCTCAAGCGATCGAGCGAGTGCCGGGGGTGCACGGCAGACGACGATAAGTGTCAAAAGGAGACGGGTAGATGGTTGCGACCGCCTGGGCCCCATCGCCCAGCCACAAGCGCGCCAGATGCAACAGACCGTGCGAGTTTCATTTTGGCTGACACCTGCAAACGGCGTGTCATCTGGCCAGTGGCGCAAGTCTCCCAGTTTGCCTGACATGGTATCAGTACCCGTGTTGGTTCCCACCCTGTTTCAAAGCGAAGCAGCAGCGTCAGCGTAGGGGGGTTTGGCCGAGACATGGGGCGATTCTGAAAGCGCACCGGTTAACGACGCTGCCTCGGACGCCGTGGCGGATGCGCAAAGTAAACTGCTCAGCCGCAGCCACAAAATAGGAATTGCCGGCATTTTTTGCTGCACTCAGCGATGGCTCGTAGCTGTGTGCCCGAGCGTTTGAAGAGGAGACACAGAATGTCAGTGTGCATGGCACGCATCCACTGGCATCAGAGGCCCGACAAAACGGAAAAAGGAGCATGGCAGGGGCAAAAAGCCGGTGCATTGGGGACCAGCTCGATGCGAGACCTACGAGCAATCAGCAAAGAACTGGTCGTCTGAGCAGTTGGCAACTTGCGAGTAGACGCTGAGGCGACTCGTGATGGCAGCCGAGTATTCCTTGCCGACAGGGTACTGTCCGGACGTTGGCAGGCGTGAGACAAGAGACATGTGCTTGGGTCGATGGGCGACGAATTTGCTGCAAAATCAAACGCAGACCTCGGCTTGGTACTGGTCCCAATAAAGGCAGGGCAGCAAGGTGTTGTTGGTCGAGCACGGATTATTGTCTAGGCGTGTGAAAGAGGAGAACCAAAGTCAGTAGATGCAACAACTCGCGCGAGGGGGCACTGGAACCGTTTTTGCTCCATCCGAGCCTTCTTCAAGCCTAATCCAGGCCGAGCGTACCATCGCAACAGTAGGGAATGTCCACGGGCAAGGAGCGGTTGGCCGGTTCCTCGGTGTTGAGGACAATGCTGCCCGTTTGAATTTGTTCCAGTCGCAGGTAGCCTGAAAGTGGCGGGGCACATAAGCAGAGTCTGACCCAGGCCAAGCCCGATATACGGGCAGGGGAGTGTGGGGGGGAGGGCACTGACCTTTGCTGATGACGATACCGTAGATGATGAGATAGAGCAGGATGGCAATCTGAAAGGAGTAATACAAGACGCCGAGTTTAAAGTCGCGCACGCGCACAATCTTGACCGTCTCGTCTATGGGCAGAGGCGACAGATTTTGAGTCATAGCACCCTGGTGCCCAAACTGCGTGCAAGCCTTGGTGGTAGCGGCAGATGAGGAATGACGTACAAGCAAAGACTTCATCAATGTCCCATCCCTGCAGAGGTGATCAAGACCACATGGTGAGCTCAGCCCGGGTGGGGAGGACTCCAATAGGTTGGATGAGGAATCGGATGTCCACAGCTTACCCTTCGGGCCAGCCAGCGTCCTACAAAGCCGCCATTGGCCTCGCTGCCATCGGCAAAGGCTTCCGCGTCCGCGCCCATCCTTGAGTCCTGCACCTGCATCAGTCCCGCGTGTCCGCCATTGCACGAGGCGGGTGCGTGTTCAGTTTCCAGTCGCTTTTGCTCGATCTTCACAACTTCGAGGCTGGGAAACACCCGAGTCAAGCTCAAAGACCTTGCCTCTACCAGAAACCCTGCCTCCCACTCGCGGCAGAGCCACCAGAGCAGCCATGCGACTTCCTCCCACCCGCCAGCATCATGATGTCGCTCACCTTCACAAGATCGTGCCAAGATGTCAAATGAGAGAGAGAGAGAGAGAGTGTGTGTGTGTGTGTGTGTGTGAGTGTGTGGTTGAAGAAGAAGTTTGATGTTGTCGTCATCCACAAATGTCAGACAACACCACTGAATGTCAGATTTCACATCTATCCCAAATTCCATATCAATATGGCGAGAAAAGAAGGCCTACAACAGTTCAGACTTGCACAGAGTTATTGCTCTGGGTTGAAAGTTGGAGAAGGAAAAGGAGAGTGAGACGCTGACTGACACACACATACACTGAAGAGGGATTGAGAGCATTTTTTTTTCTTTCTGTTTGGGACTCGACGCAGACGCGAGAGAACGACGAGATGAGGGCTGTTCTCGCCGCCGTTTTGGTTGCCGTGGCCGTGGCTGCGCCCCTGAGCTCCTGGGAGCAGGTAAGCGACTTGGCTTGATTTTGATGTGGCGTTTGGAGGTGCATGCTTTTTTTTGTGGCTGTGTTTGGTTTCGACTTGCGTCGTTTTTTTCGTTTGTTTGTATTTGGGTCGTGGTGATCGACTGGCTGTGAGTTGTGTTCGACGGGGCATTGCGACAGAGCCTCATTCAAGTGCTTGCGTTTGTGTGTGCCGACAGTTCAAGAGCGACTTTGGCAAGGAATATGCCACCGGTGCGGAGGAGGCTTCGCGCTACCAGATTTTCTTCGAGAACTTGCGCGTCATTGAGGCGCACAACGCCGGCAACAGCTCGTTCACCATGGGCATCACCCAGTTTGCCGACCTCACCGCCGCCGAGTTTTCCGCCTACGTCAAACGCTTCCCCATGAACGTCACCCGCCCTCGCAACGAGGTTTGGATTACCGAGGCCCCTTTGCAGGAGGTGGACTGGCGCCAGAAGAACGCTGTCACGGAGATTAAGAACCAAGGCCAGTGCGGTTCCTGCTGGTCCTTCTCCACCACCGGCTCGGTTGAGGGCGCCCACGCCATTGCCACGGGCAAGCTCGTCTCCCTTTCCGAGCAGCAGCTCATGGACTGCTCCACCCGCTACGGCAACCATGGCTGCAACGGTGGCCTGATGGACTACGCTTTCGAGTACGTCATTGCCAACGGTGGTCTCGACACTGAGGAGGACTACCCTTACACTGCCGAAGATGGCAAGTGCAACACGGAAAAGGAGAAGAAGCATGCTGCCGAGATCCACGGCTTCAGGAACGTCCCCAAGGAGCACGAGGACCAGCTCGCGGCTGCCGTCTCGATCGGCCCCGTCTCGGTTGCCATTGAGGCCGACCAGGCTGGCTTCCAGCATTACACCTCGGGTGTCTTTGACGGCAAGTGCGGCACCAGCCTCGACCACGGTGTTCTCGTTGTCGGCTACTCGGACGACTACTGGATTGTCAAGAACTCGTGGGGCAAGTCGTGGGGCGAGGAAGGCTACATTCGCCTGAAGCGCGGCGTCGACAAGAAGGGCATGTGCGGCATCACCATGCAGGCCTCCTACCCCGAGGTCAAGAAGAGCGTCGTGGCCCCAGCGGCCTCGAACGACTACGAAGACCCCAACCCCAACGGTTGCAACTCGGGTGAGCAGGCCATTCAGATCACCGGCGTCTCGGGCAGCTTCTGCTCGCCTTCATGCTCCACCTCCTCGGCCTGTCCCACGAATGTGCCCTCGGGCACCACGGCGCGCCCCGAGTGCGTCCTCGAAATGCCAGGCTCCAGCAGCCCCACCCGCTGCGCTCTCATTTGCGACCCCTCGAGCGGTGGTTGCCCCTCGGGTGCCACCTGCCAATCCATCTCTGGCACGGGCGTCTGCACTTACGCCAACTAATTGAGTGATGGCAACTTGTCAAATTTGGTGATACGCTGTTTCAATCCACTTTCAATTCACATCACAAACAAGACACGTCATAGCGCAACGGTTGCTCATGGCCAGGGCCAAGTCACAGTGAAGTGACGCGCGAGCTCAGCTCGCAGGATCGGCACAATGGTTGCCCCTGGATGTTAAATGGGGCGAGTCATGGCCTCATCGGCTTGTTGCACCGCCGCCACCAGTCCCTTGTAATCAACTTGCCCTGCGCTGTTGCGCGGGGCCATGGCCAACAGGGCCTGAACCTCCTCATTCGGCATGCCATTTCCATATTGCGTCAGCATCTGAAAGCGCGCAACCATGAGTCTGGCCACAAGGCAGGTGAATCCAGAAGCAGACAAATTGGCGGCACTCACATGCACAAGGTTTTCCTCGGTGATGAAGCCCTGCAAATCCTCATCGAACATGCGAAACGATTGTTCTTTCGTTGGGTCCATTCACAACGAGAGTCAAGGTCAGCAAAAATGAGTCTGGGGAAGCTCGACCGAGGGTTGGTCACCATGGTCCCAGGGGTGCGGCGATCTGAGCGTACCGACGTCGTGGGCCATGTCTGTTTTGGGTTCCGCCAGCTGTTGCGCCAGTACTTGCACAAACTCGTCCCGATCAAGACGTCCATCTCCATTGCGGTCTGCCCCGACCAGCAATTGCTCTACCGCTTGCTGAGAATCACCGACCCCGCCCGACCAGACCCGCCGACACACATTTGTGAGGATCGCTTGAGACCAAAAAAAAGCGGCTCAAAAGCACCGGTCGGTGATACAGCACGGCCAATCAGAGCGCAAGTGCAAAGGCACTCGGACTGGACACCTTTCGCACCTCGGTGGGGCTCAGCCCCAAGACTTGAAGACCTTGCTGCAGCTGGGCCGACGATACGGTGCCCTGCCGTGTCTGCTCGTCAGAATTCAGGCCCATGAGGTTACAGGGCTTGGCAGTCGCATGCAGTAGCTTAATCATGCCCTCTTGCCATACCTGATCCAAAAAGTCAAAGAGGGCCACCAGCTGTTGCTGTTGCCGCTTGGTCGCCGCCGCCATTTTGCCCAAACTCGAAGCCAGGTTGCCAAGCACGCACCACACTCATGCAGCAAAAAATCAAGAAGATGCAGATGGTTCACGATGATTAAAGACAATACACCCCAAGTTTGTGCAGCAGATTAACGCGATGTTAACGTCAGCAAAACGGGCCTCAAAATGAAATTTCACTCTCTTGTTTTAATCCCAAGTCGATTTTTTTTTTTTCTCAACTGTGCGCAGCTCATTGCCTCTCTCTCTCTCTCGTCGTCGTCGATGGGAGGGTGTTGCGCTGGCGTGAAGCGCGCACCTCGAGTAATGCATGCAGAATAGGCACAGTTTAAAGTAGGCTTGATTGAGGCCTTGTGCGCGATCCGTATCGTGGTCATGCGCGGTTGGACTCTGCCGCTTGCGGCGGGTGCGGCAACGGCCCTGCTCGTGCTCGCTTGGATCGATCAACCCCCTTGGTCGCCTCTGGGCTCTGCGGTTGGCATCATTGCCGTCGTGGCCTGGTCATTTTTGCCTTGGTATGTTCCGCTGGTGGCAGTCCTTGCTTTTGGCACACCTTTGGCTGGTCTTCTACAATTCTCTTCCTCTAGCCTCTGGTCTCTGCGTCAGAGCTACCCTTCCAGCACCGAGCTGATTGCATTCGCTCGCGAATCGCGAAATAGGTTGGCCCTCGGGGTGATACGGTATTTCGTTTCACTTGTGGGCGGAGAATTGAGCTGTGAAACATGTGCCTGGGGCCGCATTGCTCGCCTCAAGGTCGACTTTGCCTCGCTACAGATTGTATGTGGTCCTGCCGACGCAGCAGTCGAAGGCTCCGGCACCTGCAGCTGTTCTTGTTGTCCGTGTGAGCGTCTCTCTCATCAGGACCGGGCTTGGGCTTTGGCTTTGGCTTTGGCTCTGGCTTTGGCTTTGAATTGTAGAGTCTGAGTGAGCTTGATTGCACCATCACGAGCCGGCGACTCTATGTCGTCATCAACGGCTTGCATGTCGTTCGACGCAGGACAGGCTCGCGGGCCAAGTCCCGCTCGCCAACAGCCCAGCTTCCTCCCTTGTGGCTGTGTACCCAAGCACTGCGTATCGCCAAGGTATTACGGCGCCCCATATTGCACTCCTGAGCCCCCACCACCTTCTTTTCCTCGACTGCCGGCTGCTTTAGCCGCCAAGATCCTGATCTTCTGACTCACGCATTTGCTTGCCTCGACCCCACCGACCCATGCCGGATTGTAGCTGATCAATCTGACCCTGCGTGGTGTCGACCTGGAGCAACGGGGCTGTAGCAAGCAGACACAAGTCCGCCTGGCTTTTCTGCAATGGTCGACGCGCGAGGATGGCATCGACGCTACTCTTGACTTGGAGTCTTTAATGATCATTCGAGCTGACGATCACACTCGCTCAAGTTTGCACTTGACGACGGCCGGGGCCATCCTGAACGTAGCACAGTTTCCTTTGCCTCGAGCCGCGCTCAATTTCGGTACCATCGCGTGCCAAGTTACCCATTTGGCGGCCCCTGAGATGAGTGCAGTGTCTCGTCGCTCCAGCAGCGCAGCCATGTTGGCGTCATCTCGTCGGTTGCCCAGTACTAAAACTGACGCCGATGGAGACGCCGACGTTGACGCTGGTGCCAGTGTGCTGAGTGCCCGGTCAACCAATTCGATCGACTCGTCCCAGAGCGCCCAATCCTCTGCTTCTCACGCTTCAACAGATGAAATGGACGAGCTGTTAGATGTTCATGCTGCCATGGAACGCCTGGCGCGCTACCTACCACAAGACGTGTCCGTGACCGTAGCCCCAACGTGGCAATATACAGCGGCCACTCCAGACGGGCGACAGATTCAGGGCAGAGCTCAGACGGCCATCAATGCCGCACTGCGCTTCAATGCACAGGCTGCCACGATGCAACTGGAATTTGAGCTGATCGAGCCCGTCACAGCCACGGCCACTCTTAACGACGAGCATGTGGGCCGACTTCACGTTGATGATGTCAAATGCAGCCTCAACATGACCACCAGCAAGGTCAGCTGTGACCTTGCTGCAGCAGCGTTGGGTCTCAGCGCCGATCCTGTTCAGGCTGCTGCTTTAGCTTCGGCCTTGATCCTGGCCCAGCACTCAAGGTCCAGCCCGGACGCCACCCTCTCAAGATCATCACTGGCGCGGCAGGCACCTGCGATGGCGATGCCCTCGACTACGCGCCCCTCCGGTCTGGTTACAAGGCTCAAATCGGACTTTGACATGGCTTGTTCGCTTCGCCGCGTCGACATGTGTCTTGCAGCAGATGACGGGCCTGTTTTGACAGTCGCAACGCATGACCTCACGCTCAACGGCTCCAAGCAAGGGCACGGCCGACACGCGATGGGGCTCCTGTCCCTGGCTGGTCAAGCCACAGCCCACCTGGCTGAGAGTGAGATTCTGGCCATTCCCATGCAGGAGCTCTGTCAATTCCAGCACTGGGCATTTGTAGATGGCCGTGGTCGTGGCAAATCTACGCTCCGCGTTCGCTGCGAACAAAGCCACATCCGCCTGGACAGACGCTCTCTTCAGACCCTTCAGCACTGGCATCAACTTGTCCAGCGCGAGAAGAGCGCTGCCGAAGAACTAACAAGGAGTGAGCAGGGCGAGGATTGCCTGCCAACCAACGCACCGGTCACAACATCATGCTCATCTACTCCCACGGCGCCGACAGCCATCCCTGCAGCTGATCGCACCATTCAAGTGCGGTTGGGTGACTGCTCCTGTGCAATTGAGGTTGCGCCTGTCTACGGCAACACGAAGCTACCCCCGGCCTACGTAGAGGCCTCCTTGGCTTTGTTGCATGTTACGGCCGATGGACCTCAGGTCACGCACCTGCAGCTCCAAGAGCTACGACTGCAAACCTCACGCCACTCCAAGCCCTTGCTCTCGCTGGCAGCAGTGTCCGGTGTTCTAGCGCAAGGCATCCTACACATCGAGGCTAGCCCAACCTACCTGTACTGGACCTTGGGACAACAACTGTATCTCTCAACGGCTGCACAAATCGGTCGTTCATTTCGTAGTACGGCCTCCTCACCGCCAAGTTCATGTCCACCACAACGTATGCCATCCAGCAAGACGCTTGAAGCAGACATGTCAGCCCAGTGTTTCTTTTCGTGCCCACTGGCGCGCTTCGAAGTCGTGCTGGAGGCAGGCACTACACAGCTTGGCTTGAGTGTGCAGGGCGCGCTGCAAAAGCTCGAGGCTGAGCCGGCTTGCCTCGTCAATGGCCGAGCAGAATTACGCCTGGACGATCTGCAGCTGGGCAAGGTGCGGTTGGGCATTTGGTGTCCTCGCAGCTGCTTTTGAAAGTGTGACAGGTGCTGGTACCCCCCCCTGTTGAAGTTTGATGCATGATGCACTCTTGACTCACCATACATTTTTCATAGGCGGAGAATTTGTCCATTTCACTGGCACATGATCAGGCAGGCGTGGCTCGCGAGCGAGCCCTATTTGTGGAAACCTTGCGCACAAAAGCTCAATCACACAAGCTGTACTCGCCCAGTGAAATGGATCTGGTCTTTGGTCCGGTCGACGCGACGGCTGTTCTGTACGTGCCGACGCGAGGGGAACAGCTTGCCTAACCCTAGACTGATCCCTCCAGCGCACTCTGCATATTCCTGTTTCACCCCATCCTGCTCGCTGATTCTGGTCTGATCGCCTGGGCCCCGCATGTGAATTCGCACAGGCGAATAGCCGCGCACACGATTACATTGACCGCGCCCCATGAGACTGACGTTGGTGTAGGCCTCGAGCGGATCAAGCAGTCTGTCAATGCCGCACAGCAGCATGCTCGTACAGCTGCCAGGCCCGCAGATGCCGGTTCTGCAACTCAGAACCCTGCGCCACCAACCTCACCAGAGTCAGGGTTGTCAGTTCTGCTCGACTTTCAGACCGTTCGCATCGTGTTTCCAGCTCAGGACTTGGAGCGGTGCCTCCACCGCACATGGCGTACCTGGTTAGATGAAGTGGACCTGAAGGTGCGTTTTGAAGTTAACCACCATCCGCTTGCAGATCAGTGGGGCTGAGCGTCCTGTTGCACATGTGTACGCAATGAACACCCGTTGTCAATGGACCACCATGGGCTGGGTTGTACAGGAATCGCGCGAGCAAAGCTTGGAGGAGCGTATTCAAGCCATGAAGGTATCCGCTTCCTCTATTGCCAACGTTTGGGACCAGCATGTGTCGTCCCCTTGATGGAGGAGATGACGCATCCTTGTCTTTGCTGACGACCGTCCCTCGTAGGCTGCAGGTGAAGCGAGCGAGGAGCGCATTGCTGCCATTTATGCAGCGCTTCATCAAAAGACTAGCGAACTATTCGTTCAGGCTTTGCGCCAGAGCAAGGTCTGTGGCAGACTCCTGAGATGGGCATGGCAGTTGAAGCAGTATTCACTGTCAATCTGGCTCTCAGCCTTGAAGCGCGCTGTTTGTCTGTTTGCATCTCATGGTCCTTGATTTGGGCAACGGCATTCCAGGTCGCACCACTCAACTACATGACTATAACCTACGAAGGCCTGCGCATTGCTCTCTTCGACTTCAACCCACCCGGCGGACTAGCACACCTCATTCAGACGTTAGATCGACCTCGCACGCACAAAGAGTACACTGCCGGGATCAGCACCAGTACCGTCAGGTATGTCTTGTCTCGCTTGGGTGGCGGGACTTTTCGAACAACGGTGCCCAGCCACACAGCGAGACCTCGCCTCGTATTTGCCGATGGCTTGTGTAAAAGACGCTCGCACATGTCGTAGCTTGCAGATGGCCAGCTGACTCCATCCTTTTATCTTGTTGGGCACCCTCTCCCGTGAATACGTTTCTTGCTATGTGTCTTTCAATAGGAAGGTGGGCATGCACATGAATACCATGACCGTCAAGGTGGCTGATGCAGGGCTTCCGCTACTTCGGTTTGAGTCAATGTCCCTCCATGGCACGATTGCCATCATCTCGCCCAATCCTGGGCCCTATGCCGCCCACAACGTTAATTTGCAGCTGGATACGGGCGACTCCGTCACCTTTGCACGCAGCGTCACGCCCGCCAAGCTGTATCACGCTCTCGATGTGTCGGGCGATGGTAAGTCATCTTTCCTTCCCGTTCTTTTGACATACTGCCAGCCAAAGCGCAACCATTCCTTGGCCGACACCTGGGAAAAAACAAACCAAAAAAACCGGCATGGCTGACTGGAAATATGTACTCGCTTGGCGTTGTGGCGGCGGGGATGTACAGCCCTGCGCTTGGGATGGTCTCGTTGCTATGATGCACTGGTGGCTCGAGCCAGCGTCGTCTTCGAGCTCTTGGATATCGGTTCCGGCGTAGATCCTTCCCCACCGACGCCTTGGTTTGATCGAGCTCGGTGCGTGTTGTTGGCTCTAGCGTGCATGATACACCGTGCGGTTGCACTTGGGTTTTGTGACATTCTATTCATGGCACGCTCACCCTATTGCGACTTTTGCAACAGATTTTTGCGTCACGGTAGCCTGGATCTGACACTTGGCGAATTTGAGATGATCAACGTCCTCACCAAAGATCCAACCAACTTTGACGAGCGCCTCATTATGCGGGTATGAGCTGCGTGGAATCTACGCCCAACTCCAACGACGTTGTCGCTTGTCGCAGCCTCATGCGCCGGGCTGTGTTTGGCTCATTCGTCTTGATCTGTACGCTCCTTCTTTGGCGGCAGGTTCAACCCTGCTCGGCCTATTGGTATCATGCCCAGCTTGGCTGGAACGGCAATCTGGAGATGATACTCCATTGTGACAACAAATTTGATCAAACCCCGCTTATGGAGTGGCGAGGCATGCGTCTCGATATCTATCTGCACTGGCTGGCCACATGTACGTGGGGGTCTGGCCTGTCAATGCTGGCTTCAGTTGCTTCGGTTGTGCTAGGTTGTGATGTTGGTTTGTTGCATCTTGACATCCTGCTCTTGCAGCTGTTTTCATTTAATCAAAATCCTGGCGTTTGGCTTGATGTTTAGATGATCCCGATGATCACCATCGTTGCGAAGCGGCTTCTGTGCAGTCAGCGCCTGCCCACTTTGATGTCCTGGAGGGCTTTAGATCTGAGCGCCTCGACATGGATGTTGTCATGCACAGCACGCCGGAGGATCATGATGGACCGGCTCTGCTGATGTATGGGAGCACCGTGCATTGGTGCCGGCGCCTGCAAGAGGGCCTGGGGACGCTTGGATCGCCCGTCGTCCGGGGCAATTTGTTTGCCAAAGGCGGCGTGCTCAAGCCTGCTTCTGAATGGGCTGTGAACAAAGCCGGCGACTTTCGCTTTCGAAGCCGGTACGAGGCGCTACCTGTTGCCCAATGCGTCGTGGCCGTTGCTACTGAGTGAGCATCTTCGAATCGTGCGAATGCAAGTACACGCACCACGAGGCAGTGTGCTCTACTACAATCAATTCTCTCGCCAACAAGGCGTGTTTGCAGAAACGGATGACTTGGATCTGCGCTGCCTCTACGCCCATCTTGCACTGCCATCGCGTCACAACAACGAGCGATCGCTCAAGCTAAGGTGCGTCGTCACCTTCTGGCACTTTCTTTGCCCTGATCTCACGGCAGACAAGCGTTCATATGTATTACGTCAATAAGGCCCACGTCCCCGACCCCAACCCGCTCAGACGCCCACTCATCATTGCCCTCCCGCTTCACACCCGGTGGGGCGCGTTGTCACGACTGACTAATATGTGTCCATGACGTGTGGATAGGCCGAGCCTAGAATGGGTGCTCACACACGCGGAGACGCAAATGACGCACTGCCACATGTGCGTGATGGGCAATGAATCCCACCAAGTGGAACGTGCCGATGACCCAACAACCACGCTCTACAATCCAGAGCTGGTGATCGACTCCGTGAGCAAAGCTACTGCCGTGTGCCGCACACGGGCAACATATATTCGTCGTGTGTTGGATCTGCCTCTTTCTCAGACCGATCTCGACGCTTCCGGCATACCCGTGGATTGCAGTGTGGACGGCGACGCCTTCACCTTTGACGAGGAGACCTGGTATCACTATGCTTATTCGGACGAATGCTTTTATCAGGTCATGTCCCAGGCCGTGGGTGCCCAAGAGCTTCTGCAGCGATCCTTTTCCACAAGCATGCGGCCTGATACAGCCGAGGAAATCAAGCATGCCGGGTCAACGGCATCACAACCAGCGCCTTCTGCAGCGCGGGCGCTTCTGTTGCGGCAGCTCATGAGTAGTCGTGCCACCTCACCAAGTCCGACTTCGCAGCGAACGTTTGACATTGGCATGCTTTTGGATGACGCCGAGCTCGTCTCTTCTCACCCGGAACCCAAGGTGGTCCTTCAACCTCAAACGCATTTCAATGAGGACGGCCACGCCTTTGTGCAGTGGGTGAAGCTGGTTCACATGCGCATGTCGTGGAATTGGAACGTCAAAAGGGTCAGTCGATGTTTTACAAGGGCTTTGGGCCAACAATTGCTCTGTTGTTTTGCGTGAAGCTTTTGTCGGCTGGCCACTCGAGGCATGCTTGTTAGGGTCCAACTCAATTGTTGGGGCATCCGGGCATTTGTGGTAATTGTCCTTGTATAGATTCTTGGGCCGATCTATCGCGCATACAAGGAGCAGCGATTGTTGCGCTTTGACTTATCACCCGAAGCTCTTCGCCCAATTACCGTGGCATCTGGGCGAGAGGAAGGACAGGGTCTCGAGGGCACGCCACGACGTACTCGGCAAGCCTCCAGTTCGTCAACGCCCAGTCTTGAGTCTGCCCTCGAAAAACTGGTGGCACAGGATAGTCCGTTGGTTAGTTGCTGTTCCCTCGCGTGCTGCATGTATTGCTGCATGTACAAGCCGACGAATGCCAGGTTGCATGCTCACGGTGCATGGTGCTTGTTTGCTGCAACAGTCACCGACTGCATTTCAGCCGATCACTTTGCTGGACGACACAGCTACATCACTAGATGCCACGACCACCTCAGACCCGTTTGCTGCGCTTCAGTTGGAGTCGGATACGGAGGAACACAAGTTTTTGGTTGAGTTTGTTAAACCGCAAATCTGGCTCCAGGGCCCTGTCACAGGCACTTCGCTCCAGCTCGTGTTAACTGCGGAGCGCAGCGTCATGGAGCAACGCAATCATACTTTGGCATATCGCCAGGGTCGATTTGATATGAAAGAATCGCTCAAGGGTCGCCACGAGGACCTTCAGTACTTTGCTGTGCAGCATGAGCATCGCCGACCAGTTTGGCTACCTCGTAGTTTGGTGCAACGTCCGGGATTCCTGATTGATGCCAGCGACGAGGACTTGGAGGGTCTGTTGTGGCGAGTGGTTCATCCATGCCTCCTTCGTACGGTCAATGTGACGTATTATCACGATGCTGTGGCAGCGGCACGCCTGTCACGACGGCAGGCACGCCGCCTGCGTACCTTACAACAAGGACGTTTTGATGACATATTTGACACACAGGAGGAGCTCTACGACACCATTCACGTTCACCACGATAAAATCAAGATGGAAACCACGTCTGCGCATTGGGCCATGCTGCAGGATGTCATGTATGAGCTGCTCTTGGCCAAGGACGATGTGGAGCAGGAAGTGCGGGATCGTCAAGAAACGCACCAATACATCAACCAGTTTCAGCATCAAGGGCTGGAGGAGCGTGGCCAGCAGGTACATAGTCGACAAGTGTCCGTCCGGCAACTACAGCGTCGGTTGGTTTTGCTAGAGCGGGAAGCCTGGCTGCTACGCCGTGCCCAGGGATCCGACGTGGCCGGAACTAACACTGCGGAGAGGACTGCAGCCATCGCAACCGCAAACGACATGAAGCGACTTTCTGAGGTCTGTACATCTGTCCTTGCGGGCGAGCGTCTGGTTTGTAACGGTTTGTATGACGGGCCGGCATGACTACACAGGAGTGGAGCCGGGCCAAGCGGCTGATGTTATTGGCCAAGCGTGACCTGCGCATCAAGGTGACGTCTCTGCGCGAGGCTGCTTTTGTGCCGGGCGAGCTCAGTTACACGCAGGTGTGTCCCAGACCTGAAAGGCACACACTTCTGAAGCATGCGCTTGCCTAGTTGAAGGTCTTGCAACGCCTGCAGGGCTAAGGTCATGCTGTTCGAGCTCAGACCTACCTCTTTATCTGCCACAGGATCTGGAGCACATGGGCGTGTTGCGGAGCGAGATTAATAACTGGGTTTGGCTAATGCGCACGTCAGACGCACCCTTTGACTTGATCGCTGAGAGTCACAGCAGCCATCTTTCGTACAGCCGTGTATCACACAGCAATGGTGCGGGTGAGACCCAGTACGAGGTGGCCGATGTCACCGTGCGCAACGGCCTACCCAACGAGAGGTGAGTCGGGGTCGATGATGATGGTTTAAGACAAATGCGCTTGAGGTTTACCAGTGCGCAAGACATGATATAATTTGACTTGTGTGCCTAGGTACCCCGTGATTCTTGGGCGCTACCAGGGCAAAGATGGTGCCGCATGTGTGGACCGCAATCAAATGATGCGCTACTACACTCGCCAAGCGGCGCCCGTCGGTGGCATCACCGTGGTTGAGCACACTGAGCTAAACTGTTGTCCACTGCTGGTGCAGCTCTCAGGCCGGTGAGTGATTGGCCATTCTTGTCCACTCTAGTCCACTGTGTTTGCCTGCCTCATGATACCATGGTTTGGCCGTGCGTGGCACGATCCTGACATACTTTGATCAGGCTGGTGAAAGAGGTGGAACGGTTTTTCGCGATCGATGAAGACAAGGACAAGGGCGCAGCCGAAGCACCATCCCGTCGGCGCATGTCAATGCGCGAGCGTGCCGATTCGGATGTTCGCTCGCTTCGAAAGCTACGAACCAAGTGAGGGGAAGCCCGCGACCCGCGCCTGACCAGATATGCCCTCCTGACGCATGCCTTTCTTCTGTGGCTGACCCCTAATCTGAGTTGCTTGCGTGTTGGGGCAACAGAATGTCTGCCATGCGGTTGCGGGACAACATTGAGGCCATGCGTGAGCGCGCGGAGCGCAACACAACCTTTCTGTTTGTAAAAATCCCCACGCTGCAAGCTTGCGTGAGCTTCAAGGCGGACGGTGCTATTGGTGACATTCACAATTTTGTCATGTCTGTCCCTACTTTTGAGTATCACAAGTCAGTCGAAGCTGCAGGTTTGAAGGCGAAAAGATCGGGAAGGAATGTGGCGATAGTTTGCTCAACTGTGGTTGTGCTTGCGTAGCGAGACCTGCACGCCCACCGACATGTTGCGCAAGTACAAGGCCGATGTCTCCGGGCACGTCCTCGCACAGGTACGTGCCGGGATCGCCTTAGTCGTTTCCTGTTGCCAGGGCGAAACGGGTCTGATGCATTCAGTTGAAATTGTCTCTTGGTGTTTCTGTGTGTAGGCAATTGGCCACAAGATGTCACTATTCCGATCGGACAGCAACTCGGGGCGTCACGACAAAGCCAAATCCTCGAGTACGTCCCATTTACTTGGCTTGCGCTGCGAGCGCGCGCTCTCGCTCTGGAGAGAGAGAGGAGGGGAAGCGACGGAGAGAGGGGGATGTGTGTGTGTGTGTGTGTGTGGTGTGTGTGTGTCAGCAGGCGGGATACACACATCGGGACATGACGGTTTGGGTGCGCATGCGTATTGCTTCGGATAGAGAGCAAAGACAAGCGGAGGCTCTTCCTTGGAAAACATGCGAGTGGCTCGGAAGAAAACCTGCACACTCGCACATCGCGATCAGGCGTCTTCGGAATGTTTCGCCGCCGCGGGAATGCATCCGATCAAGTGGCGCCTCCAGTACCCTTGGCCAGCGAAGACGAGGACGGGGAAGATCTTGACAGCAGCCTTGCTTCCAAAGGGAATGACCATCCAGATTCGGCCTCTCTCGCATCCTTATAGCTTTGCAATGTACCAGAGGCTATTCTGTGTGCGTTGAGTGGTTTGCAGCCTTGTGACTGAAAGGCAGTTCGACTATCAACTAATCGATTTGAGTTTGGGGGAAAACGGCAGGCTGTGATGTAGGGCCCAATGATGAGATTGCTTTGGCTGCGCCGCCACACTTTGTTGTGTAGGTGCGGTGCAAGCAGGCTAAACCAGCCAAGATGAGGCGGACCGAGAACAGGCGGTCGAAGGAAAGCGACCGGAGCATAGTGGACAAAAAAAACCAAAAAACAAAAACCAAAACCACTCTGTTGAATGCTGAGGCGGGGCTCGCAAAGAGCATCATAGCGCCAGTGGGTGCTCACTGCATCTGCTCCCATTGCTGAGGCGTGTAAGACTTCTAAAAAGGAAAATCGCAGGCAAGGACGAGGTGGGGGCGGCAAGCGTGACATCAGCAAAAAGGCCAATTCGTGCAGCGGTATCGCGGCCGAGGAGGAGGAAGCTTTGAGCGAAGGTGCAGATTTGGCTCCCAGTGCGTCTGCACGTGAAGAGCCAAGCGTGGTTGACTTCACCTGAGAAAAGGCATGCACCTGCTTGAGTTCATCGGCGATGCAGGCGTTGACCATGCTAAAGGTGCGTTGAACGTTCATGTTTGTGAGCAAGAAAGGTCCAAAGCCACCGACTGGAGCGATGAGGGGTGGATCGTACCGGTGCTTCTCCAGGACTTTCTTGCCCTCAAAAGCACTCGACACAATGACGGCTTCAAACATCTGACCGCAGCCGCCTGAGGTGTCCTTGACCTGAATCAGATGCAGCCAGGCAGGCGATCGCCCATGATGAGGTCGCCCGCAAGCTGCCAGCTGAGCACGTGTGTCAGCCCACACGCACGACGACAGGCACGCGTGTACAAACCTCCACGTGCGAAGCCTGCAAGCCCTCGCGCAGCTTGTCACTCAAACTCCCCGCTGTGATGCCTGCCATTGTGCTTGTGCCTGGTTGCCAAATTGAGAAGGAGAGAGACGAACAGAGAGAGAGAGAGAGGTGAACACGAGAGAGAGAGAGAGAGAGAGAGCGAGCAGAGAATTGTTTGAAAGGAATACATGGGAGAGAGAGAGATTCCGAATGGTCAAGAATTAAGATTCTGACATCATAATTATGATGACCTTCTTTATTTTTAATTTTTTTTTATTTCAAAGGTGTCGGAGCCCTCTCTCTCTCTCTCTCTCTCTGCCTCTCTCTTCTTGCCTGCGCGGGCAGCAATGCGAGAAGGTCTGAGCTGGCTGGCTTGATGGTGCCTGAAGGTCATTGTTCCGAGATAGTTCATGTGTCTACCCTAGCTCAGGGCGAGTGGGTGAGAGGGTGCAGGATAAGTAGGAAAGCGCAAGTGTGCAGCACCGACTGGTTCTAGCGGCCATGGCACCGAAGATTGTGGTTGTTGGCGGAGCGTTTGGTGGGTTGGCCTGCCTGCACCACCTGTGCAACTTGACCAGCTCGGAGGATTGTGAGCTGCTTTTGATCGAGCCGCGCGAGTACTTTGAGTATACCCCAGGCGTATTGCACAGCTTCGTACGCCCTGAGCGGCACCAACGCCTCATCTTTGACTATGATCAGCTTCCGCGCCGCATCCAGCACATCCAGGCCTACTTAAAGGCCGTCAACACCGACAAGAAGCAGCTGCAGCTTGAGACGTAAGACCCTGTTGCTGAACAATTTTCACTGCTGCCGTCCTGTGGCGATGAAAACATCGTTCATTGGTGCAGTTTACATTTGCCAACGCCATGGGTGGTGCCTTCTATGCCTTTAGCGTCCAAGCGAATGGCACGTCCAGCGAGGCTTGTCTCGACTACGATTTCCTGGTTCTGGCAACCGGCTTTGTGGACTACTCTGACGCCATCATTATGCCTCGTGCGCACACGGTCATTGGACGACAGCAGATCGTTGAGGCAAGAAAGCCGCTTTCATTCAGTATGGCTTGCATGCTGGTCACTCACCTGACCCTGGTGATCGTGGTCACATCTTGTCGTGCGTGCATGTAGGAGCGTGCGGCACGTCTCGCCGCAAGCGACACAATTTCTATCATTGGCGCCGGCGCCGTTGGCGTCGAGCTGGCTGCTGAGCTAGTTGAGCGTTATCCCGAGAAGCAAGTTCACCTTTTCTACCCTAGCGTAGGTAGAGTTGATGGTGACGCACTTTTTTTTTTTTTTTTTTTTTTTTTTTTTCTCAGCGGAGCCACGACTGTGCGTCCTTAATTTGATACGCATCCTTTTGTCTTTAAACAGGAGCACCTGCTGACGGAAATGCCCCCTCGAGCGCGCACCATGGCTGAAGATTGGCTGCGACAACATGGATGCCATCTACATTGTAATTCACGGGCACGTTTGGATGGAATTGAAACGCTTCCAGACGGACGCATGCGGTTACCCCTGGAGCAGAATAAAGACCTGACCTTTGACTTGGTCCTTGTGTGCACTGGCGGACGCAAGGTTTTGCCCGAGTATGCCAAAAACTCGCCGGCTTTACTTGCAGCGGCCTCATCATACGGTAGCCTGCGGGTCAACCAGCACTTTCAGCTGCTTGAGGCCGATAACATCTATGCCTGCGGCGACATCTGCGAACATCCTGGGCTTGCGGTGCGCACGGCTCAGATGGCCAACTGGGGGGGCATGGCCGTGGCTCAGCACATGGCAGAACAGTTGACACTCTCATCCAGCTGGTGCAGTGTTCGCCAGCATCACGCGTGGCCCACCTTTCTGGGGCATGAGCCCAGCAACTGGTCGCGCGTGTATATCGTGTCACTCGGCGCGCATCAAGGTATCGTCATCATGCAGGATACAGTCATGCCCACGACAGCAGGCTTGTACATGGGTGGCTTCGGCAAATGGTTTATCGAGCGCACAAAGGTCATGGAGAGCCGGGGCGATTGCTTCGGGACTTGCCTCTGGCAAATCGGCGACAGCATTGCCGCCTGCTTACGCCCTTTGGGATTTTAGGCCAGTAATGGCTCACTTTCGAAATTTGGTGGAACAATAGACTTTAAACAAAAAAAGAAAAAAAAAAGTTCAAGCATTGGTGGTGAATTCAACGGAGAGAAAAGGGCAGAGAGGATGACATGAGAACAGGGAAGAAAAAGAAAGAAGGGGAGCCGTCAGAGGCAGCTAATCACAGCCGCCAGTAGCGCCAGGCTGCCAGGGCGGCACCGCCCACAGCGGTTGCAGCCAGTGCAGTCAGGGCAGTGTCAATCTACAGATGAGATCAATGCAATGGCCAATCATGTTAGCATGGTAGCCAGTACAGCCGAGACGGCCTTTGCGGACGAAAGCATGGAACACCAACACAGCAAGAACGTACCGTGTGTGCCTGTTGCTTGCTTCGTGCCACCACGGTGGCGTACGGGATTTGCGAAAAGGTGACCATGGTGTACAGGGGAATAAAGGTGTTGGGCATCAGCGCGTGCAAGAAGTTGTCGACCTTCTTTCGAAAGAGGAACCAGCGCGAGTTGACCAGGTCGCGCATCTGATGGGTACCACGGGCCGAGTCGCAACGAAATGAGATGATATAGCCAGCATCCAGTCACATTCCGTGCGTGATGTAAACTCACTTCAACATAGTTGTACAGGGCCAGATCAGCAATAGCATGCACATCAGCCACTCGAGAGCGGCTATAGTCAGCCACGGCAGCATCTGTGGGACGGTGGCATGAAGATGAGCGCAGCTCCTATTGCTAGTAGGCATCTCTGCCATCATACAGAACGGTCAAGGCTGGTTGATACGGACTCACCAATGTCATTTGCATGCTTTTCAAGCAAGTTGTTAAAGACGAGGCAGTCTTCAAAGCCCTACTCAAGCCACCCAAGCATGGATTGTCATCATGGCGGCAAATCATAGCAAAAGAGAGATGGCGGGCGCGTCAGACTGACCGCATTCATGCCTTGTCCATAAAAAGGGACAACAGCGTGCGCCGCATCGCCCATCAGAATGGTTCGACGAGCGCCCACAGGATCGCACTGCATCCATCGAAACAGCAGTTCATCGAGCACCGAGCATGGTCAGTATGCACGCAAGAGAAGGGGACAGTTTGGAGCAAGGATGCGAAAGTGAAAAGAGCTTCGGGAACCTTTACCTTGACCGTCATGAGCGTGCCAGTTGGGTTCTCAAAGTAATCCTTCACCAGGCGTTCGCTACCAAAAAGGTACATCCGAGTGAGGATGAGGCGTGTGGCCCAACAAGCAGCTCTATTAGGTGCTGTGTTTTATGAGGCTTGAACAAACCGGCCAATAAGGGGAATGCTGTCCGGAAACTCGGCTTCAAAAAGCTCCAGCACATCCTCCTGCGAGCACGGAGCAATGTGACATGAACAATTCCATAAAACGTGTGTGCATGTGTGCATGCATTGTACGCACGGCTGTTTTGATCGAATCAAACTTGTCAAACGGCATGAACAAGGTTGCGGTAAACGTCTTATCCTGCATGTGCAGAGAACAGTTGAAAAGACACGAGTGAGTTTTCACAATGTGAGGCGTTTTGGGGGGACCGGAGAGAACACATGACCAACAAACCTGGTTGGGGAGCGCAATCATCATAAAGGTCGAGCGAGGCCAAATGTGCAAGAAATTGGCCTTGATTTGAAAGTCGCCTATCGCAAACCAGCAACCACTCAGCTACTCTCTTGCTTGAGGCTCGACTTGTAGGTGGCACGCCGAACAATAACAAACCATCGGGACCAGGGGGGATTGTCAACTCCTTGTAGCCATGGGGAATGTAGCGCTGTTGGTAGTTGACACTGAATACAATGCACGAAGCAGCGCAAGCAGTGAGGATTGGAGAGTTTAAAAGCTGCGTTGTGACCTATAACATGTGGCCATGCAAGAGAAAGGTCCAAGGTCGCACCGATCACTGCGCATCAAGCCGCGGCGGACTTGAGAGTGGGCACCATCGCAGCCAATGATCAAATCACCGGTGGCCTTGACTTCACCCTTGGGTCTAATCCACGAAAAAAATAGGGCGGCGGAGTTGGTGATGTGTCGCTGGGTTGATAGCAAAAGGGAATGGGCAAGGATTTGATCGCCTGCCAGCGCAGAGCGAAGAGACCTACGTTTTGAAGACAAGCGTGTTGCTCTTGGTGTCAGCACGTTGCAGCTTATGTTCAAAATGCAAGTGCACATTCGGCAAGCCCTCGGCAGCGGAGAGCAGGTGCTCGTTCAGGTTGCGGCGATCGATGGAGCGGATGGCCTAACCGAGTCAATCCCAGAGCATATTGCAAAGGCGCATTGTCGGTCAAAGGCGAGCGACTGACGAGCCAATTTCAGCCAATGACGCGGCGATCTCGCGACTGGCGCGCCATACCTGTCCTTGAGTACCATAAGGCTGGCTCGACTGCTGGCCATCATGGCTGTGGATCATACGCGCGTGCATGGGAATGCCAGCGTTGACAATCTAGCCCAACAATTTGGTGAGAAAAGGGGCGTCGGGAAGAGATCAAAAGCGCAGGGGGTATGAGTAGGCTGAGCGGCATGACCATGTGGTCGAGACCACAGCGTGCTGGGTGTCTGACCTCTGCTTCGACGCCAACTTCTCGCAGTGCCGCAATGCCGCGCACCGAGAGGGCCAAGTTGATGGACAAGCCTGAATAACGAGGCTCCTTCCGAATGTCTGACGAAGAAGCATTAGGGCAACCAAACAATGAGAAGACGGTAACTGTGCTGTTGAGCCGAGCAGACTGGAGCCCAACGACAAGGCGGCCAATACCCTCGCACCAGTTCGGCCTTCATATACGTGCACCTCATGACCACGACGGGCCATGTAAACGGCTTCCAGGGCGCCGACCTACGATGCACGATTGCAGGATGTCTTGGTGAAAGCATAGGGGGTTGACACGACTCTGAAGCGGCTCTGACTCACCAAGCCGCCGCCAACCACGATGACCTTCATGATTGCGTTTTCGGGTGTCTAAATTGGCAGCCAGACACATAGTTGCACAAAACCCCAACAACATGAGCGCAGCAACCCCATAGCATCAACCCCGCGACAGCAGGACCAAGCCGAGTCAGAGAGCACCAGGCCGCCCAGGGCCAACAAGCCAGCGCACACCGTTCCTTCACCCCGCACCTCAAATCGCCAAGCACACACACGGATGCAACAACGCTCCACATGCACACTGCGCACTCCAATGCAGGAGGTAACTGACTCAACACAGACAGGATGCAATACCAAAAAAACCCAGACAATTTGCGTGGTTTGTGTGAATTGATTTGTCAGACAGCAGATCCGAAACATTTGTCAGCACAATTTTTTTTTTTTTTTTTTTTTTTTTTTTTTTTTTTTTTTTCCGTGAGCGGAGAGAGTGACAGGGTGTTCCCAGTACAGGATGGGGCGTGTGGTCGAGTGTGGGGTGCGCCTGGAGGCACAGCTGAGCCCCTTTATGCTTGGCCTGTCGCGCAGTCTCATGACTCAGCTTGGCTTGACGGCCGCCAATCTTGATGCTTGTGTCTTGAGCTTGCAGCGAGGCGATCGACAGGCCTTGTGTCGTGCCGAGGACACGAGTGGGGTTGGCAGCGATGTTGGCCGAGGCGGACGCGGAGACCAGGTGGTACAGGTGGACACATCGACTTGGGCGCTTCTCTTTGGTGAACCCGCCACAGTAGTAGTGCAAGAGCAGAAATCACAAACTTGTTCTCTTCAAGTCTTTCAGAGTGCAGCCGCGGCACATCCTCTTGCCCACGTGTACCTCTGCCCCGTGGAGAACCCCCAGACTGCGGCTGTCGGTGATACAACTGCATCCTGGCGGTACGCGCGCCAGAAATGTGCATGTTTTAGTCTCTCTGATAGACGTTACCAAGCCCTGACACTTCACCCTCGCTCCCATCGCAGATTGACCTGTCCGCTTGAAGTAGCTATCGAGCAGTTGTTTGGCATGTTCTTGCCCACCAGCGCCGCTCCCCCCCTTTACCTGCCCGATATGCTTTTGGGCACAAGGGCCTATGACTGCGCTCTTGCGCCCACCCAGCCTATGCCGGCATTGCCCGCCCTTTATGTTGTGGATCACCGTACCAAAGTGGTCCTGCTGCCAGCCCCTTTGCGCGCTGCCAACCAGTACCTTTTTGCAACACCTCCTGCTACCTCAGAGACCAGCGCAGTGGCTATCGCCCAACGCCTACGTCAATGTGCTACAACGCTACCAGCGGTATGTTTGGCCTGAGCTGACTGTGAGTCCTTGCACGCTTGCCTCACCATGCTTCACCTTGCCGCAGGGCTATGAGTGGTTGGCGGAGGCACTTTTAGCCCGATGCCATGCCGTCACAGGCGCCGACCTGGCAAGCAGCAAAGACCAGGTGGGGTTTCTAACGGGGTGCCCATCAACATACCCCCGCCTGCGTTTCGTTTTTTGTGTCTTGTTTTGTTTTGTTTCTTGACCCCGACCCCAATGATGTCCAGTCAGCTTCCTTTGTTCATGGTGGTCGTGAGTGCATAGACCATTCCGTTCACGCCAAGCAGCATCATCATCGTTGATCAACTGGGGTCCGGCAAGCTTCACGCCATCCGTACACTGGCAGTAGCGCTGGGTGCGTGCTCCGTGACCTGGACAGAGTCAAAGTCGCAGGCTGATGTAAACAAACCTCACTCGAGCGTCACCTGGGTGAAACTGACTTTACTAGGTTGCCCAACGCTGGACATGAACGTTCTGGGCCCTCTGAACCAAGACTTGATCGACGAGGTCTGGACAAAGACCTACATTATAGCCAGGCGATGCACAAATGAGTTGATCATGGGCTGACAATCTCGGGTTCATTCTGGTCTCCATTCCAGGTTCAAGCGCTAGCCCTTCAGTGCCAACCAGCGGTTGTGATCCTGCCACGACCACTTGAAAACTTTTGCGAGGCTCAGGACGACGATGATGGTGCTTTCCATGCAGTGCGTTGCCCTCCTGATATGTCCACCCGAATATGTTTCCTTCCTCGGCTTTTTGCATGTGCGATGAATCGAACCAATTACCCGCCTCATTCACGGGCCGGCATCTCCTGACAGGATGATCGGCATGCTGGCGACGCCCGTGCCTTGGCTGCTTTCCTTAAAACCCTCCCGGCGAACGTGTGTGCTGTGGCGGCTGTGCGCGACGCAGCTCGCCTTCATCCCAATCTGCGCAATGCTTTTGACCTCTGGATTGAACCACGTGCACCCAGCTTGGCCAACCACCTTGCCACGGTATGCCCCAAATTGCAAGCCATGCTGAAATGGCAGGATAAGACGACTCGCAACGTTTTGTCTTTTTTCTTTCTCTCGCGAATTCCGCTTCTTTGATATGTGCTGTGCACGTGTATGACTTGCTTGGTAGCTGCAAAGCACCTGCCCCGATGCGCCGCTACCAATGTTGCGCCGTGTGGCCATGGTATTATCTGCAGCTTCGAGCGCCGCGGTTGCACGCGTCGGGCGCTTGTTAGCTTGCCAGGGACCAGACGTTAATGATGCTGCCATCGAGGCTGCTTTGCAGGCGGCAGGCCAGGGGCGTGCGGCGCGAGGCCTGCTGCCTGCAGTAAGGGCCGCAGATTCACAGATCACGTGCAATTGGGGTTCTTGGTGTGGCTTCGATGACGAGAAAGCCGCTCTGGAAGCTGGGCTGGTTCAAACTTGGTCCGACTGGTGCGTGGACGACTTTTTGGGCAAGCCTACGCCCCTGGGGCCCGGCACACTTTGGCACATGTTTTGATCCACTCGTGTTGAAGTCTGGGGCTCTCATGTGGGGTGCTTCCGAATTAGGCTGGCCGCTGGCAGGACAGGTACGCTGACAGCCAACTCGAATCTCCTGGTCTTCAGTCCTACTGGTGCGTTGGACCCGTGCATGCTCGATGCTGGTCGTGCTGGCTATTGTGGGACCTGCTGACCCCCAGGCTTTGGCGCGCAGGGAATGGCAAAACTGCATGCGTGCACGCCCTAGCACAGCGTTTGCATATGCAAGTCATCGTGGTCAACGCGGCTGACATCATGTCAAGTGCGGTATGGCTTGCCAACCGGAATGCAGGAAGCGTGGGTGCATGCCTACACGACTCGCGGATTCGCGCCTCAAAAATGACTGCGCCTGTGCGGCGCTAATGTAGGTTGGTCGTGCTGAACGCAATCTGCGGGATTCATTCGAACGAGCCCGAGCGCTGGCCCCATGCGTACTGCATTTCGAGAATGCAGAAGCCATCTTTCCCAATGCGACGCACAATCACTTGGGAACGTCGGTGCGTCCTTAGCGCGAATAAAAAAAAAATAATAAATGAACACTTTGGGGGGGGCGTGGGTTGAATTCCGTCGTTTAATCCTGCCCTTTACCTTACCACCTGGACGAAAACCGGCTGCAACCCGGAACCCGCGCGTGTGTGCTTAGCTTGTTGGACAGTTGATGGCAAGTTTGGACGAGGCACGCGAGGCAGGCAGTGGCGTGCTTGTGGCCGTCTCAACGTCCCGCCTACCCAATTTGCATCCCGCCATCGCCCGCGGCTTTCGCTTTTGGGTGTGTGTTGCAACCGGCTCTGGCTATGCACGGCTCGGCGCCCATTGCCCACCAAGTAGTGCTTGCTGTCTGATCGGTTCTGTTGGTATTTGTCCAGGCCCAAAAGCTGAATCTGCCCGATCACGATTCACGGCTAGCCATCCTTCAATACTACGCTGGACGGTACGGGCTAAGCGACCCAGATCATGATAAGGGACCTATCATCAGGCAGGGTATGGAAGAGATTGTGTCGGTGCTCATGGCTCTTCTGATTGTGACTTGCATAGCGTGGGGATGGTAACTCTTGCGGGTGAAGAATTGAGTGTCGTCGCCAAGCATTCCCGAGGTGCGATTGGTGCTCGTGTTGCACGTGGCCCCCTGCCGGAGCTCTTTTTGCAGCTGCGCCACTGATTGTTTCGTCACATTGGGGCTCTTCACTGTATAGGAAAAACGGCCGGGCACTTGCGTCACCTGGTGGAGCTTGAGTCACGGCAACAACTCCTGAATTTGATCCAACCCCAGCATGGCGAAGCGTTGCAACCATAGATACGACATAGAATCGGCACTTCCATGAAGCACATGGCTTCCAAAGGCGCTGCGCGCTCTTAAAATCGAAACAGTCATCCCGATCCTTCCCTCATTCACCCGAACAATCATCATCAACGTGCCAATTGCGACGCAAATTACGCCGTTTCGCCCACCTCCCACAGTTGGCCACCCCCGAAAGCAACCCAAGCCGCAATTAAAGAAATTGTCATCAAAAATTCACGACAAAAGTTCTTTCAAGCACGAGAAAGAGAAAGAGAGAGAGGAGAGAGGAGAGCACGTTGTCGTTGGCGAGAGAGGTCTTCTTGTTTCTTGTTGTTGGGCCCCGCAGCAAGCGCGGCATTTGGCTAACTCGCCTGCTGGCTTGTGGTCACGGGGGTCGGGGGGATCAGCCGAATTGACATCAAAGTCTGCCGTCTTGGTCACCATGGCCGCAACTTTGGAGCCAGACGGCTGCCTTGAGCGTTACGGAGAATTGTTGGAAGGTAACGATGATGATCTGAGGGGTGCGGTCAGCTGGCTGGTGTTGTGCGTCTCTGAATCGGCTTTGCGCTTTGCCCTGGCTCAAATACCGATAGAAGCCGTCAAGCAACTCAGTGAGCCAAGTCAGCCGCTCTTGTCCTTTTTGCGGGCCAAGGTCTACACTTCTGGTGATTGGCGAGAAAAAGCCAAGCACATCAAACAAGTAAGCCATCTCGCTCAAACGTGACCGAACTAAGTTTTGACCCTCCTCACCGTCGCGGCCCGGGTCCCCCTGCCCCTGCTTCAAAACTAGTGGCCCAAGCAGATTGGACAGCGAGTGCAATCCACCCCAGATGGCCAGCTGACCAGCGAAGATGCTGCACGGCTGATCCAGGGGCTGACCGCTGCGCTCTTCTTACCACACAGTCACAATGATCTGCGGCGCGCCGTCTTGAGGTATGCTCTGGCCTTACGGTTGCTGTCACTTGCCCTATCCCTTGACTGCAACCCCCAAACACATGTTTGTCCGATGGGCGCGCTGGCCTCTTTAGCTCTGTCAAGCTGGTGACCACCCACATCTCCTCTCATGCAGCCATCGATGCCATGGCAAAAATGCTTCAAGCGACCCTGGTTCGTCTGCTCGATGTCCCGGGCAGTTCACTTGCTTTGGCTGTCCTTCATCAAGTCGTACAATAAGAAGAAGCGCAACTATATTGCACGGTTGACTGTTGACCCACACAATGCCGCACATCCGCCCTCGCAGACGCAAGAGCCTGACAGTGCTCTCCTACAGCCCTTGTTCATGCCCGTCACTGTTCCCGAGCACACCGTGCAGCAAGAGCTCTACATGAACCACCTCAAAGCCTTGCGTGCTCTGCTGACGAGTAAAGATCTAGGTACACATCGCAGCGTCAACAAGCCCTTGTCGATGTGCATTTTACGTTCACCACTGTTGCACATCTAATCGTGTTGCCCCTGGATGCTCAGGCGTTCCTGTCCTACAACGCCACGCCATGCTGGTCCTCGAGCGACTGCTTGAAATGCTGGAAAACCTTTTGCTGGCCCTGGGACAGCATGCTGCACAGCCTGAAATGCTCACGGGACGTCTAGGCCAGCATTTGGAGAGTGAGTCCAAGTTCATATTTCTTTGCATTACGTGCTTGGGCCGCATGACACCAAGATGACTCTGTCTGACTGCGCGCTGGCCACTGCCACCACCTTCTCAGCGCTGCAAGCCTTGAGTCTTGCCTTGTGCCACATTACCACGGAACTTGCACCATACTTGCGCAACGCCTGCGAGTGCGTACTTCTGCTGTGAGCACAGCTCTCCTTTTTCGTACTATTGACATTTGCCCTCCCCTTAGGTCCACAACAGAGCATGCTGAGGGCGTGCTCCGGCTAGCGCAGCGTGGGGCAGCCGTCGTTTGGCAATGCTTGCAAAATGTACACGAGCATTACGACTGTGGCAAAACCATGGCGGTTTCTCTCTGCTTGTTTTGGGCCCTCGGCGCCGCCATGGACTCCCAGCAGGATGGGTACGTGTGTTGAGGCCCAGTCAAATTCCCGTGGCTGTGCCAATGCCAGATTGAGCTGCTATCGATTCATTGTATGTATGTGACCCGCGTGTTTCTGCTTTCGCAGGGAGGGTGGTCAACTCTTCCGCCAGCATGTTTCGGCCTTGATGCAACGCATGAGCGCTGCAACAGACACCGCTCGTGACTCTCAGAATGATCTTGGCCTTTCTCACCAGCTGTGTATTGCAAGAGCACTTTTGACCACAGCGATGTGCCGAGATTATCTTTTTCGTGATCAGGCTGGCCTTTTGACTGACATCTACGAGACCTTGCATCATTTGCAAATGTGCGTGTTGCTATGGCCGCGGGCCATAGAGAGAGCACCGCTCACCTACTTTCGTTTGGTTTCCTGTTTTGATCTTACCCAGAAGCTCCGTGGCGCACATCGCTCACGTCCAGTTGGGCTTGCTGCAAACCTTTGAGTCTTGGCTTGATGCCTGTCTGCAACACTTGAGGTGATCCTTGAGTCTTGCTTGCACGCTGCTTTAAGCCTCACTTGTACGATGAGGCTGATTACCAAACATCGGCATGGCAATACTGATGTGGTGTTGTCTCACCCGTTGCTTAGTCAAAATGCCCATGCAAGCACATCAACCCTGTCTACCTGGCTTCTCGACAACGGTGCCGTGGAAAAGGTGAGTAGATGTAGCTCAGTGACTGTATTTGGAAGCCGAGCTCGTGTCGCCCTCCCCATCCGCCCTAAACAATGTCGGCTCAGTGGCATGGCCGGTGCTTGACTTCCACGTGTTATTGGATTGCCGCATTTGGTAGATCCTCGAGTTGGTGTGGTCCAGCTGGGATGCAACCAATGACAAGGTGGGCCACCAGAGCCGCTCACTCTTCGGTAAGGGTTTGGCCGCCTTAGAGCTGCTCTACCCATCCCCGCCCATCAGCGACGCCACAGCTGCTCGCGATGTGGACGCTGCGCCCATACCCCATTACTACCACGGCATGTTGCAACGCTGCTTGAACATGCGCGCCGATAACAAAAGCAAATACGCTTGTCTCCAGCTATTGGTCGAACGGTACGGTCCTGCGATGGGCGAGCTTTTTTTGTGCATTTGGGTGTCTTATTATTTTTTTTCTTTGGATAAGCGCATCTGTGAGCTTGTTAGCCTTTCACGCATCTCTGAATGTGCTTTTTCCACAATATAGGCTCGAGGTGCGCCAGGTTCTCCAGCTCTATGAAAGGCTACCCCAGCAACTGTTCGAGGCCACTTCAGACTTGGTACGAGTGCAAATGCCACCGTGCCAATAGGCTAGGGAGGGCATCGAAGTGCTATTGCGCCGGATTTGCGTGTAAAACCTTGTGCCACTGGACCGGGGCACGGACTAACGACCATGTGCGCGCTCTAGTCTGTTGTCAAACCCATTTGCTCTTTGCTGGAGCGCTTGGCGTCCAGGCATAGGGACGAGTGCTCGCGCCACCCGCTTGTTTCATTGAACTGGCCCTCTGGCTCAGCGCCAGCCGCCACCTCGACTGGGGATCATGTTACGCCCTTTTTGATCTGGGCACATTGGTGGCTGATACCTCTTCTCGATCAACTTTGTTGCAGCGAGGTACGCTCATGTTGCTTGAAAAACAAGCGAAAAGGCCATGCATAAGGCATGAATGTATCATCGTCTCGTACACTTCGTTGATTTGAGCTGGCGCCAGCTTCCTCTCCTTGGGCGGTTTGTGTATTTATTCATGCTACTGCTCCTTTTTATCGATGTGTGTCTGTGCTCCTCTCAATCTAGGAGGGCCAGCGGCTGAGAATCATGGAGTTGCTCTTGGCCAAGCTCCTAGTAGTGGATAAGCAAACACTTCTCTTCTGTTGTCAAACTCTGAAGGGATCTGGAAGCACAGATTGCTTGCACGATCCTATTCGTTTGGAAGTGTTGCTGAGCGTGCTCCGCCACGCGCGTGCTGCAGGTATCATCACTGATACGGGGCTACGGGCACAGCATGATCGCGAAGATTCTCCTGCTCTTGGTGATGAAGATAATGGCTCTTTTGCGGCAGACCTCGCCCTCGTCTCTTTTGATACGCTCAAGGTTCGTCGGTACCCATGCTACCAGGGGGTCATGCGCCAAGCTCGGCCGCTTGATGCTACCTCTGAAACCTCTGTCATTGTTCGCGGTGTTCGTTAATCGCGGCTTGCCTTTGCCCTGATCCTGCTTCTGCTTCTACGTCTCCTTATCCTAAAATCCCGTGGGCCACGCGTAGCTGGTATTGTGCCATGCTGAAGAGCGCTTGCGCTTGATCGCATTGGCTTTTCTGTGTGAAGCCCGACGTAAAAAGTCCCTGCCGCCGTCGGCGGCTGACCTTTTGGCAGTGGAGCACTTCTTGATCCACAACGCGAGTGAAGGCGCCGCATTTCGGCGAGAGGTGATGGAGCAGGTGCAGCGACTTTTGATCCGTCTTGAGCCAGCGTTGCTTCAGGACACTCGCCTTGGCCATCTTCAGGTACCGTGGTGGTCGACTTTATGCCAAACCGAAGCGATTCATTCTGATGCACTCCCGGCACGTGGTGGCTCTTTATGTGGCTCATTCAAGGCAATCGGGGCAATCTCAAAACTCTAGGATGCTGCTGAGAATGAAGCTTTGCAACAGGCTTGCCGGCGCTTTGCAGTGTGGCTCTGGAATTTTGCCTTTGCACAATTGGCGCCAGATGGCAATTATCAGCGGCGCGCACTTGGTTTGCTGCTCTTGGAGGCCATGGTAGCAACAGTGTCCAGCAGCGTACATCAACTCATTGCGTGGTCTTGCTCAACCGATCAAGCGCCTTTGTTGCGGTTGGAGGCCGGTGCAACAGTTGACGCCATCTTGGGCAACCAACAAACCTGCTTACTATTGGATATGCTCAACGATGCCTACGAGGTGAACCGCGTGGCAGCTCACAATCTCTTGCAGGCCTTGCCATGGCGACTCGGAAGGATGCAAGAATCGGATCTCGACGAGCCTGGGCCCTTGCCCTTGCTGATACAGCGCATCCATGCCGGCCTCCGATCCCAATATGGGTTCGAGGCTGAGTGTGCGGCTGTACAGCTTGTTGCACTTTGCACGTGTTTTGATCAATCACGACAAGAACCAGCTTACCTTGCGCGCGCCGAGTCGGTTCGCAGTGGCCCCCCTTCGAGGACAACCTCGGTTGATGGACCTGCCACGTCCGTGGCTGCTTTGTGTCGAGCCTGCCATCAGCAGCGTGTAGACTCTGTGTCCCAAGACAAGCTATGCCATGCACTTGGCTTTGAGTCCGCACCCAGCCTTGCTCTGGCCGCACTCAAGTGGCTGCTGCAACAATTGTTACGCGAGGTTTGTGTCATGCTGTGCTGCCGGTCCCAAGAGTTGTGGTATCAGAGGATTCGACAGCTCGCGTGGCTCAGCAGCATTGTTTAGCCGCATTGTTCATCTCATCCGTGCGCATGGCCATTCTAGGTCGCTCGGGCCGAGGACCCGGCGGTGCCCAGTGGCGAGCGAGTGCCATTGCATGGATACTTGCAGAGCTGTCGCTTCCTCTTTCAAACCTTTGATGTCGATCTGGTGCGTGCCGCTTTCAACTCGAGCGTGTTTTATCAACGAGAGGTAGTTGTCGGGGATCGGTGCCCTGACGTGCCTGCGTGATATTTGAAAGCGCTCTTGTGGTGCTCATCTTGTGGTATGGTACTTGCGGGCGCGGCGGATGATAGTGGAACCCTTGCCCCGTCACCGGCACTTGGGTGGCGGGACTCAATGAATTGCTCCACCTGATTGCGCGGATCATCTCCATCGTGTATCCTGTCGTGGCCAGCGCTGCACCCGAAGGGTACGAAGCGCAAGGCTTGATGTCTCCTTGACCTGCGCCATGTGTCAAATATCGAGCCTGTCCCAAGTTGCGTCGATCTAACCGCCAAGCAAACCCCTTTGATTGCATCAAATTGTAGAGCGGAGTGGGGTGGCGATGATGACGATTCTGACGTCACAGACTCATCGGGCCAGTACGCTCTTATTTTTGCGTGGCGGGCCATGCGCGAGATTAGCTTGCTGCTGGGCTGGCTTGTATCATCTGCGCCCATAGCTCCGCTTGCGCATGCGTCCACCCCTACACCACCTGTGTCACCTGTACCGCAAGTCTCGCTCGTGTCGGGGGGAGGTGCTCTTACGATTGACGATCATGCCCTAGTTGCCGAGCAACTGCGTGCCATGGTTTTGCAAGCACGACACCGTGGTGCCGTAGAGCTTTTATCCACAGCATTGACGCCCGTGTGTCAAAGGTACGTCGTGTGACGCCTTGCCTGACTGGCAGTCCAGCTGCAACACGAACGTGTACGAATGGGTCACCACCCGCCCCTTTGCTGTCACAGACTCTGGAATAGTGAGCACGAGGTTCTGGCTAAGCTTCCCGCCACATGGTGCGCCCAGTCTCGGCCCTTTACCTCGCTTTGCCTTGCCGTGTTGCTTTTATTCGCCTCGCTTGCCCGCTGCCCGGACCCAGCATTGATCATGGGATTTTTTTTTGTTCGTTTGGCCAGGTTAAACGAGCTTTTGCTAGAACTGGCTGCTGCTGCACCCAACTCGGCAACGCGGCGCAGCGCCGGGGTGCCGCAATTGGCCATGGATGTCCTGAGCACTGCACCAAAAGCACGACGCTCGACGACCACGGTGCACTTTTTGCAACAGTTACTCAGCCTGGCAGAACACAGTCTAGCACTCAACGATGTCGCACGGAGTGGCACGCAGTTTTTGCAATCCAGCCCTGAGGCCGGTGTAGTGCACGCCCTAAACACCTTGCGCGTTATCATGTGTTCGGTTGCTCTCGGCCCAGAAGTGGGAGAATGCCTAGACCATGCGTGGGCCTTGGCATTGCAGAGCAGTAAAAGCCACTACAACTTTGGCATTCGCAATGCCGCTTCCCTACTTTTTGCGAGTCTGCACAACCGCGTTTTTGGCGTGAAGACAAATTCTGGCGGTGCTGATCATCATGGCGCCTCGGCCTTGAGAGGGGCACTACCAGAGCTGGCGGGCGTGACCATGACGCATCGTGATTTTGCCAAGAAGTATCCTCGCACCCAAGCAGTGGTATGGACAACGCTGAAAACCGCCGCGCAGCTTTTAACGGAGCAGGCATCTTCCGCGTCGAGTGTAGGACAGAGCATTGATTCGCCCAAGCTGCAAATCGCAGGCCTCGATCGTGAAGTGACCGTATTGCACCTTGGGCTTTGTATCTGTGTTCACCTGCGGAGTCCAAAAGGTTTGCTACCGGAGGACACTCCGATGTTGGATTGGTTTCTGCAGCTGCTTGCTGCACCCGATTTCCGTATTCGCCAAAAGGCCAGCGAGAGCCTCGTGCAAGCGACCGGGCACTCAAGCACGACAGCTGGTGCACTGGATGTGCTTGAGCCCATCGCACGGGCCCCACGGTCTGTTGGACCAAACCTGCTGCACGGCATAGCTCACGCGCTCATGCGCCTCGGGCCCCGGCTGCAGGAAGCTGGAACAGCTTCTCTTGAGCCTCTTTCAACACGCCTCAGGACTTTGTTGGAGCGATGCTCCGCCGAAATGGAACGTTGTCCACGCCTAGCCGTTGCTTTGTATCGTCCGTGCGCCGCCATCCTGCCTTTGTTGGCGGGTGAAGATGCGCAGCGACTCAATGTTCGGGGGCTCTTGGCAACTGAACGACTTCTCTTGTGTGCATCGCGCCACTGGGAAGGCGTGTCTGCAGGCACTGCGAGCGAGTGGAGTGAAGCCTTGAATGCCGCTCTGTGTCAGCCGGATTTGGCACGACTATCCGCGAGCAGTGCCACTCTGTTGCCGCGTTTGAGTGCCGCGTACCAGCTCTGCACCGATCATGCCGCGCGTCTGCGCTTGCTAGCTGGCGTGCTGCAGCTGCTGCGCACATGTCTCGTGCACGACGAGCTACCAACTGCTTGGCTAGCTGCGCTGAGGGGTCTCTTGACAAGCGCAGAGACCCTCGTGTTTGAGGTCATGTGGCTGAATTTTGTGCAGGACGTGTGGTCAAGAGCTGCCTTGGCGCTTCGAGTTCACATGTGCGAGGTGTGGGCTACCGTGATTCGGCAAGGTGGCAGCTCTGTATCTGATCTTTTCACCCACCTTGAAGCCTTTACAGCTGCTCTACACCGCGAAGACGTTGGGCGAGCCATGGCACAGGTGTTGGCATCCACGGCAAAGCCTTTGCTAGATCAGCCCGCAAGTCGACAGACCACGCTGCTGCGTCTGGCCGTATTGCTGCATCACGATGAAGACGACGTGCGCCGAACAATTCAGGACGTGATTGCACAGCTGGTGGGTGCACCCTACCATTTGAACCATAGCGCCGGCTTGGCAGCCTGGGTCTCCCTCTGTGGTCGTTACGAGGAGGACGCGCGGGCATTGTCGTGGCAAACGGTCCTGGAGGGTCGGCGATCAATTGCGGTCTTGGATCGGACCGCTGCCCAGCGAGAGCCACGAGAAGCGGCGACAGGTGACAACGCCGATGCACCTGAGCAGGGTAACCAGTCGGCGCCTGGCACTGACCCGGAGTTGCGCGATGATTGCTTGTTTGACGTCAATGAGGCCTTGGTATTGGTTGAACCACGGCAACTGATTCGCTTGGTGACATTGGAACCGGTCAATGGCGCCATCTTGCCTGACTTGCCTGACATGCCGGCCGAGCTGGTGGAGGAACTTGTTGCCGAGGCCCACCGACTCCCGAAGCCAGTGGACGCCGATTCTGGTACGCGAGCAGCGCTCAACTTTGTGGCGGCACTCGCAGCAGATTTGAAATTGTGTGCGCGAGACGAGCGCATCGCCACAGTCGTGGCCAATTGGCGTGCGCACGTGACTTTTGTGTAGGTAAAGGTATTCTCAGCATAGCGTGCCAAAAATCAAAAACAAAAAGAATAACAATAATCATAATAAGCAAAAGGGCCGCCAATAGCAGCTGCCGTCGAGGTGGTATTGAACAGTGGCGCGAGCAACACGTGCAATTGATGAATTGTATCCAATTTGAGGTATCGCGGCTCTTTGGTCTACAGACATGAAACGATCAAGACTATCAGACTGTTTGGTCTTCTAACGCGGAGGGACCCAGGCTATGTGCGGCGCCGCTGGCAGGTTGCCATCACACTCTGGCCCATATGATTACCGGCTGGAGTGGCAAAGACACACGTCACACCGCCGGTCAGGCGGCAGTTATCGCATGAGGTGGCCGGGTGGGGAAGGGTGACTGTCAGCGAAGAGGCTGCGGGCGCGCTGACGGTAACGTTGTAGTCGGTGGCGTTGGTTGGGCTCTCGACGAGCAAGGCACAACTTTTATCACAGCCCAAAACGGTGTCTCGGATGGCGAGGAGACCCCCATGCGACAGGGTAGCAAGCGTCGTAGTCTCCCGACTATAGGCAGCACCTTGATTGTCAATGGAAATGTCAAACGCCTTCATCAAGGCATCGAGCTTGGTTTGCGCTTGGTTCAAGCTCACGGCAGGAACCATGAGATAGCCAGCGCTGTGCGGCGTGGGGGTGGGCAGTTGCCACTTGGCGAAAAAGCGGTCGACCGTTTCGGTGCGATTTGTGACACCAATGTCGATCCAGTTGCCGGTTGAATTGCCGCAAAAAATGGCGAGGGTGCCGTGCACCGGCCCGAGCTCGTTGCTGAGTGCGTAGAGGGTGTTGTCATGGTGCACCCAAGCAACTTCAGCGGCGGGAAGACTGATCAGTTGGTCTGCGGCGAGGGTGAGGTGGGTACCATTGTGCAGAGCTATGGTGACGGTGCTCGCGGCACGGCGATCGGCGAGGGTGAAAACAGACGCAATGTCGTCGGGGGCAGTGATGCTATGGGCGGTGGCGATCAGGGCATCTGGGAACATGCCCCAGCTGCGCACGCAGGACATGGGTCGAAACTGATGCTGGGCCATGAAAGCGGCGCCCAATTTGCCGTTGCTGACTCCACCAACCTCTTCCGTGTTCGTCTGCCATGTGGTCGTGCCGCAGCTGGGGGCTGTCGGCAGCTAGGCGGCCAAGGTAGGTGGCGAGCCAAGAGGTGAGCCATGAAACGGGCACCGCAGAGAGCAGAGCTGATAACAAGCGTACAAGTTTGAAAATACCAACCTGGTCGAGGAGGGTTCCGGGCAATTGCTGCCAGTTCCAGGTTGGAAAGATGCTGTCGTAATCGTAGCCGGTGTAGTAGAGGGCCACCATGCCATTGGCCGTAAACTGGCTCTGCTTGCCCTCGTCATTCACACAGCGGGCGTTGACTGTGCGAGCCGAGTACATGCGGATGCTGTACTGAAAGCCATCGCCACGCATGATGGTGTAGTCGCTGTCGTAAAAGTGGCGATGTCCATAAAGGGGCTTGGCGGAGTTGTTGCGGGCCAAGCGTAAGGCAAAGGCATCTAGCTCCGCGTGGCGTGGGGAGATGAGCTCGACCAGCTCATCAACGCTCAAGTCGACGTGCCCCCAGCCGGGGGGCCGGGTGATACCACGACCAGTGACGGAGATGTCCCAGGCCTCACTCGTGCCGACAGACATCCAGGCCTCGCCGTCAAGCATGAGGCTGGTGAAATTACTCATTTGCTCGGGGTGGATGTAGAAGCTGGTGCCCCGGGCTTGAGTGATGACGTCCAGGATGGTAGCAGTGAAGTCTGCCCCATAGCTGCCAGAGAGAAGTTCGGCCATGTGCTGGTGGAAGGAGCCGTCGTACTGAATACCCTCCAACGGCAGGTCCACGCGGTCAGTCTCGGTGTAAATGCCCTCATAAGCTTGAGCCACGCCCGTGGTGTTGCTGCTAAAGGTGTAGCGCATGATCTGAACGTTGGCCTCCCACACCTGGTGCAATCAGACGATGCAGGAAAGACGAAAGATTGAGAATACAAGATGGTGTGACCTTCTCGGTCCCGAGAGGCGGTAGCTACAGGGGATGTGCGTCGGCTGATCTTACGAGGTTGGCAGCCGTCATGGTCCACCACTGAGCGCGATCGAGGATAACGCTGCCGTTATTAAATAGGGTCGGACTAACAAGCTTGGTCCCGAGCAGAAGATAACTTGCCGCCAAGGCCTGGGGAACGGCTATATCGTTCCACCACCTGAGCAGCAACAGAGATTGAGTGGGCCTGCATGCTGGAGAAGTACATGGTTCGATGAGGACGAGAAAGAAGGATCTGACCAGTTGGGGCAGATGAGATCCATCTGAATCCACTGTTCGGTGGCGCAAAGAGTGCCATTGAGGAGGGTGCCATTCTTGTGATGAATGGTACCGGGGGTGCTATACACGGCCGCCATCAACTGGACCTGGCGCATGTGGGAGCCGGGTGACCACCTGCCGCATTGGCCAGAGGGGTCCACACGTGAGTGGGCACGGCTAGGCGGGGACGAGTGGGCATGAGGCGAGGACAGCGGAGTGAAGGGGCCTACTCTGCTGATGATTGATCATTGTAGTCGATGTTGGCAAATGTACAGTTGGGCTGAAGGAGGCCCAGGTATGTCTGAGCCTGGGAGTCGGCGGATTTGAATTGATGAGCAGAAACTTGAAGAGAGGCGACCAGCCGGGCGCGAAGAATATCAAGATCACTGCTGTTGCTTTGGCGCATCTGTGCTGCAGCCCAGGTGCGCTGCAGGCGCTGCAGTTGGGTGGACGGGCTCACGCGCAGGGGATCAGCCAGATGATCCCCGGTGGGGCTGTGTGGTGCCAACCACCGCGGCGATGATGACTCGAGGCCGATCGCAGTCGTGCTCGTGGTCGCCAGCAACATGACAGCCAGCACTGACCACGCTCGACATGAGCGGTAGCGCGCCATGTCTGTACTCTCCCAATACCATCTATCCATCCACCAACCGCTTCCCGTGGCCTAAGATGCCCACAATGCACGAGATCCAAGCTCCACTTCCTTCTAGCAAACGCGCCTATCCTGTCTTTGATCAGGTGCACGCCGCCTCCGCCGCCTCCGCCTCAGGTCCTAAAAAAAAAAAAAACATCAAAAAAAAACCAAAAAAAGAACATCAACATCAACAACTTGGCGTTCAAGAATAGAAATGTCTTACACTTTATAGTTAATTTCCGAGAATGGGTGAAAATCATCACCGGATAGCGGCTTGCACCTGCAAGTGCAAGGGTGACCCCGAACGCTGCAATCGCGGTTCCCTTTGGTTACTTGACGTGTTGTCCCAACTGTGGATGTCAGAGAGAGAGAGAGAGGGACTTGGTGTGACACGCATCCAACCAGTTTTCCCATTACTTTCCAACGGTAAGCAGAGATGTGTCGATGACGGTGATGTGGGGCCAGAAGGTGCGGGATGGGGCTGGAGCTGGTGGTTGTTGCTCGTCATCATGACTCTTTCGAGTTCGTCGCCGTCCTCGTCGGCTTTTGGGGACAGGGTACCGTTCTGGTTCTGACGGCCCCCAACGCGAGAGCCTCCACACCCGTTGCCTCTGTGCGGCTGGCGCCTCGGTGAAGCACATCGCTCGCTCGCTTCCCATATCGCATTTTCTTACACCGCTTGCTAACAACAACCAGAACAACCAGAACAGCCTTGACGCGACTAGCTCCATCCTTTTGGGTCCATCTGTCTCCAGCATCATGTGCTACCCTTGCAAGTGCGGCACTTGTGGCAAGACCACTTGGAACGGTGCGTCGCCCATCTCCATGCCAATCTTCTCGCACTTGGCAGCTTCACATGCCCTGTGCAAATTTCTTAAACTCACCCATGACTGCCGTGCTGCCCTCAACAATATCACTAGGCTGCGGCCGTCATGCCACTGCTGTCATGGAGCGCGTACCTGTTGCTGAGGTGTGTTGATGGGAACGTGCTTTGAGAGCTCAACATTGACCTGGCAAGACTCTGCGTGCCGCCCAGTTGGTTTTGTCTTTGTTTTTCTGACCAATAATGCCTTTTTGTTGCATTCGTAGCGCTGCCAGTGCCAAGCAAGGTGATTTGCGCCAAGCCCTTGCCACTCACGCCCCCCTCGGGGAGGAATTCCGGACCATTGGTGATCAGTTGCTGATGCGCCATGGCATTGCGTGTATTTTGACCGATGACCAGGAACCCTGAGGGTGGCTGTACCGTCTCGTGAACAGAATTGTGTAAATCCAAACGCAATTCGACCCAAACCACGCTCGTGTCGGCCCGTCTTGGTCACGGACGACTGGTGGACGTGCTTAGCTAGATTTAGCCCTGCCTCTTGCTCGCCTTGCGGCAGTTGTATTCCTGCTGGCAGTGTCACTGCCCTCGTATTCGATGTGAACTGGGACCTGCGGCAGTTGTATTCCTGCTGGCAGTATCACTGCCCTCGTATTCGATGTGAACTGGGACCTGTGGTTCGATGCAACATTACTCGCGCCACAAAGTGTAATTGATGATAATCGTGTTCAGCCTTTTCCAACCTGTTGCATTTGTGTGCGGTCAGGAGAATCTTGTCAATATTTGGCTTACAATTCGAAAGCGCTCATCATCAGTCGAACAGGCACAAAAGCCCCACACAGGCTGGCAACATACAAGCTCTATCGATACACGTACAAAACATAACTGCGAGATATGTGCTCGCACGAGCAGGCTGGGCCAGGACGGCCGAACAAAAGCCTTCATTTGAACTTAAGATGAACCACGCATACACACACAGAGACAGCGACAGACAGCCTCTACTGTTGAGGACAACAACAACAAAAAAAATACCCCCCAAAACGTATGTCAGTCAGTAAAATGATGAAGAAAGAAGATTAGTTGCAAATCAAATAAACTCAGGACTAGATATGGTGTGTGAGAAAGCAAACCAGCCAGAAAAAAAATAGCCAGGGCATGCATGCTCATTCATGTGTACTTCTCGATGGAACCATAAACTGGCTCAAGTCAGACGGTGTGTCGAAACAGAGGCTCTAGCAAACGGTCATGGCGAGAGAGGAAAGCAGCCAAAAGGCCACAAAAAATGGCCAAGAAAAGGGATGCGATCATCAAGCGTGTGTCGTGATGGTGACTGTCCAAGGGCATGGTGTTGCCGGACGATCCCTGCACTGAGGCCGGGTTGATAGCCAACCCGGGACTTGAACCGTCCTGGCCCAGGGACAGCAAGTCATCCAGATGTAGGTGTCGTAATTTGAGTCGGGCTTGCGGGCTATACCTATAGACGTGGGGTGGGTGGCTATCAAAACGCACGCTCAAGCTGGAAGAGCGCGGCGGTGCCCCAGGGGCGCGCACAATGCCGTGCCCACGAGACATGCGCCGCACATGCACGTATAGCTCAGGAACAACTTCGTGCTCCTCCTCCTCATCATCATCCACACCGTGGTCCAGTCCTGCAGAGGCAGACGACGTCTTGGAAACAGGTGAGTCCCCAGCCTCGTCAGAGGCACAGGAATCTGAGGTGGGCTCGTCGTCTGCTGGTGTTGCTGCAGCTGAGGCGGGTGGTAGGCTGATTGCATCGACTTCAGCGGGCGACTCCACGGGAGACTGACGCGCATCGTTGATGCGTGCAAGGGCATCGTCTGGTGAAGCTTCGGGCTTGAGCGCTGCAAATAGGTTTTTGCCGTTCGACCCGCCACCGACCTTGCCGGATGCCCTTTTGCCCGGCGCGGTGCGCCGCTTGCCCGGCTTGCCTGACTGCTTGCGAACGCGCATCTCAGTGTTGGCCTCAAGCTCAAGCTCGTTCTGGTTTTTGGAAGCGTTGTACTTGATGTCGTCTCCGTTGAGCAACAGAACGCGGGGGCGACGACGCAGGCCGTGGTTGCTGCTGGTGCTATTATTCAGGTTGTTGTGGCGGGCTTGGTCGTCGTTCAAGTTGTGCGAGGGGTTTGGCATCGCGAGAGAGGGGGTGTCTGGTGAGTCGGTCTGTTCCCATTCATCGGCTGAGGAGCAGGGTGAAATGCAGCCCTGGACATGGTCAGCAAACACGGCCCGCGACACCGGGGCTGAGCAGATTGGGCAGGCCTGCATGCGCCCTGCGTCGTCGCAATTGACGACCACCTCTGGCATGGCCCACAGTCTTGAGCGCGCGACGTGGGAGAGGAGCTTGCAACAACAGCGCCGTCCCCTTTACAGTCCTGCCGGCACTGGAGCACGAGACGGAAGTTTGGCTAGTTGCAACTCTGACGGCGTCGAGCAGAAGCATCCACGAAGCTGACAACTGACACCACCCAAGTCTCGATCGCCAGAGTCTTGATCGACGCAATGGTGATGACCACGGGAGAAACCCGACGCGTCCTGGCAAGGATGGATGCTGGAAATGCTGCTGGAAATGATGGTGATGATGGTGATGATGGAGGCGAACGCCGTTGATGTTGATGGGATGGGCGGATCGAGCAAGAATGAGCGCGAAACAAATGCATGTGTGTGATGACCGTCCGCGCGAAGTGGGGGGCGTCAACACCTTACCTAATGGGGTGAGCTTTTGCACCATAAAATCATGTTAATGCATCATCGCTAACCCTTCCATAAATACTTTCTGTAGCAAATATACCAGAAGGTGACGATCAGCGGTAAAGGCAGGGTGACAACTCCAGTGTACTTTTAATCACACTATCGCATCCACCCCCTCTCTCTATGTTTTCTCGAGTTCCAACCCTACCAAGCTGCCATCGGTGTTGAGCCCCTCTCTCCCCCCTCTCTCTCCCCCCTCTCTCCCCCCTCTCTCTCTCTTAGAGAGAGCCCCCCCCCTCTCTCTCCCCTCTCTCTCTCCCCCCTCTCTCTCTCCCCTCTCTCTCTCCCCTCTCTCTCTCCCCTCTCTCTCTCCCCTCTCTCTCCCCTCTCTCTCTCCCCCCTCTCTCTCCCCTCTCTCTCTCTCTTCTTCTGCCAGCTGTATGGTGCTGAAGCTCTGGGATTGGGGGTGATTGATATTGGCTGGTCTTGCTGCGTTCCAAAGCCGTGTCGTGGATGGATGTGCTGTGTTGTGGTGTGACGCAACGGGCAACCGCAATGCCTTGGTCGGCCGCTGTGTGAGCTGGTTCGCATCGCCCGATACCGGTGCTATGCCCTGGCAGGCGGGAACTGCACACACTCGGGCCTCGCTCCATCTGACCGTTCTCCTCCTTGCCAGCCTGTCTGCTCTGGCAGCCGAGGAGCAGGTAATGGAGGCTGGCCTGGGCTTCATCCAGGCGCCTGGTGTCACCGCTCTTGTGTTGCAGCTAGAGGGTGGTCATGCTCTCTCTACCGGTACCAGCATGGGGTCAAAGACCATTGCTCTTCTTGACCTGGCCGATCCCGATTGGCCTGCCTTTGACACGGCCTGGACTGGCACTGACCTTGCCAATGCATCCCAGGCCACCGAGCAGGTTTGCGCCCTGCACCTCTCTCTCTCTCTCACACACACCCACCTCGTCCTGCCTAGTGCTGCTGCCTGCACGTCCTTTGACAAGCACAACACACGCTCATTCATGCGGCGCTTGCTGGCTGGTGCCGACGCATCCTGCTTTCGTGAGCGCAGCAACATCAGATTGGAACCTCCTGGCACCGCCGTGTCGCTTTGACTGACGCCTGTTGTACCAACGGAACGTGGCAACTCGCAGCCAGCAGCCAGCTGGATGCCCCCATCAGCGTTTTACTGCCGCAGCAGTCCGCCCTCATTACCACGGGCACGAGCGCCTCAGGTACTGCCAACGTTGAGCTCCCTCCTGAGCTTGCTTGCTATTCCGCGTCCCAGCAAAGCTAACAAGCCATGGCCGATGTGTTCGCGCTCGTAGGTTCCCTCGTCACTCTGGCCAGCCATGCAAAGGAAACCCGAGACGCCGCGCGGATCGATGTGCGCATCGACGCAAGCGCAAACACCCTGCAGCTCATCGTGCAACCCGTTGGCACCACCTCCCTTTCAACCTTCAACCTCTCCCTCATCGACTTGGCTGCCGGTACCACCCTGTCCCACTTTCATGACCTCGTCCCGGTACGCTGACCCCGGTCTCGACCACTTTGGCTTATTGCGTGCGTTTGCCCACCGTGCCCTGCCGCTCATACTTCCCCTCCTCCCCCTCCTCGTGCTATGTTCACTAGGGTGAGGCAATTGCTACTGCACTGTCTGAAGCGGCTTGGTCGTCATTGCAAAGGCGGCGCCTAGCAGCACGGCTGGAGCGCCCACAGGCTCAAAGCGACCTTACTGCGCCCCTCAACCCCTTTCCTGTTTTCGTCAGCGAGCCCCTGATTCCTACACTTGCTGAGCACGCTACAATGGAGCAACCAGTGGCCACAAACTGGGCCCATCGTGCCTTTTCCCCTGTACGCGGCCAGTTGAGCCTTTCCATCGATGATGATCGATTTATCGTGATCAACGACAACCACACCTCTTCCGTTGTTCACCAGCGCGCAGGCTCTACGGTGCCCTACGACCCTGCCGGCCTGAACCTGAACCTCGTTTTGCGCAAAACCCACCTGACAAATTCTTGGCTAGAAACGCAACCCCTCGTGACGCGCATTCTTGACGAAAATGATCACCCTCCCACCCTTGCGGCCAGCACAAACTGGCGGCTGGTCGAAAATCAAACAGCACTGCAAACCGCCGGCCTGCTACATCTCACAGACTTGGATGCAGCGCTGGCCCAGCCCTCTCTAACGGTGCTTGCGCCCTACACGGACAACTTTTCCTTTTCATTGCAAGCGTACAATGCGACAAACCGAACATGGACGTTTGCCATTGCCAGCGCAGCCAGTTGGGATCGTGAAGCAGGCGCCACTCTCTCCGTTGCGTTTCAAGCTGATGATGGTCTGCACACGACCACAATGGGTGTGACCATATCTCTCGTTGACGTGAACGACAATGCCCCAGAGTTTGCCCTTGACCCGGCAGCTCTGGCCGCCCCGTTGAGCAGTGTTCAAGCCTACCAGGCTGTTGTCAATGAAACTCTGAGCGTGAACAGCTTGTTGCTTGTTGGTACAGCAATGGATCGGGATGTGGGAGACAACGCCCGTTTAGCCATTGCCGTAGATACGAGCCGCATCGACTGTGATGCCAATGCCGCCACTTTCTTCCAGCCCTCACTCGTCCATACGAATGCGACATTTGCCCTGGTAACCGTGCGCTTGCAGCGGCTGCTGGATTATGAAACACAACGTCAGCATACTTTATGCCTGGCCCTGCGTGACTATGGTCGCCCGAGCGCCCACTCCACCATTCTCCGGCTTACCGTTGTCGTGCAAGACGTGCCCCTCGAAGTCCAACTTCAAGCACTTGCGCCCTTGGCAAATACCGGCCACATTCTCTACCTTCTGAACCACAACAACGAGCAAAACCCAGCAGATGAACTCCGCCTCGAGTATGCCGTTGGTTCAACCTTGCCCGCAGACTGCCTGTTGAGCGACTGGCGCCCATCTTCTCCCTGTGTCATGAGCAACGGTGCCTTTTTGGATCGCATCAACGGCCACGACTGCACACCCAATGCTACTGGAGCCGGCCCCTTCTATCGCCTTGAGCGCCGTCTCATCGAGCAAGTCCGCGACTACGACGGCTGGGGTCAAGACTGCCCCCGTCTCGATGTACCCCTGCATCGCTCCGAAACCGCCCGATGGTCATCCTTACCTTTGGCCTTTCGTCGACGCTACCCACAGTCTTGGCAAGTGGGCCAAGCCTACACCGTCCGGCTGGCGATATGCGAGCCTATTACCTGTGCCGCAGCAGCCGCTGCGACCGCCATCGATGCTGCACCTTGGCCAAGCACACGCGAACACTGGTCCGCAGAAGCTGCCGTCAACCGCCGGCCTCGTAACGGCTATCTTCGCAACGACCCAGCACGAGATGGCTGGGTAGGTATTGGCGGTCGCTGGGACCCGCAGTCGCCATGGCTTCAAAATATGAGCCGTGCCTCCGCAGTTGGCACCTACAGCAACCCATGGATGTCATGTCCCACTGCCAACAACTGCCTCGTTTCGCGTGGAAGCCACAACAGTCCAGCGTCCTTGCCGCCCGGCCCAACTCCAGTCCATGCCCGAGTGCGCGCAAACGGGACAATTGTTCACGCTACAAGCACTCTCGCTTTGGTCCCTTTTGACTCGGCTGCCACTTGGGCTGTGGAAGACGTGCTCGACAGCTGGCCGACTGCTGAGGCTGAGGTTTGGTTGAGCCGCAATGGCTCTGCGGATGGCTGTCTCCCCTGTACCACCATACCTTGTGCCCCTTGCTATCCGCCTATAGCCTGGTTCTTCCACTGCTCCCATACGCTGGGTCCACACAACTCTGATGCCACGACACCCAGCTGCTCCCCGGCCAACACCAGCACTGTGGCCGAAGACTGGCCTGCTTTCGATCTCTGGGCGCTGACGCTGCAGAATCTAACCACCGGCAAGCACGTGTTCAGTGCGAGTGCATCGAGCAATGCTTCCTCCACAACACCGGGATCTGTCACAGTCCGGCTGAATGTTGATCTGGAAGCTCCGCGACTGCTTTGGACGGACTGGCCAGATAACTTTGCTGTTGCATCATCGGCCATTGCCTTTCGCTTTTGGGCGTCAGAAGTGCTGGGGAGCATTACTTGCATGCTCAATAGTACGGTGCTTGACATGTGCACCACGCTTGAGCCCGATGCCGAACAACAGTACACCCTTCAGGTCGCGGGCATCGCGGATGGCGCCTGGCATCTGGAGATTATTGGATCTGATCTCGCTGGCCACCTGGCACAAGCCAACTTGTCGGCCGATTTTGTTGTGGATACTCAAGCCCCCGAGGTCCAACTCGTGTCCTGGCCCGACGACATTTCTTCCCCAATTGGTGGCCTTACGCGCATGGTAGGGCCGAAAACCCTGGCTGTTCAGGCCAGTGAAATGGCTGCGGGCTTTTGGTGCCGACATACCGTGGTGACCGAAGACGCTGGATTGCAAGCGTGTTGTGCAGGCGTCACAGCCACAGATGATTGTCTTGCAATCTGTCACAGTGGCACCCTGTTCAATGCTAGCGCCCCACAACATTTCAACTCGGAATGTTTTGCGGATGGCACGTCAGCACTAGCCAATCATTCGACCTATCAGGAATGTACGCTGCGCCGTAGTCGTGCTCTTGTTGCCACACTTGAGCTAGGCACGGCTTGGTTGCCCTGTGCGCCGGACGCCATCACGCTGCCTCGGGTTGGTCATGGCAACTTGTTGGTGGCGGAAGTGTATGCCTCCGACGCGGCCGGCAACGCCGCACAACTCTTACCGCTTCGTGTGGGCTTTGTCGTTGACACTCAAGCCAGCTCAACTTCTGAACTGGCAGCAGCGCGGCTTTTGCTTTCAAGTGCTTCTGAAAATGTAGGCCCCCTCTGCCCTTCTTCCAGTCAGGCTCTGAGAATCACCACTCTATTGGCTGGGGCTCTACTTGGCTTGGCCTTGCTTGGCTTGACAGTAACTGGACTCACATACGAACGCTCGGCTCCTGGGGCGTATGAAGAGCCAGATACCGGCATCAAGACCCACGACCAGCGCCTTGCACTTCAGCAAGCTCTTGAGTTGATTCACATGTCTGATCTATCTGCCAACGGCCTCGACGAACCAGGGTATATTGATGTCGGAGAAGAAACTGTAACAGATGGCTTTGCTGAAGCGGAGCCCTCAGCGTTAGATGCTTACGGTGATGACGATGACGACGAGGACGATGATGATGATGAAGAGTTCATCTAGTTGCACTGCTTTCGGCTGTTTGTCGATCCAGATTTTACATCACGTGTTTGTTGGATGAGCCGCTAGTTTTGACCCCTTATCCAATCCAAACGCCAGCAGACTTGTGGCACTGCGTGTCCATCCGCCTGCTTTTAATTGCCAATTAATTTGTCACAACTTTACCCTCCTCTCCCTCTCTCTCTCTCTTCAAAACTTGCGTGTATCTTGGCTCGCATCCCCTTCCTGTCGTGAATTTTGTGGCGTTGAGTCAGAAGAAGGATAATGTCTTATCACAACCAGGAGTTCGAGTCTTGATTGGCAAATTGCTTCAGGCATTCACTGTACTAATCTTGCAGGACAGCTGCGTTAGGGGCGTCTTGGTCACCGGGCAGTGCTGTGAGTCGTTGCAGAAGATTTGGCTTGTCCTGAGCATGACGAAATTGGGCTCGCAAGATCTCCATGCGCGAGACAAGGCTATCGCCTGGGCCATGAGGCACCAAATGTCCAACTATGAGGCGGCAGTAGCGCTGCACTTCAACTACAGCACAAAGTTCCTCCAGCTGTTCAGGTAGGCATAGCGTCAAAACCAGGAGAAAGCTTCGTTAGAGCATGCGACATGATGTGTGGCTACAAGGCTGGCGCCACTGGGAGTGCCAGCACCAAGCACGCAACTCACCTCCAAAACAACCTCAAGAAAACCTTGGAAAATGAGGTGCTGGTGCTCCTGCTTTGAAGCTGACACAACGTACGTCGACAACACCCAAAGCGACCGCCGCTCGTCATCATCAATCTGAGGCGGGTCTATCTCAATGGCGGTGGAGTCGGCAGCGCCACATCGCCCCTGCAACTGCTGTAAACCCGCAAGCAAGAGATTGAGAAAACTTTGATCGGCGAGCGCAACTGCCAAGCTGGATTTGACGTCCTTTGAGCTGTGTGAGTCAGATGCATCGGTTGACCCTGTGCCACCATGCCAAAGAAGGCTAAGGAGACAAGAGTGCGCCAGCAGAGTTGCTTCAGACGGTCGCCCAGCCCGCACACTCAACAAATTGAGCAGAATATCCAGCGATGCTGTGGATGGTATGCACGCATTCGACGTGATGAGAAAAGACACAAAATAAGAGGGAATTTGGCCAACAACGTAGCATCATGATTCGACTGAACGTACGATTTGCGTGCAGGAGGGCCGTCGCACCACCCTGCTCCGTGACGCAGCGCAGACAGCGCAGTGTGGCCGAACGCAATGGATCGTCATCCGTTCGGGCCACGAGTTGCAACAGAATGGGCTCCAAACCCTCGGTCAGCAAAGCCGCGGCCAACTCTTCGCACCAGCCTATGGTGTGTTGGGTTGCGCGAGGACACGCGAATCACGGTCAAGTGGGCAAAATATTGCCTTTGCGCGACAGGCCGACGGGGAATTTCAAGAAGATGCAAGTCGTGGGTAAAGGCGCGCATCCTGAGACCAACCGAGAAAGGTTTGCAAACAAGCTTGTACCAGTTCGACCTGCTCCCGCAATGCGGCAGATTTGTCATCGTCAAAAAGGTCGACGTCTGAAAAGAGGTGGCCGTGTCCGTAGAGCTCCACGGCAACGCGAAAGGCACCCAGGCGCACCAAGCTATAAGCCGGACAAAGGCAAACAGATCTGAAAAGTTGCAGACAAGCCAGTTGCAAAAAAAAAAACAATGCTGCATGCCCACAAACCTTCGAATACGTGTGCTGTGGCTTGCGACGCGCTGCATAATTGCCGCAAACAGGTGGAGGTCCAGCATATCACCAGCAACCTCACCCAATGCCACTAAGCTGGTGATGGCGCCATTGTGAACGACATCATCACAGACGTCTTCCGCCTCAAACAGCTCGATGATATGAGCCACCAAGCCCGCCTTGTGGCCCTCGTCTAGGGAAGAGTCATGCGAGCCGGCGCCCCATGAGCTGGCTTCGCACGGTCCCAGACGCGGGCAAAGCAGGTCATACCTTCACACACGGCCAATACCTGAACCACATTGGTCAGACCTACTTGTTCAAACGCTTGACTGCGGATGTTCAGGTCTTTGTCGAAAAGACAGGCTTGCAAAAAGTCGGCTCCTATTCAAAACGGCACCGAAACCATTGAGAAGAACTTGACCCACTGAGATCCAGAGCTGACCCATTGCCTTGTGCAGAGAAAAACGAGGCCTGTACGAACCCAGTTGAAAAAGAATATTATCTCTCTGCATCAACGCGAGAACAGCCAGCAAGGTGTGGCTGTGAACCATTATGCGCAAGACATTTGCACCAGCTGGCAAACTCGTTGAGCTCGAATCCTCGGTCATGGTTTCAAGGTGTTGCGTCATGGCGCGCGCCACTAGTTCGCTAGCCGGGCCCTTGACGCTTCCAGAGCATATCAGTTGGCCTGCCAGTGGAAGCAACGTCGCAGCTGCTTCTACTGATAGAGTTGATCTTTGAGCCAAGAACTTTTCCAACAGTCCTTCGCAAAGCTGTGCGGAATGATGATGCAAGGCTTGTTCTTCACCCGTGCCACCTTCAAGCTCTTGCAAGCTACAAGTCAGAGGTGCGCCGGCCACGTAGCGCGGGCACACCAAGCCATACAACACTGGGGCAAGTGACGGAAGCAGAATCTCCAGTTGTGCTTCATTCTCCTCCACCATGGACAACAAGGCCTGTGCTCAAGGGCGATCAGGGATTTGGGTCGAGACAGGGTAGCTGATGAGCTTGGCAATAGCTCAGCGTCAAGGCAAGAATCGGGTAACAATTGTCGCCACGCGCGCAAACGTACCTGTGCGGTGCGACCATGCAACTCAGGCGTGGGCATCGGAGCAAGGCCCTTGAACAAAGGCTTGAGCTGAGTCGCAGCTTGAGCGTGACCAATCTGCAAACAGAAAGGGTGAGTTCTTGCTGGCGTGCAGAGACATCACCATCATGGCTCTCTCTCTCTCTCTCTCTCTCTCTCTCTCTCTCTCTCTCTCTCTCTCTCTCTCTCTCTCTCTCTCTCTCTCTCTCTCTCTCTCTCTCTCTCTCTTTCTCTCACTGTCTGAAGATTCAAACGGAGTCAGGCGTACCCAGTGCAACAGCATTGTGAGGTAGAGGGCCGCGACCCCCACAAAACCACGGTTGATGAGGAGGCGGCTGGTGGGACCTTCGCTCTCGGAAGCTGGCTCCATGAGCTGTGCGCCAAATGCAGCAAGTTCACATGCGTCCTTCAGCAATAATTGTCTGCCGGCCCGGTAGTCGCCAAAGTGGGAGAGGACAGGGCACCACCAAAATAAAAGGTGAGGGATACGCATGAAACGATGATCAGCAGCGGTGTATTGAGAGCGGTCGAATGAGTGATTGTGTCACCCGGTGACGTACTCATCGCTCTTAATAGCTGGAAGTGCGCGAAAACGCCAGAGCTGACCCATGCCATGAATCAGCGCGCCCGCCACCCAAGTCCATATTTCACGGTTGGCAGAGGCGCGGAGTGACCACACATGTGTTAAACACACGCGCAGCACCGGTAGTGGCAGCTGCTCAGACTCGATGAGGAGGGTGACAAACCGCCCAATCTATGGCATGGAGTTTCCAGGACAGGGTTGACTCGAAGCAACAGCAGCACTCTTGGCAGGAGGGGAGGCCAATACGGCACACAGAATTTGACACGGCGTACTTTGTAGGCAAACGAACTCGTGACGTTGGAGCGTGAAATGGACAGCAGTCGATCAAGGGCAGGTTGCTGTACCAGCTTGGCAGTCTAAGTCATGGACCAAAGCACACCACGAAGATCAAAATTTCCACGAATATGTGCGACCTGAAGCAATGCCGCACCTGAGGTTGCTCAGAAAGAAGAGTCGATAAGACGTCCAGGCTACGGTAGATGAGCGCAGTGTCGGGGTTGTGGACGTCAAGAACACTGAAGATGGCATGAGCTAAGGTGGGATCCGCACACACGTCCATATCGTCTGGATGCTGACTGAGCGCGTTAACAAAGACCTCGGCCACCCGTATATGCTCTTGCGGCGCAAAAGCGGGTAGCGCTCGCAAGAGGATATCATAGCCATCGTGAATTCGAAAAGAGGGTCCAAATTCTGGCACACGCGAGAGCAACAGAAGAAGTTCGAGGGGCGCTGATACTTGGTGGGCTGCAATGCATTGCAATAGATTAGACATGGCTTCGCTGCGCAAGATCTGACTCGCGTTGCCCGGCTCGCCCGCCAGCTGGGTCAACACGCGGACAGTGGCCAGCACAAGGTTGTTGTGCGACAAAGTGAGCACGTCGATCAACGTGGGCAGAATGTCCGTGTGCAAAAGGGTGTCTTGCACCGTGTCGTCCACATCCAAGTGACGGACAACCCGTTGCAAGAATTGCGATGCCCATTTCAAGTTGGGATCAGAGGAGCCAATTCCCTTCAATGACCTCACCAACAACGCAAGCAAGGCCGCAAAGCCAGAAGCTGCCAAAACTTGGCGAAACACGCGCGGCGCTTGCTGCATAGAGATCGACAGAGGGGCACAAAAGACATGAATAAATATGGTCAACACGAATTTGGAGCAGTCTTGCAAAGGCACGCAGCACACCTCCGCGGCAAGAAGAGCCAAAGCCCAAATGTCTGTGGCGGCTGTTTGTCGTTGGTCCAATGTCGGGCGGAAGCGGTGATCTGCGGACTGCGCTTCTCGCAAGGCTGCCAGCAAAACCTGGAACAAGTCATCCTTGGCTGCCAGCAATAACCAGTCGGGCAAGCTGGAAAGGGCGCGGCCGACCGTGGGGATTAGAGAAAACAAAGTGACGGGCCCAAACGTGGAGACGGGGCTATCCTTGCTCTGTGCTTACTGGAAGAGGTAGACGGTGGCTTGCACCAGCAGCAGGGAACCATGCGTGTCTCGCAATAGCCTGAAACAATAAATTTGGCCATCAGAAGACGAGGGCAACCCATCTGGTGCTGCTTTAAAGCCCTGGCAACATTTTTGGAGGCATTGTCGAGCAACGTACTTGGCAAAACGGGTGTACAATTGACCAGCCAGTTGCCGGTCGGTCTGTGTCACGTTGTGCTGGGATAGGAGTTGCACAAGATGTTGGCCAACACGAGTCACTTCAACACGAGTTTCGGCATGCAAAAGTCGCTCCGCGGTTTCGCGCCAAGGTAAGGCCTCCAGCTGGGCCTGGTGTTCGGCGTTCCAGAGACGCTCATCGAGCTGCTGTTGGAGTTGTAGATTTCGAGCACGCTCAAGCTCGAGTTCCTGCTGCAGTGCTTCAACCTCGGCTGTCTGTGCAGCTTGGTAGGCCTGGCTTTCTGCCTCATGACGGAGCACCAGAGCCCGCACGTCCACCTCACGCTCCATCGTGAGCAGCTCTAGCTCCTCACTCAAATGCTGTGCGCGACGTTCAGCCTCCATTTTGGCCTTGACCTGTGTGCGCAGCGCTTTCAAGGCGGTTTCCGCCTCCAGCTTGGCCTGTTGGAGCTGCGTGCGCAGGGTTTGAAGCTGTTCAGAAAGCGCAAGAGTTTCCTGAAGGTGCTGCTCTTCGATTTCTAGCAAGCGGTCATCGGAGTTGTTGGCATCAAGGCGGTAGAAGGCTAGTTCCTCGTCCTCCTCGTCAAGCTCGTCGATCAGCGATGCAGCACCAAGCGGCTGGAAATGAGGATCTGGTGAAGTGGGTCCACTGTGATCCGCTTCATCAGAAGAGTCCGGGGGGGAATGGTCCGAGCTGTGGATCTGAGTACCCGCATCAACCTTCGTAGCATTGCGGCCCGGCTCGGACAACGGCGGCGTAGTTGGTGAAAATGACTGGGACTGCGGCGGTGATATTGATGGCACACCGGTCGACCACTGCTGCATGGCAGAGTATTCCAGTTCAGGCCGAGGTGCATGATCCTCACGGGTGCAATCCCTGGCTAGATTGCCAAGATTGTCGAGAGCAAAGTCGGTAATGCCGACTTGAGCCAACACGGCTTCCTCCTGTCGAAAGGCTTCCACAGTTTGTCGGATGAGGCGCCGTTTACGATCCACATCCACGCCCAAGGCTTGAGAAAGCTCGTCTCGAAAGGCCGCATACTCGGCAGGACTGGCTGGTAGCTCAGACCGCGTCTGTGAGAGATCAGGGCGAGAGAAGAGCGCGGGCCACGGAATGAGCCGAGCGGGTGGCATCATACATATCCTTCGAATGGAAGGTGACGGCCCCACTCACCTGACAAGTGGTGCGAACCAACGCCACAAGATCACGATCACTGGGCAGCGCCATCCCTACTTTACAGTGATGCACACACGGCCGCGCTGCCACCCGAACGCGGCGCCAGCGCTGCCACCACCGAACGACCGGAGACTATGCTCGGAAGCAACAGAGTGTGTGTGTGTGTGTGTGTGTGTGTGTGTGTGTGTGTGTTGTGTTGTGTGAACGAGCACTCAAAATGATGACAAATAATCATACAACACATTTGTTACAGTCACCGAGGGTATTTGTTACCTTTGGACATTTGTTACCAAAAATAAATTTTTTTTCCGTTCATTTTTCCCTCTGTTGGAGGCTGGAGCTGTCTGGCAAGGAAGATAAACGGCAGCGCCCTGGTGGCCACTCGATCAATCTTCATAAATCAAAAGGTGGGATACATTTTTTACCCCATTAACTATGGTTGAGCCAGTTTTCGAATGCTCATCTCCTTGGATTCCGCTGATATGTGGCTGCCATTTCGGGTCATCCCACCTCGGCTGGCAGACAGCCGCCATGCGGCATCGCCGGGGTAAACAGGCATGTACAGGGGTTGCAACGGCCGGGCATGATGAAAGCCGGGTTTGTCAAGGATATCGGTGCGCCTTGGAGTTGAAAACCGCTTCACTGTGTGACTCTTTGGTGTTGGAACGTTGACATTTCCCGGCATACAGCTGACAGTGGTATTTGTGCCTATAGGCCGAGCGTCGAGCCAAGGCAGATCGTGTATCCCAACTCCTACGTCAGCTCACGGCGAGTTCGATGACTTCCATTGAAATTCAGCAGTATTTAGAGGTTGATGGCCTTCGTCAATTGACGCGTTAACAACTTGGCAGCCTGGTCAACCCTCTTACGAGCGCCAGTGCCCGAAGGGGGCGCCCCAATCGATCCGACGGGCTTCTGAAGCTGTACGGTATCACCAGAGCCAATCTTGTGGCTGCGCAACGGCGGAGACAGCGAGGCATCCAACCTCATGACGGCAGGCGGATTCTTCTGGCGCATGAGCGTGTAGCTTTGACAAACTGGCTAGAGACCTGCAGTGAGAAGCGTGCGTGTAAGAGCCGTGGCATGATCGTGGAGGTTGTGTGCGAGCTTCTTGAGATTCGTCGCAGTGCCCGAGAGGACGCACTCAATACGAATAGCGAATTGCTTGATCGGACTCCCACACTCAGCTCTGCTGAGCTTGCTCTTCTTGCTCGTCATCAAGAGGCCGAAAGCTCGGACAACCCCATGAGCCAGGCGCGTTTGAGCAATGACTGGTTTCGAGGATTGGAGTCCGACTCGAACATTTATCTTACCACCGCGGTGACTCAGAATCCAGCAAGAGTAACAGCCGCAACAGCCGAGGCTTGTACACGACATTTTTCGAGTCTTGACGAGCTCTTGGCAGACCTTGACTTCGTTCATCGCTCAGGGCGTCATGCTGGCATGATCAAAACCAACTGTAAGTTGACTTTCCTAGACAGCGCGAGCGCTGCTGCCTGTCTACGTCTGCATGTGCTGCAAACATACTTTTGTATCCTCCTGATGCATGTCTGTTCTTATTCATGCCGGCCCCAGGTCTTGGCCGTATCTTATCCGTGGATGAGATGCCTGGTCTCCGTGCCGGATTCACAAGGAATGTCAAGGTGTATTCCTCAGCCGACCGAACTGTAGATCAAGGGTGTCTTCCCGGACGAACCTACAATGAGACGATCACGCTGGTTCTCAGCATTGCAATGGATGGGACCGTGTTGCCGCCAATGGTGATTCATGCAAATCGTGGTCTTGGAGGAGACGAGGTTGGGCCGGCACACCTCCCCGAATCAATCACGGGCAACCCAGACTATTCGCATTTTTTTTGCTGTTCAACGAAAAGTGGTTGGATCAATCGCCACCTCTTCGTTGCCTTTTGTCGACGAATCAGATCTTTTCTCGGGCATACCGAGCCCATTATTCTGCTTTCGGATGGACACAGCACCCGCATGTCGCTTGCAGTCACCAACTACCTTCGCTCGATCAACATTTTTTTATTTTTGATCCCCCCGAATACGAGCCATTGCCTATCCCCGAATGATCAATGGCATCAACATATCAATCGGACACGTATTTCTTATACACTGCGCCATTCACGGCAGCTAGTTGGAGAGGCAGCCACCCTCGACGAGGAATTGTGTGCTCTTTATTTTGCCATCCACTTTCAAAGCAGTCAAGTCAAACGGATACAGGCTGCCTTCCGCCATGCAGGCATTACGCGCTTGGAGCGAGCTGTTAGACACATGAAGAACCAACCCTCACACGTTGAACCCGAGGATACAGCAGTGACGCCTCCCCAAAGCCCGGCAAGCACGCCATCTGGTTCAAGCACTCCGAGGTCAAACACAACGCCGCAGCCACTGGTACGGGTTTAGGACGCCAATTGGAGTCTTGATGAAGGCCGGGCGCACTTCGATCGTCTGGCTGCGAGTTTTTCGCGCCTTGAAGAGCGTCATCAAGATATGATTCGCTCAACGCCGCGTCAGCGCCACCTACTCGATCGCATCACGCCTCAAGAGCGGTCACGACGGCGACGTGCCCCCATTTTTGGGCCAATGTCATCGGGGCCAAGCGCCGCAGATCTCGAAGGGCGTGAGCGGCGCCGTGTTCATCTTCATGCGTCGAGGGAACGACGAGCAGCAAGAGTGGCAAATGAAGCTGATCTACGTGCTGCTTTAAACGTACAACGCATCACGATTGCCAACCTGAAAAGCTTCTGTCGATCGCATTGCCTCGGCACGGCTGGCAGCCGTGCCGAGCTCATCGCACGCACAAGGACACAACTCGAGCTCCCACAGCCCCCAACCACTCCCTCATCGCCAGGCAGGCCAGCTGGGGAGGTATTCGAGCCTTTGGCAACCCCTTTGGCGCAGATTGAGTCCCGAGAGGACGCCGAGCTCACCCCCATGCCTGCGTCTCCGCCGCGTGATGACCGAAATTCACCTCCCTCAGATTCAACCCCGCCCACTCTTACAGCAGCATCAGCAGCACCTTCTCTTGACCAAATCGTTGAAGAGGAGCCTCAAGAACCTATTGCGCGTGTCGGAGGTCACTTTGCAGACTCCGATCTCCAGTTTTGGCTCCGAGACTATACCTCTCAAACTCAACCATTTCAGGACGCAACGAGCCTCGAATCAAACGCGCCAGCCGCGCCTCTGGCCTGCTCAAATACAGACCAGAACGAGATTGATTTGCTCATCAGGGCTTGCGACGAGAGTACCAAAAAGTACAAGGCGTATATCGACTCACTGATTGCACTAGAGCCCCATACTTCCACGTCTTAAAAATAACACGAATTGAAGCTTATTTATTACAACCGCCACCACTGCACGAAAACCCACTTTTCTACTGACTTTTCTTGCCCTACCTAATTGAGCATCTTTGAAAAGCTGGTTGCCCAAGCCTCCCTGCACCACTGTCCCCGATGGACGAGAAACGTCGTGTATCAAGTTCTCACAAGTTCCAGAGCAGGCACGTCCTATAGAAGAAACAAAACAATAATATAACTCTTGATGTAGGGCAGCTACACTCACAAAATGGCATCTCATAGATTTAACAGATCTGCGCGGTTCGAATCATCCCAATTGGGCTGAGATCTGACCACAATCAACGCCGACTGCCATCGAACAAATCACCCCTATGAGGTGCGACCTCCTCTCCAACAACCATTTTTGACAACATTTGAAAAATTTATTTTTGGTAACAAATGTCCAAAGGTAACAAATACATTGTTGTCTATGGACTGGCGTTGATGGACTGTCTGTGCGGACCGCTGTGGTCAGATCAGGTCGTATCGTGTGGTGATAAATTTGAGATGGTACGATTCAATCGGCGGGTTGACAGAAGAAGCAAAAGGTCATGGGCATGGGTAGAGAGGTGTCAAGTCACAAATGGACGGGTGGGGCGGGAGGCATATACGGACAGAACCCGACACCGTCTTTTTTAAACAAGTGAGGGAAGGCGAAGCAACCCCCTTGAACATGGCCTTTGGGCTTTGACGGTCAGAGTGGGAGGGGTTGAAGAGGACAGAGACCCAAAAAAAAAAAAAACATCTGTTCTGCTTAGTCCACACGTACCCACATGCCATTCTTGGGGCACACGGGCACGATCGAAGGATGGCGCTCGCCACATGACTCATCGCGTGGCGTAAGCTTGAAACGCAGCATGAGCAGCGCCATGACGATGCGCGCCTCGAGAAGGGCCAAATGCTGTCCGAGGCAATTGCGAGGACCCTGGATAAAGGGCATGAAGGCATACAAGTCAAAGGGTTCATCGAAGCGCTCTGGGCGGTAGGTCATGGGATCCTTCCACGTTTCGGGGTTGTCGTGCGCCGAGCGCAGGCTAATGAGGATGCGCGTGCCGGCTGGCACGACGTGGCCATCAAGCACGTCATCTTCGACCGTCACGCGGGCCACCACAGGCACGAGCGAATAAAAGCGAAGCGTCTCCTAAAGGGATGTCGGTTGAGCCCGGCCGGTGTGAGACAGGCCTGCAACCGACGAAGTTTGCGGTGCTTGCTTGAATCGGGCCATGACTGCAGAGATCGATTTCAACACCAACCTTGAGCACGTTCATGGTGTACTGAAGACCCTTGAGCTGTTCATTTGCAGGCAGCGGGGTCTTGGTGAACTTGTCGGCCCCCTCGGCATCAGCGGCGATACCCGTACCGAAGACGGCCCTGGAATTGCCAGATATACCCGAGGTGAGATTGCACGTGTGAGCCTTGAGTAGCCTGAGGCAGCATCCACTGGCACGCGTAGCAGATGGACTGCTCTCTTGGAGCAGGAGCAACAACGTACTGGGCTTCCTGAATAAACTTTTCCCGAACTTCTGGGTGGCGATGGAGCTCGTAGCAGGCCCAGGTCATCATGGCTGCCGAGGTCTCGTGGCCTGCCATGATGAAGGTCTTGATCTCATCACGAAGCTGCAAGACGGTGCCTTCACCCCAGGTTGCCGGGTCAATGTCAGCCATGATGACCTCAAGAATGTCCTTATCGTCCTCGTTGGTGCCAGCGGCCACAGCAGCCTGGCGGTCGGCCCAGCGCTTGCGGATGAGGTTGCATAGATAGTTGTTGAGCTCGTGAAGGGTGCGGTTGTAGTGGAACCAGCCTGGGTGGGGATTCACAAGGCAATGCGGTGCGTGGGATTAAACATGGGCTAGTGCAGGAAGGGGCAGCTGAGCGCGGGCGCGACTGCGAACCTGGTGTGGGAATGTAAGCACGATAGGGCTCCCAGACACGGCGGTTGGCTTCCTCCATAATGGGAAGATAGAGATCGGGAAAAACACGCGACGATTCCTCGGGGCTGAGGCTGAGAATAAGTTCACCAATGACCTGCAGAGTCAAGACGCGAAACTAGACGATCGGGCGGTGGGTCATGGCAGGACGGTTGATCAGCCCAAGCGGAAAGGCCGGGGTGGGGGTGCAGCGGAGACTTTCAAACTAGGGAGCAAGGAGGAGGGGCGTATGTGCATCAGGGTGGCAATCGTCAAGCATACCTCCTCGGCAATCTCAATATACTCGCCGGTGCCACGAATGGCCTCGAGCTTTTCGCTGAGACGATCGATGGCCCGCTTGGCCACGGGCTAAGCGGTCCACGGGATTGAGCGTGAGTGCAAAACGGACGCTCATGATTGATTGACGGCCAGGCGATGATGAGTCCGGTCGATGGCGAGGCGAGGCGAGGCAAAGCAAGGCAAGGCAACTGACCATGGTCTCTTCCAAAATGTCAATGCGTAGGGCATGGCTCAGGAGGGTGCGCTGCTTCTTCCATAAGGCACCGTTGCTGCTCACGAGGCCGCTGCCGAGAATATCCATAAAAGTCTTAAAGGCAAAGTCCACATCTTTGGGGTAGTTGTGAAGCTTGCTGTTCATGATTTGGCGAAGATGACGGGGCTTGTACACGAGCAGGGAGTTTTCTCCCATGACGTTGGCCTTGAGCAGATCAGCGCCAGTAGTTTCAAACCAAGAGTGAAAGACGTCCCAGGGAGTTCCAATAAGCAAGGCCCAGGTATGGCCCACAATGGGCAGCCACTGTGGGGCGCGCTGGACGTTGCGCAAAGCAAACTTGATGCGCAATTGGTGCAGCTGATGTGGTATGGCCATGCAGGGGCAAGGGCGAGCAAGAATAAATGAGCGCGGCCGGGTCTTGTCTTGGACGGGGTACAAGAACGGAACAGATGCGAGACATACCTGGTGCATGACGATGCGCGCCACGATAAAGGCTGCGGGGGTGACAACGGCCAGTTTGGCTGGGGTCAGCGCCTGCCAGTTGGCGGGCACATGGCGAAGAAGCCAAGGTGGAAGGATGGTAGCAGCCTGCAGGACCACGCGATGGAAGGCCCAGTCGAGGCCTTGATGAGCCAGGTCCATGGCTTGGTTGGCGGCTGCAGCAGCCATGATGTTGAGGCCAACACAAGAGCCCGGCGCAACGACGGAGAGTGAAGGAAATCGGACGGCGGCAAACGCAAAGCCGGCTCTACAAAGGCCATTATCACAAGAAGAATTGTGAGCTCTTCAAGATGATGGCAGGGTCCAAGGAAAACCAGTTTGTTTTGTACAAACAGGTGGTGGTAGTGCGCATGGATTTGTGCGGCGGCAGGCGCAGGTGAGGTGGTGCGCATGGATTTGTGCGGCGGCAAGCGCAGGTGAGGTGGCAGGCGCCTCGGCACGCGTGTTGGCACACAGGAAGGAGCAACGGAACATCACCCGCCACACACACACACACACAGGCTGGGCAATCTGCCAAGACTAAGGCGAAAAAACAAACGGGAACCGTAGAGCTGACAACATCCAGGCTTTCCGCTTTTCGCGCGAAAGCAGCCAGCGCAGCAGCCAGCAGAGGCACGGAGGCACAGAGGCACGGTGGCAAGCGGATCAACAGCGCGCCACTTCACGACACATTGTATTCTGAGGCAATAGGGCGGGGCGCATGCCGTTGTCATCGTGTAGGTAGAAAGAAGACGAGCGCCTCGCCTGTTGTGCTGTGCTATGCTGTGTTGTGCTGTGTTGTGCTGTGCCGTGCTGTGCCGTGCTGTGCTGTGCCGTGCTGTGCCGTGCTGTGCTGGCATGACCCTGTGCCCTTCTCCCCCGCCCTGCCAAGGGCATGGCCGGCAATACCTCGCTCAAATCGCTGGCAGCTGGAAGTGACATGTGATGGTCTCAACTCTCTCTCTCTCTCTCTTGCTCTCTCTCTCTCGCTCTCGCTCTCTCTCCTTATGCGCGATAGAGAAAGTGTGACCAGAAGCAGACTTCGGGCCTTGGAACGCGCTTGGTACGCCGTGGTAACCACTTGGGTTACGCTTGGGTGATGCTTGGTAGTTCTCCGCTGTGCAGGTATTACATCACAGCAAACAGGCAAACATGCTCGATCAGCTGATTCTCATTCGCCCAGCCCAACTATATTTAGATGCGCGCTTGCATATGGGTTGAGCGACTACCTTGAAAATGTCAGATTCTACCGGTGATTTGTCAGCATGCCGGGTCCGGAGCCTGGCGGGCACATGTACCGGCCGCGCACACCACACAAGCTGCGATCAATCTCGAATGGCTCACCCGGTGAGAAGAAGAGAGACAGCAGGTAACCCCGTGGCTCGAGCGGCCGAAAGCTTTCTTGCCGGCACGCAGCACCTCCCGCCTGGATAGTAAACAGACAGAGAGACAGAGAGACGAACTGTCCCTATTCTTGAAACTACACTTTGGATGAGAGCAAAAACAACTTCTTGTCTGTTGTTTGATCGCACGGGAGACCTTGATCTCATTCGTCATTTTCCCGTTCCCTCGCTTCGTCTCCTCTTCCGTCCGTGAAGGCAAGCATCAGTGCGGCCCTGTCGTTCGACGAGTCATCCGTAACGCCGACCACGGGTCAGAGCGACCAGCCCCATGCTGGATGTTGTTGAACACTTGGTGGGCTATGCCCGCCAGCCGGTCACGGTTGGCACGGCCTGGCATCAGCTCTGGGAGCCCTCGACCTTCCAGTGGCAGCATGGCCAGACGCCGTTGTCCCACATCGTCGTGGTTGTAGCCGCCCTGGTGGCTTATGTGGTCATTAGTTTTGGCCTGCGCGCCTGGATGCGCTCCCGCACCCCCTGTACGTGCCCGTCTGCTCTGGACATCACTCTGCTCTGGGCACCTGCTGGCACGTGGCATTGCTCACCATGCCGGCCTCGGCCCTGCTCCCGGCCCCGGCCCTCCTTGTCTGTCGGCAGTCGGTGGTCCGATCTTCAAAGCGTTTGTTGTCTTGCACAACGCGACCCTCTCCGGTGGATCAGCCATCATGGTAACCAACGCTCTCCTATCGCCATCCAAACGCCACGCGATGCCAGCCGAGCTCCGCCCGCTTGTGTGGCGCTCCATCTTGCACTCGATTCGGGTCCTGCCAGCACTGAGACGAGTAACAATGATTTGAACCCCACACATACGCCTGCCTGCTCATGCACGTCTCGCTTTGGTGATTTCGACACAGGTTGTGGGCTGCGCCTATGCCACTTACGAACAGTACCGGTACGTGGCCCTGAGCTCGCTCGACGGTTGGCCGAGCCCGCTGCCCTCCCATGCCGACATGGCGTCCCCTTCGACGACAACGCCTCACCATCTATCCGTCATGTGATAGACTTGGGCAATACGACGACTTGGTTGAGGGCGCCCTCTGCGATAGCAAACACATTACGGAGCAGAACAACGCCGTCACCAACACGCACCGCTGGTCCGCCGCTGTCGCCAGAGCCAGGGTTGGCCTCCGCTGTTGTGCCGCCATCGCACACACCTCACCGCCAAACCACTTCTGTAGGTGGCTGTACGTGTTTTACCTGAGCAAGTTTTATGAAATGATCGACACCTTTATCCTCGGTACGGTACCCTCCGCCCCATGCCCGTGAACTTAAGACTCTGCCGTCATTTCCTGCTGCCTCCGCCCGTCCCACTTCCTGCTCTTGTCTTGTCTGACTGTATCCTTGCGCCGCCGCAGCTCTGAAGAAAAAGGATTTAACTTTTCTCCAGATGTACCATCATGCCATCATTGTTCTGCTCTGCTGGGTCAGTCCGGTTGCTTGGCCCGACACCCAATTGGGCCCTGCTGCCCTCACTCTGATCCCTTTTGAATTTTAAAATAACATGTCCTCGGGGCCAGTCTTGGATCGATGCCAAATTCTTTCTGGCATGGTACGCCATGGTTGTCAATGCCACAGTTCATACCTTTAGTAAGACCGCTCGTGCATTGCTTCCTCCTTTTGCGTATCGTCCTCGCCATCCCGAACTTGCATGTGTAACCTCCCGTCATGTCTCTCATGCACACCCCATCGCTCCAGTGTATTACTACTTTGGCTGCCAGGCCCTTGGTGTTCGTGTTTGGTGGAAAAAGGTTAGACCGTGCTGGCAAACGCAAAGGTTGCCTCATGTGCCCCCACGCGAGCTCACCCCCTTGGCTTGCCGCACCGTCCTGCAGTGGCTGACAACGGGCCAGCTGGTTCAATTTGGCACCGTTTTCATGCTTTTGGTCGTGTATATGCGCGTCGGCTTTGTCCAGGTGGAGTATGGCTCTGCCTACCCTTTCTTGCGTGTACAGAACCGCTGCCAGGGCGAAGCCTGGGCCCCCATCTTCTCCCAGCTGATCAACGTCACCTTCCTCTATCTCTTTGGTGAGCTTTTTGTGCGCCTCTACCACCACAAACCCACTAGCAAGCCCGGTCGTGCCAAAAAGGACTAGTGCCGTATAACCGTATAACCTATACTGCCCCGCTTCGCATCCCTGCGCCAAATCGACGCTCGAGATGCACTGTGCACGCCGTCCACACATTTGAAAGAATAAAAAAAAACCCTTTGAAAACTCATTAAAAATTACCACGAAATCGTCCATCACACACACACTCCTGCGTCATCCCAACTCATGCTTCAACACAATGATGGAGGTCTTGCTCTCTCTCTCTCTTCTCTCTCATTCAGATCTCTCTTTCTCTCTTTCCTCCCGCTCTCTCTCTCTCTCTGTCTCTGTGAGTCTCTCTCTCAGGTCGGGGGCGGCCACGGCTGGGACTGCCTGTTGTCTGCCTGTTGTCTTGACTGCGTGTCCACCGTATGCATCGTGGATCTGTCGCGAGTCGGAGCTCAAGCGGCTTGGCTGGCTCGTTTGGTGCGTGTTGATGGGTGGCGGCTTGTAGACGAGCAAGGAGACGAGGCGTCGGATCGTCGTGTTGGCCAAAGCGTGAAGTGCACAACAAGACCACCAGCGTGATGACAGAGGCCGACCAGGAAGATGTGAACGAGGAGGCTATTCAGGTACGACATCGTCAAAAGATGGCTCCTGCTCTACAGTGCTGCGCCATGTCGAAAGAGGGCATCCTTGTCCGCACTCAAACGCAGGCTGTGGCGCAGACATTTTGCACACTGCTACAAGAGCAGGCTGGGGACGTGACCGAGTTGCGGCCCACATCCCTCAACCCCAGTCCAGATGCATGTGCACGGTGCGCTATTCATCCAATTGCCTGCCCTTGCGACGCAAGCGCCGAGCTCACGCTGGCTGGCTGGCTATAAAACCCCGCCCATCCACCTTAGCTTCATTCGGGCTCGAAAGGGTGATGTTGCAGCCGCCGTGAGCCAATATTTGGAGGCGGAGCGGTGCGTGCTCCAAATTGGATAGGGACTGCCGCTGCCACCGTGGCCTACACGATCAGGGCAGCAGCCGCCTCACGCTTGCTGCCGGGACTTAGGTGGTTCAAATCCGTTGGCTTTGATGATATGCCCGCAAAAGATGAGGATGAACCTGTATGCGGCAACCCTGCATGATCGTTGTTGGCCTGGCTGCCCACACCCGGCTTGACTGGATGTTGGACGCCTAGCCATCCTGGCTCATGCTTGCTCGTGGTGTATGCACACGATAGATTTATCAGAGCCTGTGCCCGCATGCCAATCTTGGCTATGACCGTGAAGGGCGACCCATTTACTGGGAGCGCACCGGGCACATCAACCTGCCCAAGGTTGGCGAACATGAGCTCCCGCTCGCCTTTTTACACCAGTCACGCGCCGCCCTCATTCACGTTAAGCATAGGTGCTCAAAGTCTTGACGCCAGAGCATCTGATTACTCGCCACGTCCGACAACAAGCCATCGCAGTGCAGCGTCTTGAGGTGAGTCAACACAACGCCCTTTCTCCACGCTTTGTCTCACCACCTGCTCACGCTTGAGGCCGTGTTTCTCTCGCCAACACCCCGCTCGATCTGCCTGCTCCAGGAAACTTCGCGGCGGCTGGGACGACTCGTGGAGAAGCAGGTGGGTGGAGAGTACCTTCTATTACCGTTTTCAGGAAATACCTGCGAGGCTCATCATGACTGTCCCGTCCCGTCTGCATGTCCTGTCATGGACACACTAGACGATCATTCTGGACTTGAAACACCTGTCTCTGCGCCCCGACTCCAAGGGTTTGGGCATCTTCAAGGAGTGCATCCGAATCGATCAATCTTATTTTCCCGAACGCCTCGGTACAGTCCCACGCCCGTGTGTCCGACCAGCCTCTGGCTTGTAGCCAGGGCGCTGACCCCAAGCTTCTGCCTTTGTTGTCCCCCTTCCCAACCCATTGCCCCTCGATACCTGGCTCCTCTTGCTTCTGCCTTCCGGTCAAATGCCAACCTTCATGTCGAGCCTAATTCTTGGCCTGTATTCCCGATATCTGCCCATCGTTAGAGTGCTTCTTTTTCATCAATGCCCCGTGGATCTTCCAGCCGCTGTGGGCCATCGTGCGCCCCTGGCTTGATCCAGTCACCAAGCGCAAGTTTCATGTTCTCGGCAGCAATTATCAATCCACGTTGCTAAAATACATTGATGCCGACCAGCTACCTGCCGAATACGGTGGCACCGCCAATTTTTCCGTACGTGCTTGATCTGGTCTTTTCAACCCAGCTGGGACTTTTGAGTGAGGGCAGCTTATATACACACAGCTTATTCGGGTTCTGCGCGCGTGGTGCCGCCTACTACTCGTGGCTCATTCATTAGATTCCGGACGCCAAGCCGTTTGAAGACCGCGACTTTTGTCTCATGCCCAACACCGACTATGACCCGGAGCTGCGCCCGCGACTGCTCTTCCCGACAGCGCAGGGATTTCTCACGGGTGCACAATTGGACAATGCGGCTGCAGCTGCAGCTGCCGGGTCATCTGAGCACAACGAGCAGGGACCAAGCAAGCGCGCCTCCGCAGCTGTGGCTGATCAGACCCCACCACTTGTGTCCACCTCCACCGGCTCACGCCTCATGATCAACGGCCGTGTGCCACTGGAGCAGCTGTTGCAGGGTGCAGTGCCTCCCATGGCCTCCACGCTGGTCTAGGACCCACCAGGGCCATGCCAGGGCCAGGGCCAGGTAGCAAAGATCCCCTTCCCCAGCCGCCTAGTTGCCTCAGCGCGCAGAGTTAGACATCAGTTGAACGCATTCTATCGACAACTTGAATTCTTGTGATGGTGACGTTGCGGTTCGACAACTTTGTAGAGCAGCAGGTCGGAGCACCAGAGGCATTGAGCGAGCAGGATGTGGAAGGGAGGAAGATGCACAGGAGAGTTGCCAGGCAAAGCACAAATGCCTCAACGAACAGCAGGGGAGCAACGTGAAAGAAGGGTGTAAATTTTGTCGTGAGGCAAAGGGATGCAAAAGGAGGCATGCTCATCAGTCTCGACCGTTCAACCAAGAAAAGCAGGCATTGCAAGAAGCAGGTAGCAATGGCCCGAGTGACTTGTGTGGGACGCCCGACGCAGCCGGCCGCTCAGCGGCTTTTCAGCCTCCTTGCGGGCGTGGCCTCTTATTCGGCCTTTTCCTTGGCCGTAGCCATGCCGTAGATTTGCGGAGCCACGATCAAGATGGCGACCAAGACAACTCCGATCAGCAGCCACACCTCGCCGTCACTCAACTCCACTGGGCCCTCCAAGATACCCATCGTTCGTCGTACTCGTAGTTCAAGCTTGCCGCGCTTGCAGTGTTGCAACAGTAAAAACTGCGCAAAACAAAAGATCAACGACTCTTTGAGTTTTTATTTTACATGCACATCTCATTCGGATTTTATTTTATTTTTTTTGTGGTTTTGGGCATCAGATCAGATTTGAGATTGACATGTGAATCGAAGTGACAGCTTAAACAGATGCGGAGGGGATGGGCCGAATGGCGGTACAATTGCCTCTCCGTTTACAAAGCAGTCACGTTGTTACGGGCGTAATACTGCTTGACATCGACGTCAGCAGCGCCACCAAACTGCACACGAAGTTGAGAGTAAGCCAGGAAGGTGAGCCAAAAGAATCAGACGCAGCACAGCTGCGGATCGACGGGCACACAAGAACACGAGAGCTGCTGCACCCACCATGTCCACCAGCCAGATGTGCTCGATCTCAAGGGTCGTGAAATGAAAGTCGTGGAAGCTGCCTTGTGAGTTCCACGATTTCATCTCAGGATGGCGATCAAACAACGCTGCCTGGGCGTGCGGTTCCTCGGCACTTGTCACCTAAGCGAGCCAATGCCACGATGCCGCAGATGAGCAGAGGCTGTGGTCCAGCAGCAACGAGGCAGTGCCATAGGCAGGGCACCTACGTTCCGATAAGTGCCCACAAAGGTGAGGCGGGCGCAGCGGGGATCCTCGGCGTCATAGTGATTTTGTTTGCAAAAGTTTGTCTCCACTTCACTAAGTGTAAAGGTGCAGCGAGGATCCACCAAAATGTCCTGTCATGGGTCAGCAGCAATCAACATGAATGCGCGAGCAGCTCGAAGAGAGCACTCTCACCCAAAGAAAATGCTGTCTCTTGGTCCCCGCCCCTCTGACGCGCATGCGTGCGCGCGTCCACGTTCCTGTCTCCTCTTCTGAGCGTTCAACCAACCTGGATCGAAGCATCGAGATTGCTGACGTAGAAGAAGAGGTGTCCGGTGCTGTTCTTGATCGTGCCATCGGCGAAGGATTGTGTGTTGCCAAACGCATAGCCAGCTATCGCCATACATTGTATCCCGTGGTTCGTACGATCACGGATGGTGGACGCGGCAGATTCCAAACATGTGACCGTGGCATGGGCAAACGCGGGACTTACGAAAAGCGGTGGAAGTGGTGGCCAAGACGCCCTCGACGGCCTGATGCGCCAGCCAGCGCGCCACCCCAACCTTGTCCTGATAATCCGGCGGACCAGCCGCTAGCAGGCGCACAAAGGTGACAGTGAGCGGCACGTGCAAAATTCGGCTTTGTCCCCGCTGGATGTCGGCGACGCGGCTCACCGGCATCGTGCGCAGAGACAGCTAGGCCCAAGAGCAGGAGCCCCACCAAAACACCAACAGACTTTGAAGGTGCCATGATCGCGGGCGTCAAGTGATGTCTGGATGGCTCTCACGGCAAGAATCAAGCAGAACAAATCCCTCCAAACGGCGCGAGGCCAACAATAACACCAAGGTCACACAGGCAGCGTCAAGTCGATCTCGCCGTCTCCAAACAAAATGATGATTGCTACGTGGTCCCTGCTGAGCACACCGGCGCGTTGCTGCTGCTGCTGGTATGAGCGACGGCACGCCTCTAGAAGAACACGAGGTTGAAGAAGACGACGATGGTGAAGATGATGAAGGTTACAGGTTAGTAATTGTACTATATCATGAGAAAAACAGCAATTTAAAATAATCAAAGCTTTATACATTATGAGGTTGACGGTGGGAAGAAGAAGCAAAAATACGAGAAGATGCAGTATATATACAAATGAATATGAAGCCATGTATTCAGAAGGTGAAGCAACAAGAATGAAGGGCGCTAGGTCCCGAGAGTAGGGGGCTGTTTCCATTCCATCTTTTCATCTGACAAACAAATCTGACATCTGACATCTGACAAACCGACGCACAGAAGAGCAGCAGCACGATCACGATGGACGAGGATGGCACGGGGCTCCCGGGCAGGGATCTGTCCGTGGAGGAACTGTATCGACGGTGCGTTGACTTGGCATCAGGGCTGATGGTCTCCGTGGGTGGGCCGTCATGCCTGGGGCGTCTTAACGATTCTTGGCTCTGGTTGACCTACATGCCGGCCATATAGGATTGATGCAGCCCAGGCCGAACAGAGGCGGCTCCGCGCTCAACTCGGGTTGACCAACAAGGGTGAGGGGGGCAGTCGACAACCCCGGCCCGAGGCTGTTGGTGATTCCGATAGATTGGCACTCCATGTTGCTAGACAAAACCTTGTCTACTGGCAAGAACGAGCAGACGAACAACGGGTGCGCTTCGCAGGCCTGCGTAGGAGTTTGCAACCATCGCTTCGTCTGATCGCATGTGTCCGACGACATGTGTCCGACGGCATGTGTCTGACTTGATTTTGCAGATTGAATACCAAACGCCCTGGTGGGGCTACCACAACCCCAAAGTGGACGTGATTCTTAGCGTGTGTTGCACCCTCTGCTGCTCCTCATGCTCAGGCCTGCGCCACAACCCTGTCATGCCATGCCAACTCACCAAACACCCGCTCGTCTAGCGTCTACGCGAGGACCTAGAGCGTGACAGGGCTGAACTACAAATCCTCTCAGCCAAGGCGACGCATACGAGAGATGATGAGTGAGTATGAGCTGGCCATGTTTCCGGCTTGAGTGCCTCTTCCCTACCCCCCTCTCTCTCTCTGTCTGTGGCCATCTGGGCGGAGCAGCCTGCCCACTGCAATCGGCGAGTGCAGAATGAAATGCTCAGTTTCCACGACTTCTCATGTCACGGCAATGGTTGTGCACAACTGGTGTGAGCCTAGACGTGCCGTGGCTCAAGCCATCAGGCAGCACCGGCTAGAGTTGCAAACACGTCATTCAATTCTACAATCACAGGTGCCGCCAACTTCGCCTGGCATGCGGCGCCCGATACCGGGGACTCTGACCATGCCATGCCTATGCCTGATAGCTCGATGCCGCAAAAGCCGTTGTGGTAGCTCGGACCCAAGCCTTGAAGGCACGCATTGTGCAACAGCGTGCAGAGCTTGCACGACTATGCAAGGTATGCCTGCCCTGGTGCACCCACTCATGAGGCCCGATTCATCATCTTGATCAACCCTGCTCACATTCGTGCCTTGGAACCGGCGACCCAGTTGACGCGCGCAGCCAGCAACTCGCTCTGGGACATCCAAGCCCAGCTTTCGTTTTAGCTTGAAGCATCAAGCCATGCAAAACAGCCAACTCAGGTCCTGCTGCTGGCTCCCTCCTGCCAACCATGGCCGACGCACGAGTTTTGCACCTGGCATAAGCCCCTAGCCAAAGGGGACTGCACTGATTCTTGCACGCGTGCTGAGCATGCGACAATCTCCAGCACTCACTGCTCATTCAATTCATGTCAACCCGGCCGTTGAGGGTGCGACACGAGCAATTCGGCTCCCATCTCGCCTCCACTTTAATTCCCAGAGAGAGACAGAGAGAGACAGAGAGAGAGACAGAGAGCGCAAGAGAGAGACACACACCCCAGGAAAACATTTCACACTCAAACTGCTGCTTTTAAGCTCGATCTACAGTTGAATCTGGTAGTTTGTTGAACGAAAATTTGTTGACTCTTCGACCACCGGCTCGGTCATTTGCATCAAACGGGGGGGGGGTGATCCTCTTGAGCTTTGCTGCATCATGGCAGTTCAGCAGGCTCGTGCAACTCTCAAGCTGTCCAGTCATGCTGGTTGCCGTCTCATGACGCGGGAAGTGCTGGCCAAGGTGAGCAGGCACCGGTGCAGATGCTCTCATATGGCGAGCTGGCCGGCCACGACGCTGACCTGACTGGTTCCCGTCACCACAGGCACCGGCCGTCGACCACGGCCTGCTCCATGTCGCAGTGCTGACGGCTGGCGTGGGCATCACGCTCAACGAAAATGCTGACCCAACGGTACTTTCCTCGTGCGCTCCTAGCTGCCCTCGTCCTTGTTTTAGATGAACGCTGAAGGGCTCCAGAGTGCCGCCTCCGAGCCTTCACACCGGCTGTTGACACCGGCTTTTGCCGAGCAGGTCCAAAGCGACTTGACCACTGCCTTGGGCCTGTTAGCCCAGCCTTTTGGTGCTCAAAAGGTGGCAGCTCAGCGGTTGTTGAGTGGCGCCACTCTGTCTCTGCCGATGCGCAGCGGGCGCCCAGATCTCGGGACTTGGCAAGGCATTTATCTTTGCAATTTTGCTGGTTTGTTCCTGGTTGGAAGAAAACAAAAAGGCACATGCTCCTATGACCGAACGGTGTGCTTCCAACCCCTGCCATTATCCTGGCCACATACACTGATCGAGAACGCGGCAGGTGTGGCTGAATGCGAGCTATTGTTGACCACTGTGAAGGCCTCGGACAAACCTACCTTGGTGCGTTGCACAACCTGGCCTGATGTCCTCCTGAAACATCTGGCATCCCTTCTTATGAGCCGAATGCGCCCCTCTCTAGGTGACCACCAGCGCACCAGAGCGTGGGACATTTGATGTTGACGATGCAGTCCCCAGTTCAGACGCCGACGACGGTTTGTGCTGCTCTGACAGCTTTGGCCACGCATCGCTGGTCCCCAGCCGGCACGGTCGAATCAGCCATGCCTCGTTGCGCCCAGCTCAATGCAGTGTGTTCGAGGATGTGCAGTGCCCATGCTTTACCACACGAAGCACACCTCAGCGGCCATCGCACTCGGCCCCAGCAAGACTGGTGATTTTGGCACTGCCATGGAAGCTCAACTGAATCAGCTTGTACCAGCTGCATGGAATCAGCGTAAGATCAGCTTGCAGGCTTTGTATTTTCTCGTGCTCTTCAAGCGAGCTCTCGCGATGGATCGACCCGATGCCAATCAATGTTGTCAAGTGCCAGATGACGCGTTCCTGTGCCCATTCGACAGAACACTTTGAGCATACCTACGAGGGCCCTGATGATATGCCGGGTCATGTCAAGTCAACGCTCATCGGCACTGATGTTCTTCGCCTCAGCTCGGTATGTCCAGCCCGCGTACCTCACATCGGCCGATGAGGAGACTTCACCGCCTTGGTCGCCCTGCCTCACTTTGTGTCACGTCCTCGAATGTCTTTGAATCACAGAAAGCTTGGCATTTGCACTTGATTGAACCCCGTGACAGCGGTGGCTGGGGTGGTGGTCATCAGCGCCGCATCAGCTGCACGCGCCTGCCCTCGGTAAGCGGCCCAGAAATGCCCACAAGAGCTTTCATGTGCCTTTGTGGAACCTGATTAAGTTTCGCGTCTCTCAACATCTCTGACCCTCGCAGAGTCATCGCGTGTCAATTAAAGTTGACCTTGATGAACACGGCTTGGCCACCCAGATCGAGGCCCAGCTCCTGGATCAGGTAAAGTTGCTTTTCTTGGTGGAGACACTGCCATTGTTTGCATCAAGAATTGGCTCACAGATCTATATTTTGTTCCTTGGGTGCCTCTCACCGCCGCGTGGCCGGTTAGCTCAAGGCCCAGCAACCTGCAGCGACGGCCGGCTTGCTTGTCGTGCAGGCTGATACGCCTGGCGTGGGCCTCTGCATCGCATCTGCAGCCGAGCATGATGTCCTGCACCACTTTGCGGAACATTTGAACATTCAGGTTGGTTTGTTCTGAAAACAGGTCTTGACTCCATCATCTGTGGCTGGCATGACGCACTTGTCCCATCTACATTCACCCAATGCTGATGGGGAATGCTGTTGTAGAGCCAAGCCGTGGCGGGCGCGATTCTGGGCCACTCCCTAGCAATTCCCATGTGTGAGGGCACGCTTTGCCTTGGCGGTGACAATCAGCAGCTGGTCGTGTCAGCGCCGCCGGGGACGCCAGGTCCAATCCGTATTGATGCGCTCATGATGTTGTGATTCAAAAGCTGTTCTCGGCCATCGGCTCGATGTAGACTCGAGCCTCGCACATGATCAATACCGGGCCACCCTTGGGTCTGTCATGTGGGCTCTGCCAAGCGACTGTGATTCAATTGTATCCGCCCAGCTCCACTTTTCCGGAAGACAAATATTCCCCCACTGCCTCGGCTCGATGAAAGCAGAAGTGGTCACACGTTTTGACATGGAATTGTTTACAGAGGGAGGTCAGGCGAGCAGGCAAGCCAAGCAATCACCGACGATCGTGATCGCGGTCACGGCGGCTGCTATGCCGATGTTTATGCTTCTTTTTCTTGCTCTTTTTCTCGCTCTTGGACTTTTTCTCCTTGCTCTTCTTCTCCTTCTTGGCTGATTTGCGCTCTGAGCGGTCTCTGCTACTGCTGCATCAGTCGCCAGGTTGATGTGAGCATGGAAAGTGCACGACAGTGCCAGATGGCTGGCTGGCCATGACTTGGTACCAAGGGGACAAACCTCGACCGTCGCCGATCGTCGTCATCAGAGTCGTCCGAATCCTATACAAGCAAGCGCAAAGTTGAGATGGGTTGAATAACAACATGGAAGTCGCCTCGGGAAAAAAAAAAAAACACAGGGAAACATCGTTTGCTTTCACTCTTACACGGTGGCTTCGCGACGAGTCCCGGTGGTGGCTGCAACACAATCGCCGTTCAAGCCATTGGAGGAGTACAGAGGAGTACAATGAGAAGAAGCTCGAGCTTGGGTGGCTCATGTGGTACCGAACGGCCTCGTCGCAGTCAGCACTTACCGCCGGCGTCGTTGGCTGGGTGAGTGACGACCGCCTACACCCTCGCTATCTGCACACACATAACAAAAAGTGGGGTCGGAGAAGGGTCAGTGCTGTGCACACAAGATGCAAGACCGGAAAACCAGCTTGCTGCCACAGGGCCTAGAGTGTCCTCCTTGTACAACCACGAGCAATCAAGTTGCAAGCGGACGCCAGCGTACCTAGCTCGCTCTCAGAGTCTTCGCTAGAGGTACTGGACACGTCCAAATGCACGTCGTGTTGGTCATCCACCTTGATGTAATTGCGACACTGAAACGTCAGGTGGCCGGCTGCTCGACAGATCACCATGCGCAGATATTCGTGAAATTGGTGTGCCGAAAAAAAAGAAGGTAGATGCGACTTGGACATGTGCCAAGCGCTGATACGAAGCGTAATAATCCAAGCGGCGCCTCACCATAGCCACACTTTTTACATAATCCGAGCCGCTGCGCAGACTGGCCGGACAGGCGAGCCTCGATGGCCTCGGCCGTGTGAAGCTTGTCGTCCATTGTTGAGGCGATGAAATGCAAAGTAAAAAAAAAACGTGAAAAAGAGTTTTTTTTTTTTTGATGTGCTCATCATTGTGTCAGTGGGCTCAAGCAACGATCCCGAGATTTGTAGTGTTGATTGAAAAGGAAAAGAGAGCAGAGCAGGGCTGTCGGGCCTTGTTCTGGCATCAACGCAACGAGAAATGTAAAGATCCTTGTCCGGAACGAACACGGGTTTCAAGCTGCATCTTTCCCAACAAGCAAATCTCCAAAGAAAAAAAAAAGAAAGAAAGGAAGATGGGGGTCGTGTCGGCTCGACCTGGCTCTCATAACAGACACAGTAGGTTATGACTCTTTACTGCTCAGTTGCTGCTGCCTCCATAGCGGCATGCTCACTTTCAACAAATTGGTTGAATCGTTCGCGGATCTGTTGCCGTAAATCAAGCTGTTTCGCCTGTGAGGGAGCAGAAAAAAGCCGTGAAAAGATCATTCAACCTGTGAGATAGCGTCCCTCCCTCCCAGAAACAAGGCGTATCACCCAAGACAGGAGACTCGGATCCAAACAACAGAAAGCAACCCAAAAGCCCTCTGTCCCGGGCCAAGATAGTGACACTCTTGCAGGAGACGTACCTTGAGCGTATCAAAACTAAGATCGGCTAAACACGAATCGTCCACGGACGTCTGTGCAACATCGCAAGGGGACAGTCATGAGCAAGATGCACTGTGCGGGAATGGCACGCGTGTACGCAAAAAAGAAGGGTCAGGGTTTTCGAAGACCAACGTCAGTGTCACCAGACCAGCCCATGGATTTGAGCAAATCAAACTCCTCATCTGCCATTTCAGCGTCATCCTCGTCTTCGACTGTGTCCAACTCGTCAAGCACGGCTGCAAGATCAAGGAGAGACTTGGGCTCGCTAAGCTGCGTCTCACGCAGGCGTGGTTTCCAATCCAGCGCATTGTCTGTGGTTGGCTCCGTGCGAGACTCGGTTGCTAAATGTGTCGCAGTGGAGGCTGGTGCATCTGGTGTGGCAGTATGGGCGTTCAAAGCGGTGTTCAAAGGCTGTGCAGCGCCGTCTTCAGTTGCGGTCGGTTGGGTGGCTGCGCTTGCAGATCCTGCCTCTGCCTTGGTATCGGGCGCGGGCTTGGTTGCAGCTGCTGCCCCGGTTACGTCTGCGGATGCAGAGGCCGCCGAGGGTGCGCGTTGATTGGAGACGGCTGCTTGCCCCGGGCGCTGATTGTTTTTGGCGGAAGCATTGTTTTGTGCCTCAGTGTCGTTATTTTTGGCCTTGTTTTTCTTCTTTTTCTTCTTCTTGCTCTTGCTTTTTGTGGCTTCCTCCATCTCTTCCAGCTGTAGCAAGGAGCGCGCCGCTTCTTCTGCTTCTCGCTCAACAATGTCCTGCTCCAGCATCTCCCACAAGGCTGAGGCTGCCAGTGCATAGGCCATACTATGTTGTTGCTCCGCAATGGCCAGTCGCTAAGGCACGCCACACCATGAAGAGGGATAACCACACGGATGAGCTTGATGCAGAGCGTTTGCATCGGTTTCAGTCATTTGACACCAGCACGTCAGGAAACATACCCATTGCAGTTGACCGACACGCTTGCGAACCAAATGACCCACAATCATGACCACCTCCGTTTGGGCCTTGATCTGTGTCTCCGCGTGGCGCTCCTGGTCGGAGATGTCCTTACGCGCAAAGGCTGAAGCCGGACAAGGTGATGAGCCAGAACAAGGCGAGCAACGTTGGAAGGTTCTGGCTCACTGCGCCCTCGACCGGGAACACACCTATAACTTCGCAGAGATAGGTGGAGTCGCAGCTAACTTGCAGCACGCGGTCCTCCTTATCGTAGGACAAGCCCTCGAAAATGATGGGGTCATAGCTGAGTATCACATGACGAATTGACGCATGCCGGCGCACACCAAGCGAGGCCCGGGAGAGGCACATACACGTGCGCCCACGAGAGCAGACAGGTGAGATATGCCTGGATATTGGTAGTGTCCCTCGCGCCACACGGGGCGAGTAGCGTACCCAGTGTCTTGTAAGTAGGTCTTGCTATCAAACCATTCCATCTGCTTGAGCACCTCCCAAGCTTTCTCGACCTGAGCGGGGCCAGAAGCAAGGTAGGTCAGAGCGATCCCAGGCAGAGCGATCCCAGGGGAGCCCAAACGTCTTCGAGGAGCGTAAGTTAGGTCCGGATGATACCTCGCGGCGGCAATGTAGGCAAAATTTTTTCATGTGCGTCTGGGCAGCTTCCTCCACTTCTTCGTCATCAAAATCCATGATCAGCTCCCGCTCCTTCTCGGGCACCTTTTCCCACCTGAGGGGCGCAACATCATACATGTAGAGCATTGAGTAATATCGTCATACCGAGGCGCCCATGTACATGTATTATTGCAGGCTGTGTAACAAGTGTATGATCAAGCTTGCACGTACAACTCTTGCCAGGCGTCCTCGTCCAAACGCTCTAGGGCAGCTTGGGGTGACGCGCGATGTAGAATACAGCGTTTGCCTGCGGTGGACGTTTGTGTCGTCACATTTCTATCAAGCACAGCGGCACAGCGGCACGCACAGCAGACCCGTTCGGCTTGAGGAGGCGGCGTTTGTGTGCGCGACACGTTTACAGGTGCAAAGAACGGCACGCGTGTGCGGGCGGCCCAAGCTGGGCAGCCGAAGGGTACCTGAATGGATGCAAGTGAATGAAAGCCTCCACTGGGTCGTTGCCGATCGATGCATGTAGGGAGACGGAGCCATCGTTGCTGACGTGCAGGGGCTGTAAAGTTTGGTGAATCGACTCGGACAGGGTGTCGAACACGTGGTCGATGGCTCGGCGGCAGCCAATGCAGGCTACGCGGTGTGCCACGTGGTGCTGAAGGCGCTCCTTGTTAACGCGAAGCTCACGATTGTGCGACGATTCGGACATGAATCGCTGCCACATCTGTTGAAACGAGAGAGCCCAATTCAGTCAGCCACCACCCGGAGGATGCCAAGTCAGTTCCGGGTTCGGGCGCCCCAAGCATCCCACGGTAGGCACGCAAATCTGTACATGGGGCCGCTACATGAAGTCAAGGTTAACTCACGTCCAAAAAACGTTGCGGAGGCCGGCTGCGCGATGAATGGCTGAGCGGACCAACGTCTGCAACGATCTGGCGCAGAGGGAAGGTGGTAGCGGGTTGGGTCAGGCAGGGTCGGAGGTCCTTTGTGTGGTGCTCAAACGAGCTGCTCGAGCCTACCTTCCAGTCGGCAAAACCGTCGACAAAGCATTCGCCCGGCTGCAAGTCCGTCTTGTTCACGTCTTCATCGCTGATGCAGCGGGTAATGATGCAGCTGCACCCGTCGCAAGCCACGCAAGTGCATGTTTCGTGGGTAAATACAAAGCCGCCCGACCGCTTGGATGCCATGGCGGCACGATGGCTCTAAATGAGGACGCAGCTAGTGCACAAAGCGAGTCCAAGCAAGTATGCTGCTCGTCAACGACGGCCCCGCCCCTTTCGGAGAGGCGGATGCAGGGAGCCAATCCCACGCAGCAAAGGACGTGTCCCAATTCCAGCACCAGGGGTAAACACGGGCACCAAGGCCCCGGCCTTGCAGTGATAGCAGGTTTGTTCGGCGGGGTCCGGGCAGAAGCACGCAAAATCAAGGGAAACGGGGATGTTGTGATCCCAATCGGGCCTAGAGACCACAGCAGGCAAGGCACCAAGGTTCAAGGGAGCCGATGAGTCGTCAGAGCGTCGCGCTGCACAAAGACCAATGACCCCACGCAAGAGTGGGGCATAGAGAGACCATCAGTCCAGAATTTCCAACAAGCGGACAGCGAGGCACCGCCATTGCTGCATTGGCTGGCTATGCTAATTGTGGATCTGCTGGTGAGGCGTTTATCAGCGCCGCGCCGCCACGCCGCTGAGAACGTCGCGTGTCATGTGGGATTGTATGTGCACTGCGTGCGCGTCGCTGATTCCTCAGCATTCCCCTGACCCATGCACACTCAGCAAGCACCTCCCCACATCAAGAGACAGCATTCACGATCTCCACTCTTTCAGCTCCAAAGCCATCACTGCCGCGACCGTCGCCGTCGCCAACGGGACCGCCCAGCGACCGCTCAGCTCACAGGACAGCGAGCGTGACCGAGTGAAGCCACTTACACTTGGTAGCAACCAAAGCCGACAAGGGAAAAAGGAAAGCTCGCAAGCCCTCAAGTTTGAGTTTCATCTGGTAACAACGGGCAGCTTTCAATGTCAGACAACAACGTCAGCATTATTTCGTGTGTGTGTTGTGCTTGGGCTGGAGTGCTCTCAGAATCGTTGCGGCTGTGTCAGGCTGTTGGGAAGCGGGGGGCAGTGGTATCGGCGCTATGGATCAAGTGGTCGATCGCGTCATTGCACTCTACATGGATAACCAACGGGCCTACGATGACAACCCGCCTTCTCCTGGCACAACTGGTGAGCTTTGTCGAGATGGATGGATGCTGGTTGATTGCAATTCACATGTCAAACTCGGCTTGGTGCACGCAGTTGGCGAGGAGGACGGTCCAGGTGACGCTGGGCGTGGATATGAGGACGTCAATCTGGCCATTTCATTCATTGATCATGGTGCGTGCTCACCATGCGATGGGGGTGGCCTGCTCTGGACGGAGGGGATTCTTCTTGTCTTTTTGTTTTTTTTGCATACCCTCACTCGCTCCTCGGCGGGACCGATTGGTCACCAGCACTCCAAGCTGCCCAGCAAGCTGTCCAGGCCCAAGTGGATGAAGAAACCGTCGTTGCAGCCCTGCTGCACGACATTGGCTGGCTGGCCCCAAAGCCCAAGGACGCTACCAAACTTACCAGCGCCGATGAGAAGGTAGGATCGCGTCATGTGCAAACCTCCACCTGCAAGCATCTATAGTCTCATCCGGCTCGGTGTCCTGTTATCACACTTGCAACAAAAAACACAACAAACACAACAACGTCTCAATTCATTGTTATCTTCACTAGATCTTTCTGGCCAAGCACGACCAAGTGGGCGCGAGCATGCTGCGCCAGCTCGGATTTACCGAGCGCCTAGCACGTTTAGTGGAAGGCCATGTACAGGCCAAGCGTTACCTGACCTTCAAGGAAGCAGACTACTACGAAAATCTTTCTGCTGGCAGCAAGTTTACCCTGAAACACCAAGGCGGTCCCATGTCCGCGTCTGAAGCCAGTGCTTTCGAAGCTGAGGATGATTTCCCCCTATACTGCCTGATGCGCCGGTTAGTTGCGCCACGCCCCTGGATTTCTAGGTCTTGATCCTGCAGCTGCTCGATTGACAACTTCTTCACTACTCATGCTTGGCTTGTCTTCCGCCTTCAGGTGGGACGAGGCAGCGAAAATACCGGACATGAAGCTACCAGCGTTCGATTCGTATCGAGCAGCAATCCGTCGCTGCCTAAGTGCAGGCCTTTGGCAGCCGCGTCGGGGTATGTGTGTGTGTGTGTGTGTGTGTGTGTGTGTGTGTGTGTGTGCTACTTACCGTTTGCTCACAATGCGACCCGTAGCTGGACACAAGATTTGCTCAACTATCACCCGCCCTCTGTCTGTTTTGCCTTTTCTCCTTTTCTCTTTACCTTTGCTGGTAGGATATGATGTAAATGACCTGCTCACCGAATCAGATCTCCAAAGCTTCCAGAACCAAGGTGCTGCAACTGCGCTTGAACCACACCTGCCCATCTCAACTGCCAGGCCATCACTCAATCTGTGATACTCATTCTTCCTTCACGTGATGCACGCGCCTCAAGACCCTGTACGGGTCGGCTCTTTCTTGACAGATGGCGAGGTGGCTGTGCTCAAAGGTATGTGAATTGTTTCCGAAGCGGGCTTGCATCCTTTTGCAAATTCAGTGACTCCAATTGCCTTCGTGTCAATAGGGGCAGGCTCTCTTGCGGACCAATGTCTTCCGCTACGTAGGCGCGTGGCTCTAGCGTGTCAACGTGTCGGGTTCGACAAACCGGTGCGCCACATTCATCCTTTGCCAGGCATAGAGTAACTTGGAGATATCGATATCACTCGTGTTTTGGCTTTGCAGGCTGTTTTCTTGAATGACGACCCCACCGATTTGTCTTCTGGTTGGTTGAAATAAAAACCTGGCTTTGCTCTATTCTACTGACACGGCACTTTGTTGTCTTTCTTCAAGCGTTTTTCTAATGCACCCGCCGCCTCGATGCGATGGGTTGTTATGAGACTACGATGCTGAACGCAGCGCATGACCTGGTAGAGGAAGCGTCCAAACGGGTGAAATGCGCTACGTTCCTCCCGTGCACTTGGCTAATTGCCCTGGACAACGCCGGTTTCCAGCTGGAGTCTATGTAAGCAGCCGCTTTAGCTTTTGTGAGAAGCACGTCGTTCATTCACTTTGAATGGTAACTCGGGTTTGATGACCGATGAATCGTGATAGTGCTGGTGATAAGGGAGTGGCTTGCACCTGGACCCTCACTGCTGGAGACGCCGTGCTTCTTCCAGCCGAAACAGTTTATTCCCTGAGGTATGAGGCGGCATGAATTTGTCCTGATATGGATGATGAGGCCATGATCAAAGCACCTTACACCCGCGCACACGGTGCATTCATGACGTCAATACATTGTCTCTCTTTAGCCCCGAATCCTTTGATGCCGAGAAACCTCGGGTTATGGTAGCGAACTGCACAGCTCGAAAATGAAACGGAGCTAGTACAGCCTCAGGCTGCCTGTCCACCCACGCTTGTCCTCGGGTTTCGCTTCCGTTTCTTCCTCTCAGGGGATCAGCATGGCTATTATACAACGTCAAGCAGCCCTGTTTCAGCGTTCTAATTTACATCTAGATGTCAGTTTCCAGCCAACGGACATCAAGGCAGACGCAATGAGGGATGTGCTTCAAAAGAAAAAAAAGGCAAAATTTTAAATGAGCGTGTGTTCAAAAAAAAACTCCTTAAAATTTCATCAAATTTTTTCGATTTTTTTCCATTTGACTGTGCTCTTTTTCGACACGCGCCGCGGCGCCGAACCGACGCCATGCCGTGGACAGCGGTGCTGCAAAACTACCCCGATGCTGCCAGCGCCGTGGTGGCTTTGCCCACGTATCCCCTATTCTGTGCGGCGATGCGCTTGCCTCTGCGCTTGCTGCATATTGGGGCGCACCAGAAGATGCTTGGCACGTTGGCTGGCGCCTCTGTTGTGGTTGTTGGCACGGGCCTCACAGCCCTAACGGCCTGCCTCACCAAGTACTCACTCCTCGCCGCCCTCGGAGACGGTCCACCCTCCATGCGGCCTGCAGCTGACGTCATTTTAGAGGATGCTCAAGTGAGTCAGTCAGCTCTTCTTATCATCCAGTAGAGCTGTGATGGCCCGGATGCTCACCAGCCAGCTGGTCATGTTCTGATTGCAGGGTTTGGCCAAAATACTTTTAATCGCGCAAGTGTTCTTGGGCACCCATCCTCGCCGCTTGTGCCCAAGCCACCTGCACCACCCTGGTGCTTTTGCCCAGGGCTCGCTACCCGCGGGTATCCGGTACAAAACAGCCTCCGAAGCCCGTCTGCTCGACCGCCTAGGACATAGACATGGCTGTCATACCTGTGGCACTCGATTTCAGAAGAGCTTTGTGGGTGATCACCAGCCCCCGCGCTCCTTCAACCTGCCCGACATGCGCTTTTTCCCACAGTGTAGGCCCTGCAGCAATAGCCAAGGTGGTCTCACCAGCGGCAAGGTCATCGGCGTGCGTTTGATGCGCTCACACCATTGGTCGCGGGGCTTTGATTGGCACTACTGGGGCCCATCGGCGATCGGTCTCCTGGCTGCCCCCCTCTTCTATAACAGCGATGCCGTTGCGCCAACAGCCACGACTGTTCCATATTTACTCGATCCCGAGCACTACGCAAAGCTGACTGCCCTGGGAACCGAAACAGCACGCTCCTTCGGCATTGATCCACTAGAAGCGAAGGAAAGGGTTCAAGATCGAGCTGCAGAGCAACTCTCAGAGTTGGAAGAGCAGGCTCGTGCTTGGCGGGATCAGCTGATTGACAAAGGGCGCTGGCCCGCCAAGACTACGGGCCAAACGCTTCGGGCGCTCCTGAAATGCTACTTGCAAAAGGTCACCCTCTTTGCGATAATGACTTTCTACCGCTTCCTGCCTGAGGCAGGTGATCGCTCAGCGTTGGATAATCTGGAACTCGAGTTTAAGGCCAAAAGTCTCGAAATTGCTGCACTATGGAAGGAGCTGTAGGGTGCTTCCATGAGACGCACAGCCTTCCCTCTGTTCTTAATTTTTTTTTTTTTTTCCCTAGTCCTGAATTTGGAATACGACAAAATTCTCAAAATCTTTCATGACCATGGCACAGCAGTTTCCCATCGATTCCATTTCCATATTCAAGTTTCAGTCATGTATTCTTTTTTGACGCGAGAAGAGTCTTTCACAAGTATGCGCCAAGGCAAGCACAGCCTCAACTTGTGTTGGGTCGAAAGCGCCCCACGCTGATTCGAGTAGAGCGCAGCCCATGGCCAGCCACCAGCTGATTGTGTCCTGCCACCGTTCCCGTCAACAAGCGACGCTGGTCGCGATTGAGCCACTGGTGCTTTAGCAGCTTGGGAGGAAGCTCAAGGTGGCTTGGTAAGAGCGCATGGCAGTTTCGCACGGCATGGTCCGAGAGTGGCGTTATCAACACAAGATAGCCTTTCTCTGCCTCCACCGAGTGGATGCATCCAAGCCCCAGGATGCGAGGTGCAGTAGATATAGATCGAACTTCGAGTCCAAGGTTTGCGATGCTCTGATCGGTCATCCGATGCGCACGAGCTACCGCATGTTCCTCATGTCGGTCATCGTCCCGCTCCGAAAACGCATGGTCCTCCCACCTGCGCCTGGCTCTTGTCTCCATCCGCAGGTCTGGATCATCCACAAGTGCAACAAGCGCACCCGTCAAGGCACTCACAAGCTTCGATCCCCCAACGACAGAGGGCACAGAGCAACAGAGCAACGTCAGCCAGTCAGGTGAATACAGGAAGCAACCACGGCGATGAGCAAGTCTACGTTCATTGTCCATCAACCAATCCAGACCGATCCCTTACATGTTCAATCTCAGAGGGCACTTCATAATTGGCATCTGTACACAACACGAGGCCACGCAATTGCACCTGTATGGCAGGTGCAAAGAGAAGGCGATCACCCACGCCGCGAGGCAAATGGTCGGAGGACGTAGAAATGCCATGCAGCAGATAGCTCTAACCATGCAGTGCTTGCATGAGCAGCAGAAAGGCGTGGGGGCAGACAGACGCTGGCGGCCTTATCGACGGCCCGCCCTCATCCTACAACTCATTCTTGTTTGCCTCATCATAGCCGATAGTGGGCGGGCGGGCGTACCGTGATGCGTGCTTCTCGTAGTTGGCGTGGCGACAATTTGCCTCCGCTGCTCCAGCTGGAAGCTCCGGCGCCATGGCAGCTGGAAGCCAAGGCGACGCCCGACGATAGAGTGTGCCACTCTGCTGGGCCGACGGCTTGGCAGGTCGCGCGATCTAGAACCCTCATCGACGTCATCAGCATGCGAAGGCGACAAGCGACAATGACAAACAGGAGCGGGCGACTGTCGGTTTACCATCATCGGCACAGTTTTGCGAGGCTTCGGGTGCCAGGACCTCTATGACCATACTTGGCACCAAGAGCTTGAAGATGGTGATCAACATTTCTGCGCCCAGGCCACGCACCCACCCTTGCGTGTTGATAATCAAGGGCAGCGGCGCGGGCCCGGCCTGCTGTTGCGCAGCCCTAATACAACCAGCCCCACCCCGTGTTCATCCACCAGCGTTTAGATAGCGAACCGTCAAGAGTGAACCTTTAGAGAGGCACCACACAAAAGGTCGAGCATAGTACGTACTTGTAGGCCTCGTAAGCTCGGCGCACCGCACTATAGTAGACGTCAGGGCACAATTTAGGGCTCGCATAGCCGACCCAGAAGCAAATGAGGTTGTCACTTGCAAGGCCAAGCCGGGTTACGGGATCGCGCCAGCTGGCAGCGCTCTCAATCTGTAGTGCCACCGAGCCTGGAAGCGCGTACAAGCTTTGGCCCAAGTCTAGATCGAGCACTGCGACACGCTGGGTGCCTGATTCAAAATGCCTGAGAGAAACCCATGGCCACGTTAGATGAGACTTGGAGAGTTGCGTCCACTGCTTTTCAAGCAGAGCCCATGTGATGTGGCTGCTCACAGGCCCATCTGCCTGTCTGCCTACCCGCCTACCCATCTGCCTACCTGCCCGCGTCTTGTTGATAAGTATTGACAACCATGTTGCAGCTTACCGGTTTATCAGAAGCTGACAGAGGGTGGACTTGCCCACACCTTTTGCACCCATAACCAAAGTCGATGGTGCATTTACCACAGACAAGTCTGGGCTCTCGAGCAGAGCCGCTGTGGCATCTGGGAGGCAAAGGCCCGGCTGCTCGGCTGGGGCCAACGCCATTCCGGCCGGAAGTAAGAGCCGCAGTCGATCGAGTACCTCCTGGGCCGGAACAAATGACACAATCGGGTTTGCGGAGGAGGGGGGTGGCCGAGGGGTAGTGTCGCCTGAGGTTCGACGACTAGGCGTGGAGGATGCTGTTGGAGTGTGGGGTTGACTGCTTCGAGCATGAAAATCGCGGAAGGGATCGTCTGAACTACCATTCAAGGCCTTGGCAAAGGCTGAGGGCGCGGACGCGACAAATGCTAAGCAGCATCCACGCTGGGCTGGGGCATCTTGAAAAAGCGTGGCTGCAAGGCACCGGTGAGCATGCTGAAGCTCGCCGCTGTGGGGGATGCACGACAACCGGGGTGTATGGCGCGCTTGCTCGTTAAACAACACCTTTGGCTCTTCCGCTTTGGGGCTGGACGGCTCATCCTGGGAAGCACGCGCGTTGAGACGCACGGTACGGGGGTGGGCGCTGGGTAGTGCGGAGGCCTCGATGCCGACTTGCCATGACTCTGGAGACCAGAGATGGCTGGCTTCGCGGAAACAGCTTTGCAGCGTTGCAGTTTTAGGGTTTTTGAGAGATAGGGGCAAGGGGAAACAATCGACTTCTACCAAGCCAGCAAGGGCTCCGATGCTTAGCTCCCCATGAAAGCGCAGCTCCACCGGGTTGTCCCCGAGCACGGCCAAGAGCAGGACGTGTTCATTCACGGGGTATGCGTAAAGCAGACCCTTGCTGATGGTAAATACGCCCGCTCCATGGCGCAGCGCAAGGTCCAAGCGCTGCTGCGCAAACGCGCTCATGGCACCTGCAAAGCCCGACCAACGTCGAACCGCGCTGTGCTCAATCCAACCATCTATCTACAGAGCATCTCAACTCTCGCCCTCTGCCTTTTAAAACATGCGATGAGAAAAATAAAAAAATTCACACAAAAGTTTGTGTGTGTGTGTGTGTGTGTGTGTGTGTGTGTGTGTGTGTGTGTGTGTGTGTGTGTGTGTGTGTGTGTGTGTGTGTGTGTGTGTGTGTGTCCGTTTCGTGACGTTTTGGATGATAACAACATGTAAAGCCAACTCGACTGTTTTACGACGATGTTGCTGCCTTCTCTTTGCTTGCTTGATGCGTTGTGCTGAGCGGGCGCATGCAAGGATGTGGGATCTGGGTTTGAACAAAGCTGTATTATGACCGTCGAAGGATCAGGCCAGACACCACCACCACCACCATAGAAGCCACCCATCACACTTAGCGCCATTCCCCCCACTCAGGATCCCAACGCTTTTTGCGCTTGGGTGCACCGCTCCTATCGCATGGAAAAGGGATGAGATCGAATTCAAAGCGCAGAACAAGCGTGCTAAGGTGTGCAATGCAACACGCATGCTTCAAACTTCTTTCAGCCAAACAGACACAAAGCGCTACTCACGCATTGGAAGCCCCGGTTTGAGCTTGGTGGGGTGAGCGCACCCTTCGACCCTCATCACGTTCGTGCGACCTTCGGCCCCGCTCACGATCATCGTCACGTCCGTGTCCATGTCCGTATGGGCGACGATCATAGTCCTCATCCTGCCGGTGCCGACCCCGCACACTTTTCTCATCAAGGTCACGACGGTCGTGCCGGTCAGAGTAACGGCCGGCGCGGTGGTCGCGACGATCGTGGTCAGCACGGTCTCGCCGATCACGCCGCTCAGGACTTTCGCGGTCGCCAGGCCCATGACGTCTGCCTCGTCGAGAAGGCTCCGGGCTACGGCTTGAGCCACGCCTTGGGGGACTATCAAGATGAATGGATAAAGTAAGGCATTGGTGCAGACCCGTAGCCGTGCATGTGGCACATTTGCTCACCTGTGACGCCGGCGCCGTCCAAATTCGTCCACATCATCAGAGGAAGCTTGTCGGTGCGACGCAGATGGTGCATTTGGCGTAGTGTCTCCGCTAAAAATCGGTGTTGGAGGCGTGACAAGAAATAAACACATTAAGCGTTCAAGGAAACATGCAGCATGCATGGCGTAAAGCTTCTATGCAAACCAGCCCCAGCTGGCTGCCTGTCTACTCGGCATGTCCCTCAAGGGTGTGGCAGCGCCCACTCACCGCTGCTCTGACTGGGCTTCATTGGCGTTGTCTGGCAGTCGCAAAGCCAAGGGTGCCACGACAAGGAAGGGTAAGCGGCACACGAGCACACGAACGAGCGAGCAGGTCCTCGTGTCGGTGCGCTGATGAAACGCACCTCGATCGCTTCGCGGCTTGGCTTTGCCTTTTTTGTTGGGGTTGATCCATCGCCCAAATTTGTCCTTCACAAGCTCAAACTTACGGGGCTGAAGGTTGGCGTTGGCTGAGTCAGCCTCCTGTGAGCCAAAGTAGCCCTGCCATGCGCATAATGCCAAGTGCGCCGTCCATGAGCACACAAGTACGACCTGCAGTCAGGCAAGATTCTGCTGCTCACCTGGACTCCCCAACCAACACTACCCTGAGACCAGCCACGCTTGGCAGCCCCTGGATTGTGGTATGGGTTGTCAAACTTGCGGTGCTTGGCCATGTTCGGATCAAAGTCATCCCGCTCAGCCCTGACATCAAGCGATAGGAACCCATGAGCAGACAGCCCAGCCCGAATGGTCGTCATAAACCAAACAACCAGCGACTGACCGTGGTGTTTCCAAGTCCACCACGGGCACGAATTGCCGGGACATGGTCCCTGGTGACTGAAACGCCTTCCAACGCCGCCCAGCTGCCAGTCAGATGAGACAGCCGGCCCAGACCACAATTATTTTGCTTCCACTTCCTCTTTCTTCCTCTCGTTGATAAATTTGTGTCGTCAACGAAAATGTCATCATTTTGGCATCGCCGACCCATTCGTTTGGCAGCACAGGGAGCTGGCATCAAACGTGCCATGACTGCTGAATCTAGGGTTAATGGCTCACTTTGCTCTCTTCGAGGGCTTGTTTCACAAACCTGGGGACCTCTCAAAAATCTTAGCGATGGATCGAATAAAAATAAAAATAAAAGAGCATCGCTTTGCTCAATTCAAAACAAATGCCACGAGCCCCCGCCTCCGACAAGACCATTGAGCTGAACGATACCGGCAAGCCAAGAAGATCAAAGCCAAAGACAAAATGCTCGCTTCACTCAATAAAGGTTTGGCGCGTCTTGATGCGACAAGAATGCATCGGCCCCCGGCAAGTCATCGTGTACTCCGTCGATGACCCAAGTCTGCCCATCATCACCTCACCCGGTGGCCTCATCCACTTGATTGTTGCTTTTCAGCTCCACACCCACTTTGCTGTCAGTGGCCTCGTCCACGTCATTGCTGGCCGTACGTCGCTGTAACAAACGGATTTAAAATGATAATAAATCACAAAAAAAAAAAAAAAATGAGCGCTTGTACACTCTAAAGCAGTGAGAATCACCTGTAGTACAAAGGCCGAGGGAAAGGCAGACAAACACGCGTGGCAGGCAAGCGGTGCTTCACAGCTTGTGGAATGCCTATCATCGCACCTGCTTGCTCGTCTTGATCTTGACGCCCACTTCAGGGCGTGCAACATAGCTGGAGGTGGACGCCACCATATGCTGAATGCGGCTCTCCATCGTCATCCAGCGGCGGTCGAGCACTGCTGTATCCTTGTCCGACACATCTTTGACGGATTGCCTATCGCAAGTTTGACACCAGCCGATCAACGCAGATCAGAGAAAACAACAAGTGTTCCCAGCGCAAGGCGATACGAAGCTAGCGCCAACCTCTTGTCTTTGAAATAGAACGATTTTCCATGCGCCAACAGAGACAGTGGCCAGGCCGAGATACTGGCCGTCATTGCTGCAACGCGAGGCCTGAACAATTGACCCACAAGTGAGAATTTGAACAACGATGGCGACAAAAGCGTCAACAATGAGATCAACGACAACAACGATGAGCACACACACACACACACACACACACACACACACTCATGGGCCCACATGTCCCCAAAGCTTTTGCGCAGGGATGGTGCATACACCACAAATAAAACATACGGAAAATAACTGGCTCGTGAAGGGCGCTCAATATATGGGTAGCATGTGGGCCCCGCTTGGATGTTCAGCTCCGGCACCGGAATATCTGTCAGAGGGCGACACGGAGGATAACATTAACCCGAACCCGAACCCGAACCCGAACCCGAAACAAGGTTGCGAGATCGATTGCCAAAGCTCAAGCATACCATAGAGCTCAGACACTTTTTCCAGGAGCTGCTCGATTGACAGGCTCGACGAGATGACCATGTCACAAAGAGGACCTAATTCCCAAGCCGAACGCACCAGTTAGCCATGGCTGCCCAAGACCTTGTTTCCCGACACGATGCTTGTGATGTCTCCTTACCCAAACGATAGCGAGTAGCATCCCATTGACGGTAAAACACAATAATTTCGCCTTGAGCCGTGTGAACATCCTCGTCCAAAAGCTAAAAACGCAAGCGGACAGCAAACGAGCGTTCGCCCACACCGTGAGGAAAGGCAATCAAGCGTATGCTCAACGTCAGCATGCAGTTCCATACAAGCACGCGTGCCTCGACAAGAAATTTTTTTCCATCATAGAGCAAGCCAATCTTGTCGCCAGGCTGGTACACGGTCCGCAGCTGCAACTGTGATGACGTCTCCCAAATGCGCATACTACCAAGATGCACACATTCCAAGATGCACACATTCAACTCACACCGACAAGGAAAAGACAATCCCCACCCAAAAGCGAACAGGATCAGACGAGCGGGGTTGACAAACATACTGCTCGAGGTTTTGGGCATGCTCAAGGATCCAATCATCGCGCTGACGTTGCGTTTCCAGAGTAATCATCACTACCCCCGACAATTTAAGTGGAAAAGAATTGTGAGCCTCAAAAGCAAATTGGCATTGGTCGGCGGTTCAGCGGGTAGGCAAAGAAAAAAACGGAAAAGAGAGGCAGGGCGCACAATCCGTCTCGTCGGCGCGCTCGCCGGCAGGTGAATCGGTTGCAGCGGGAGTCGCGGCCTCAGACACATCGCTCGTTGTACCCGACGGGGCCGAGGACTCCTCCTTGGCACGCTGTTCCTCAATCTCTGCAGCCTTGGCACGGATGAGACCCCGCACCATCTCGAACATGGCATCGGCATCACTCCTTTCCTGCAGAGGCACTTGGCCGCTAAGTGGAATCAGTGACTGAAATTCGAGGGTCGAGTGAGCGCCGTACGAGGGTGTGGATAAATGCAGACAAAGGTAACCATGTACCACTTCCGCGCTCCATCATAGCGTAGCGACACGAACATGAGCGACGCACCCGATTGTGGTCATCACTCATGAGGAAAAAATCCACATGGCTTTCCCCCTCCTTGAGCGGCTTGCCCTCCTTGATAAAAACCTTAATTTATGGGCCAGAGCATGTCAGATATAAAATATAATATGCGAGCGCACATGCACACGTCAGGAATTTCTTCATGCGCAACGAACGACTCACCTTCTTTGAAATATCCACCCCAGCCGCATCGACGGTTTGAGAAAGCTTTTGAATCTGTATCTCTGAGCGACTGTGCAGGGAGCGGAAATACCACATCTGCATCACGACGTCGACAAAGCAAAACGCCACACAAATGAGTAAGAAGTTCCGCCGACAAACAAGCTTCCAGCCCAACAGAATCGCAATGAAGAGAGGTATCTTCAGTTCAGACCATGGGATTGAACAGCCATAATGTCATTCATATTGAGCCAACGCACCTGGAAATCATCCAGCTCCTTGTCCGACAAAAACGCCTCGCGAATACGCTCCTTGAAAGTCTGCAGGGTGTCTCGAGTGTCAATCACCATGGTTTTCACTACGCGATCGCCCGATTATGCGTCACCACGAAAAAGTACCAAATAGCCATGCATGAGGCTTGATCGGGGTTGGTTCGGCAAAAAAAGCAAAACTTGAACTGGAATCTCAAACGGTCCAAAAAAAAGCAAGACAACCACCATGCAGACCCACCGTCGCCGTGCGGAAGCTCAATCTCAAATTCCACCGTGTGGCGCAACGTCTCCACGGCCTTGTAAAAGGTGGTTTCTTTGAACGGCAGTTCGCCAAGATCCTCCTCAGCTGGCTCGAGATCAGCGAAAAGCTGTGACCAAGGAACCCATGAATGAAGCATTTACCAAGAAATTCGAACCAGTCACGATGGAGACTGAGCAAAATGCGGGAAAGCATGTCCGTACGTTATCGCCACCATAAATGCCCGCCATGGTGAAAGAAATGTTCTTCTTCAAACAGGAGGGCTCATGCATGGCGCGATACTAGAAACCGCCAGGGAAGTGGGGCGGATTTCGCTTGGTTGAGCCACCACGTCTTCATGGGATTGCACACACACACACACACACACACACACACACACACACACACACACACACACAATACCTTCACCCTTTCAGACACGTAACAGTGACAAGTTGAAAGGTCCCGCGACTATCCTTGCTACCACGCACCTGGCAAATGCGAACGATTTCCGCATCGCAATGATAAAACTGGCAAAGTCGCTCAACAATGCCCGATGTATTGCCGTTTTTGGGCAAACAGAACTGCAGCAAAATGAGCCAAATGAGCCAAATGACCACCAGTAGAGACCCAAGTTAGACACCATAAATGCAAAAAGGAAAAAAAAAAAACGACACATCGCATGCTGTTTCTGTTCTCGCTGCCTTTGAAAGAGAACTGGAGAGGGGTTGTCACCAAGTCAAATTTCTTGTCGCACTTACCTTGACTGGAGGCAACCAAGAGTGCGTCTTGCTTCGGTAAACGGTCATGGTGATGCGCACGCCCGGTACCACGAGCTGTGGGGCCAAGAAACAAGATTGCGTCGAGATCAAAGCAGCGGATATGAGGAAAGAAGCAGGTCAGCAAACCGACGCGTACGACATGATTTGGCTGTACAAACTACGCACCGGCTCGAAATTCCCCTCGTCATTTGCTTGGACAATTAAGACATTGGAGGCAGAGTACACCCGCATGCCGGCCTTCTCAATTGTTAGATCATCCTACGAGACAACCGAAGCATCAGCGCAAGACCATTTCAACAAATTTGATGCCAGGTGACCAAGGCCCAATCAAGCCCAGCCGAGCACGAGAAGACCAGGATTGCTGATGACCCACGCTGATCTGAAGCTCGTCACTGATTGATTCGTTGTAGGGTGTGTACTTGAAAATGCGGAAATGTGAGCGTGGTACCGACTCGGGAATCTCCCAGGCCTGCGGACATGGTATGAGAAGATGACTGAGGGATACAGAAAAAGAGCAAAACATGGCGGTCATAACACAAGCCCATGTTACAAGACAAACCTCCAGCGCTTTGACAAAGGCGTCCGCTGTCGAGGATAATCGATCAACCTTTCAACGGCATTTAACAGGTTCATGTGAGCCCGGCCAGGAACGATGACAATATCGGTGATTCAGCGCTGAAAGAAAATGAACCACTTCGCAAATGCTCAAGAAACAAACCGAGATGATCTTCTTGTCGTCGCTTGCCGCACCAAATTTGCAGAAGTAGGTGCTTAGCTAGCAAAAGAGTAGCGCGGGGCACCATGTCAACACGCAGACCCCATTTGATTGCCGAAGACGTGACTTTTCGGATGCGCGTGAACATCGGTTTGGCCCATACCTCCACTTGATTGCGCTTGGCCTTTTCTTCCGCTTCAGCTGCTTGCTGCGCCTGTGGTTCGGGATTTGGCGCAAGCGTGTGAAACCTTGAGGTGCGAGTGCGTGATACACGAGGTGCACTCCGATGCCGGTGATCGAATTAAGCAGTTGTGCGATGCGACGCTGGAACCTACGCGTCGAGAAGCATCGCGCTGCTCCAACAGCTCCGGCGGCAAATCCGACATTGCCACAGGCACTATTGACGCCGGGCGTATTGCAAAGAGACCATGCTGAGAAGTGAGAGCTCCAAGGCAACGTGGCAGAAAGCCAACAGCTCAAGCAAGCGCTAGAGACTGGATGGCCTGACTCACACTCGTTGCGGTCTGAGTCCACGCGGCGGTAGAGCAGCATATAGCCACTTGAAGAGGATGAATACATGGACGAGCCATATCGCGGCATGCTGGCGCCGCCGAATGCGCCACGCAATCGCTCAAACTGCAATGGGGGCTCGCATAGGGTGAGCGATCGCTTTTCAAGACTCGACATGGTCATGCTGGGGCCAGGTGAGAGAACAAAACTGACATCAATCTCCGTCACGCTGCTGTCGTTGAAGCAAAGCCATTTGCCTGTCTTGAAATCTCTGTCAAACAGACCAAAACGGGCGAGAGAAGAAGGTCAACGGTGGAGGTTGAGTCAAAATTTCTGGGATTTGGCCTGAGATGGAGCACGCCAGGAGCCATACTTGATGTAGGCATAGTAGTGACCACCAAGTGCTGAGCCTGAGTGAATCATGATGGAGAAGAGCTCGTACAGCATCCCGTTCTTCAAAGCCTGTTGACGAGCAGCCGCATCACCTTCAAAGGGATCCTCAGTCAATGCATCGCTCGTGGTGGGCAGACGCGAATACGCGGGCGGATCGGACTCTGCGCCTTCATCATCAGATGAGTTGGTCGCTTCGCTCTCGTCAAAGGGCTCGACAACCGTTTCACCAGCACCATCACCTGCCCCCTGGCCCTTCTGGCCGCCGTTGTCTGTTGAGCCAGAACCAAGAAGAGCCCAAACATGCAGATGTAAGTGCCGAGGACGAACAAGGGAGTGACTCGCGCAAGAAGCCCCACAATTGACGAAGTCTTAAAAAGTTGTGGCATCATGCCTGACAGTGCCAAGCGCAGAAAAAAAGCGGTACCTGCAACACCTGGCTCGCTGTCGTGCATGCCAAGGGCGTCTTCCGTGGAGGTGTCTGCGTCACCTTCTGCGGCCGCTGAAGAACGCGGCATGTAACTGGACATGTCAAGCTCCAATGGGAAGGAAAATCTAAAGCATCCGGGCATCAGCAACCACCCTCTGGCGTCAAAAAGAAAAACTGGCTAGAACTCCTCTTTCCAATAGAAGTAAGACTCAAGGGGGATATAAAGTTCAAGGGGGTATAGTGTGCCAACGACCGGTTCGTACTTGTCGTTGAGCTTAATGCGGCGAAAATAAACGTAATCAAAGTCGAAACGCTTGATTTGAAAAGTCAGGATGTAGGGCAACTGGGCAAATTTGAGGCCTTTGTCGGCGTCTTGCTTGCACTTGCAGTGCGAGCACTCGTACTGATTATCACCCTGCAGACAAAACAGCATCCATAGCCAGCCACGATTGAGCGTTAAGCCTGAAAGGCGCGCATAGGGCGCGTCGGGGCTGGGATGGTGCTGATGAAGGTGACACAAGAGCGATGAAGGTCAAAGTAAATTTGCAACTTACGTCAAGACGCTCGACCTCAATAAACTTGTCGAGGCTTTCCTGAACTGATCCCAAACAGTCCTCGCTGCCAAAAGGACGGATGACCAAGGGGACATCCATGAATTTGTCCTATCCGCCCCGGAAAAATAAGAATTGGAAAAATAAGCACATGCGATCAGCCGATCAGACCGAAGACGACAAGTACCGCACGTATGGCCCAAGCAGAGCCTCAACCAAAAAAACCTGGCAAACGTACGTTTCGAGCCGACTCGTTCCCGCAAGCTAAACAGCGGACGTAGTCCTTCAGTTCGCCCTGATACAGGTCTTGAATGGTTTTGGCCAACGGCGTATCAGTCCATTCCGTTTCCAGAGCGTCAAAAAGAACGCGCAAGAGCTCCTTCGTGGTTGGGAGTGCGCAAAACAGACGTTAGGCTGGGCGTTGATGCTTCTGTATAAACAGATCCAGCATGCCTGCGGCAATCCCGGTTCAAAACGTTGAGCTTTCAAACCTGAACGTCGTGCTGCTGAAAGGCTTCGGCTCCATCCCAACCAAATGACTTGGTTACTGCGGTGGTCTCTGCGTATGACACCTTGCCTTCCTACTCGGTTGCAGTCGCAATGCAACGATGAGGCTATCGAAACAGGGTGAAGGAGAGGCAGACAAGACAAATCTGGCGTCCTGCTCCTCCTTAAAATCAAGAAACTCAACCAGGCACAAGTTGCGAAAGCCCAAACTTGAGCCATGAAATAGCATGGACTACCTGCAGAGTCAAAAAGAGGCGTTGTAACTCCAGCGGGATACTGGAAGTCTCTGCTTCGGCACCCCCCTCCGGCTGCCAGCTGGTGTGTCACCAACATTGATGCAGAATGATGCGTCGTTATCGTGATAAATGAGCACAAACGATACAAGCAAAACAAATCTTGCAACCCCACAAAAAAAAAAAAGTAGAAGAAGAAGAAGACAGGCACAAGACACGAAGAGCCAAGTTGTGCTCTTGACATACCGATACAACGCATTTCGAAATTCGGGCGTCATGTAAAGACTTTGAAGCAGGCTGTTGAGATAGCAAGTGGCGCCTTGGTTGGCTAGCCCGACGTAACCCGCTGCAAACAGGCCCCACAAGCATAGCGTATGAGGAGAAAGACTCCAAAGAGAAGGAACATGCGCGGGGCAACAGCTTCAATAAGATGACGGATCGGGCTAGCAAAAGGGTGCCTACCTGCCCGGTGAGATGAGTAGGACGAATAGGATGATGACGTATAAGGGGAAGCTGGACCATAAGTAACGCCATTTGTCGTGGTGCCAGTGGAGGTGGAAGTTCCTGTAGTATAGCCATCTATCTCAAGAATGGCCATTTTTGGATTGATGGTGTGAGCCTTGCACGTACCCGCCATGATGATGCTAGTCTTCGTGCAATGAAACGGGACGACATTACCCACCTTTCTCGCCTGACCATCCCGTGCGTCGAGTTTTGGTTGAGCCCTGGGTGAGGTCGTCGTCATCACTACTGCGGCGCCTTGTTGAAAGGCCACCCTCCTCTGTGAGAGAGTCCTCTGGATCGCGCTGTCGCCTTTGGCCCAGCTGCTTTCCCTGAAACAGACAGAAAAGGCCCAAGCGAAAGAACAGAAGACGGCCGTGGTCAAGAATAGGCAAAAATCGAATGACTGGATACCAAGGCCGTACCGTTTCAGTCTCTTTTGCATCATATTCATCTCCATCGCCACCACGCACAGAAACGCGAAAGGTGTGGATGGGCTCGACGTGCAGATTGAGGGAGCTCAAGGGGTCAAGGCTGGTCACATCAATCTCCTCGATGTCATTGGGGCTGTGCATCAGTTCCAGCTTCAAGGCGTTAAGGGGGTGGTTAAAACGTCGAGCAAGCGTATCGGCGAATGAGGCCAAACTGTCTTCAACATTGACCGTCTCTACACCACGCAAGACCTCCTCGCCGTCAGCTGCCACCTCGATGATGCGACACCTATATGAGGCGCATGATTTGTGCCGAAGTGAGCCCTCTTCGTGGTGCAACAACACGCCGTGCAAGTCAAGGCGCCGGTCAAGGTGAGACCTGCAATGCCCCTATAACGCACCGATAGTTGACAAAGGAGGCGACGCCTGCGAGCTCCACCGCCATGCTGGCTGGTGTTGCCGTCTCAAATTGAGTAGCTCAGTCAGAACTTAAGCTGCTTCCGAGCCCAGCTGCTTGTAAGAGCACCCGTCAAGTGGAAGCGATAGCTTCTCAACTCGACCTGTCGGCAATGCCCTAGAGCGCTGCCAGTCTCCCACACCGGCAGCCGCACCCCAGTCCAACAAAGCTCAGCAGTGGTCAAGTCCAAAAAAAAAAATCCTGTTCGACCCTCAAGAGACAAAAAAATAGCATTCAACACCTTTCAAAGGAAAAATCCCACTGTGTGAAGGCGCTCACAAGCATCGAGATGCTTTGTTGTCTTGTAAGGGTGGGTGGACAGAGGGCATAATGTGATCTGCTCACATCCCAGGATGCCAAATTGCTTTGTCCAACTGGAGGTCGATCGAATGCCTGATCGTCATGGAGCAGCAATCCAGTCGCGGCTGCCGTCTTGTGCGCTACGTCACAGCATCACCTCGACCACCCACCACGACACAACCTTCACTTTGGTCTCTGCCTTTGCTCGCCTCAGCCTCCGTGGCCAAATCCGGCGCTTGCTGGTCTTCTCGTCCCCTGGGAGACTGACAAGACTGATGTTGAATTGTCAGACATATTAATGAGCGCTGTACCAACTGTCATTGGCAGCAGCAAAAAGCGAGCCCAAGCCAATCAGCGAGAGCAGGAGCACTCTTGATAAACATGGTTTTGAGTTGTTAGCGAAAAGGAAAGAGTATCACAGCCGACCAACGTGATACAAATGCGCTTGACAAAAACGATGGGCCTAAGCAAAGGAGATGGCCAGTCACCCCGCCGCTCTCTCTCTATGCTATGCTCTCTCTCTCTTGATACTCTCTCTCTATGCCTGTCTTTTGTCTTTATCTCTCTCTCTGACACCTCTCTCTCTCTCTCTCTCTCTCGCTGCCTCTCACAGTTGAGGCTCATTTGATTTGTGTGTTTCGCTTTCTGACCCTGCCTTGCCTGCTTCTTGGCCCTGCCCCTCCTCGCCGCCGGCGCGCATCTTCTGAGGCCAGGTGTGCTTGTGGGACCCTCGGGCCACGGCAACCGACTGCGGGTGTGTGACCTCGATCCTTTTGAACATTGAGTATCATCAGATTTTTAATACCAAGTCGAGTCCAGCCGCACTCCAGCCTTGCCTCCCTCTGTCGGGAGCCATGGCGGCACCGCGGGGTGCATTGCGGCTGCCAGCACCCGTCCTGCCCGCCATTCTCGCCCTTCTCTTGCTTCTCGTCTTTGGTAAGAGCTGCTCTGCTGCAAGGACCCCAATTCACGTTCTGCCGGGGGAGCTGAGTGCCGAGGCCAGCGTTTGGCGACGCGCTCAATACCTGGAGTGCCCAAACCTCCTGTCGTCCCTTGCCCCCTCGCTCGCGACTGACTACTTACTCTTTCGTCGCCCCCACCTCACATGATGAAAATGGCCGCAACCCCTTGTGCAGGTTGCGTCGACGCCCAGGAGGCTGTGCGGCTATCCCAAAATTCAACCGCGCAGAGCGATGATACCAACACCGTGCGAGTTCAGCTGTCGACTGACGACCTAAACCAACTCAAGCAACGACCTAATTTCTTTGAGAACGAGAACAATAGCTTTGTGGCCGTGGAGTGGATCTTTGGAACGGACCTCACTGGCAACCCCGTAGCTTCTTCTGACTTTGTTCCCGTCTCAACTTTTCAACGTGATTCAGGTGGCCCGGTGCTGCTAGCTTTTGGCGCTCAGTTTTTGAGGAACAACTCTCTGCTCCTTCAGCTCACATTTGACGAACCGGTGATTCCTGGCAGCCTCGAGGCTGCCAACGTCGTCCTTGGCAATGCCTCTTCGAATTTGACCCTCTCCCCAGGCTATGTCATCTCTACCCCGTCCGCGTCCCCAGTTCTGACCCTCTACCTCAATGAGAGCGACGTAGATTCCATCAAGCTTCTTCCAAATCTTTGGACTCAGAAAAGCAATACCCAACTCCAACTTTTGGCGGCAGCGCTTTCCGACGCTGCTGGCAATCCCAATGGCCCGTCCCCACGTTTAACGGCCATTGCGTACGGTGCCGATGTCATCGTACCGCACGCAGTCTCCTTCGGCCTTGACCTTGATGCAGCTGAGCTCACCGTCGTCTTCCATGAATTGGTCGATCCTGCTGCCGTCGTCATTGCTTCCTTTCAACTCTTTGCACCGGATGGAAGCGCTTCCGTGACATTGAGTGATTCGAGTGTGACAGAGCTTGTGGTCGCCACTCGCACTCTTGTTCTGTCCCTGGGAGCAGAAGACCTCTTCAATGTCCTCAACCTCAGCACCCTCGCAGTTGATGCGTCCAGCACGGCCCTGCGCCTGATGACGGGAGCAGTCTCCGACTATGCGGGCAACACCGCACTGGAGACAAACTTGTCAGATCCCTCCCCTTTTGTGCCGGACAGCATTGCTCCTTTGGTGTCACACAGCGTGCTGGACCTCGAGAGCCTGAGCTTGACGCTCACATTTTCAGAGCCCATCAACGCTACGTCATGGCAGGAAACCCTCATGACGCTGCGCGGCGTGGGTGCGCTTCAACCGGGTGACACAACTGGCGCATTCATAGCCCCTGCAATTCTAGAGTTGACCCTAACCCCGTCCTTGGCCAACGCGATTAAAAACTCGGGCTTGTTGACCAACGCCTCCACTTCCAATTTGGCCCTTGCGACGAGCTTTGTTCTTGATAAACAAGGCAATCCGCTAGCCGACACAAACCTGACCGTATCAACCTACGTGGCAGATGCGAGTGGTCCACGCCTGGTTCAAGCGGACCTTAATTTGACATCCCGTGAATTATATTTGACATTTGACGAGACGGTGGATGCTGCCACACTGAATGCCAGTGCCATCACACTCGGTGCACCCGGCTTGGGACAGCAACTTCGAGACTCCAGCCCCGTGCGCATTGCTGCCGCCGTGGTGCGCGTCGACTTGGCTGATGATGACTTTAACGCCGTGGTTGCTGGCCTATTGGTACCCGACGTCGACTTGGCCAACGCAACTGTTTCTCTCTCGGTCCACTTTGCAGAAGATGTCGCAGGCAATGCCAATGAAGGCACGACGCTGACTGTTACCGAATTTAGTCCGGACGGCGCAAGTCCGACTGTCGTTAGCATTGACCTCAATATGGATGCGGGCATCCTGAGCATTCAATGGTCAGAAACCATCGACGTGTCCTCCTTGGATCTAACAAGCATCACGGTGGGCCTCTATGATGAAGTCGGGACAGGAGTGGAGCTACAGGCGACGGAGTCCACGAGCAATGGCTTGACCGCAATTGCAATAAACCTTACAACCGGATCCTTGAACGCCATCAAGGAGCGATGGAACATTGCAACAGGTCTCGGCAATACGTTTTTCCAGGTGATGGCTGGCTTGATTGACGACGCAAGTGGAAACGCAAATGCGGCCAGCGCTAATGTGCCGGTCAGCACGTTCACCGCGGATGCAACCTCCCCCACGCTGTCGGCGTTTGCCCTCGACCTGAACAGCGGCCTTCTCACGCTCATCTTCGATGAAACCGTGCAAGCCAGCACCATCAACTCAACCGCCATCATGCTTCTCAATGGGCCAAACGCTGCCCCTGATACCAACACCGATGCCTACTCCCTCTCTGCTGCCTCTCTCCCAACCGTGCTCGACGCCAACTCAACCACCATCACCATCAGCCTTGCTCAGGCCGACGTCAATGCTATCAACGCACGCGATGCTCTTGCATACGACGCCGCCTCAACTTACCTTGCCATCCAGTCCTCCCTTGTCCTAGACATGGTGGGCCTTCCCGTGCAGGCCATCCCGGCCACGAACCCACTGGCCATTGCCGCCTACACCGCCGACACGACACCCCCTACCCTCGTTTCTTTTGCCCTCAACCTCA